CACCTATGAAAACGCACCCCCCCAGGTAAAAAGTACTGCGGGAACGAATCTAAGTTATAAAAGACTCCGTAAGCAACCCATTTACCAACTTTCAGCGCCTCAATCAACGTGGTTGAGCGATGGCGCCGAAAAGTCGGAAAAAAGGGGGAGCGTGGCCGATGCCACACTTCGAGGACGACCCTGATATACGCGCATATGCAGCCTCCGCCATCAAAGAACTCGAGGCATTGAAGAAGCGCTGTGAGAATGAGCAGAATGGCATGCCAATCGACATCGCCAACGACGTGGTGGCGTCGTTCTTGCACCTGGCTCGTCGGGTGAAGGACGCGCCGACGAACGAGCAGCTCGCGCAGCGACTCGCGCGCGTGGAATTGAGCATGGAAAAGACGCAGAAAGAGGTCTCACAGGCCTCTCGGGAGATCAACACGACGAAGAGCAACACCAACCGCCTCGTCGAGGTGATCTGCCATACACCCCCAAGCTCACGCGTCAACGGCAACAAGTCGTATAGTCACGTGACGGCAAGCTCCGAATCGTACGTGCAGGGCTGGGGACGACGAGTGCCCTCATATCCACCAACTGTCCCTAGCGTGGGAGTCTCCAGCGGGAATAGCTCTCCGTTGACACCCTTCCCATCTCAGGAAGACCTCGAGATCTACCTCGAGCGTACCGACGCCGACACCATCAATCCCCTGAGACGGTCCCCGGATAAGGTCATCCACCGGGCCAATCTGGCGATCCAATCGACACAGGATGCCACAATCGCGCACCGACACCTCCTCGCTGCGAGAGTGCAGCCCAGTGGGGATATCATCCTCCTTGCGGCCACCGTAGACGACGTGGACCAGCTCACGCGCAAGAATAGCTGGATTCGCACCTTCGGAGCAGAGACTCGTATCCGGAAACGCACCTGGGGCGTGGTGGTACACAGCGTCAGCACCAATATCAACCCAAAACAGGAGATTTTCAAAACGACACTCGCCTCTCAGAATGCCGCCGTATTTGCGCACATCCTAGCCCCATTCAACACCACATATATGGGCTGGCTACTTAGTGAACAGAAGATCCAGGAACTGAAGCTTCCACGAGCCCACCTCGTCGTGATGTTCGACGACGAGCGGGTGGCCAATCTCGCGATTAAGCGAGGCCTCATTATCAACGGTTTCCAGCACGCGGTCTCCATTTATAATAAGGCCGCCAACCTCCAGCAATGCTATAAATGCCAGATGTACAAGCATATCGCACGACACTGTCAGCGCCAGATCTGCTGCGCCTACTGCGCGGGATCTCATGATACAGGGGACTGCCCTACACCCAGAGAGAAGGAATACGCCAAGTGCGCCAACTGCGCCGCAGAAAACGCACGTATCAAAGACCCTACAAAGAAGCTAGATGAGAAGCATTTCTCCTACGCCCGTGAGTGCCCAATCAGAGCCTCGTACCTAGCAGAGGCTCATCAACAGCGCACCCACGGCCTCCAATATCACCCCGAGGTCGCGAGACCAGGCAACCGTACTCCTGGAGTCGTCTCCCACAATGATCCTACACCTGCAGAAGCAACAGCCCTAGCAGCCAACGAGCGTAGCCCTCGCACCGAGACCCGGGCAGAGCCTCCTACACGACGTCGCTCAGCCCCGTCACGGAGCAAGAGCACGGCAGCGCGTAAGCGGACTGCCGACCCTGGAAGCCCAAATCGGCCGAATACTCGGGCCCAAAAGAAGGCGACACGGATACAGGACGACGAGGGGAATGAAGTGATGAATGTCAACCCAGAACCAGAGGCTGCAGTCGATCCTCACTCGATGATCGTATACGAAGACCGCACACGGAAGAACCGCTCCAAAGCGCCAAAGACACCAACTGGCCTCATCCTCCAGTCGGATATCGCCTCACTCCAAGAAGCGCAAGTGGAATCAATCCGCCCTATCCGTCGTGCACGGAGCGCGCGCACCATCCCAGATGACGAGTCCGATGACGAGCTTAGCCGCTCAGACTACGATATCACCAAGCCTACTGGGAAACCTAGTGAAGAGGGTGATACAATGATGACCACAAACCTTGAAGACTCCACATGGGCCAATTCTCAATGAGGTACCACGCCCACCGACTCCAAATCTTACAGGCAAACTGCTGGAAATCGCGAGACGAGGTCCAGATGCATCTCTTTGGTGAGAAAGACGTGCAAGAATACGACATCCTGGCCATTCAGGAACCCTATATCAATAAATGGACAGACCCTCTAACCACGTACGCACTAGCGCTCCAAAACCGTTTCCATATCCTGTTGCAGCCCACACCACAAAAAGACTATGATATCCGCCCACGAGTGTGTCTCTACGTCAACAAACGTATCGACCCTACCACGTGGGAAGTACGGTTTCACAATAGGAATCTGAGCACGCTGATCCTTCAGACTGCCAATCACGGCACTATCCATATCCATAACATTTACAATCCGGGAGTATCTAGCGGCCAGGGATCTGAAATTGGGACTCTCCGTGAGGTGATGACGCCTGGTGCGCAACATATTGTATTGGGAGACTTCAACCTACACCACCCACTGTGGGCAGGTACGCAGTATCAACACGTAGACGACAAAGCGACAGAACTCATCGATCTCATGGACGAGCACGAACTAGACCAGTTGCTCCCCCGTGGCACGATAACGTACGAGAAAAAGGAAGCTAAAACAACTATCGACCTCATCTGGGTGTCTAACACTCTATCTAACCGATTGATCAGCTGCGCCGACAAACGGGAGTGGTGGTACGGCGCGGATCACGTCCCTATTCTTACCCAATTCGACCTGACTCCGGTCAGCGTACCCCCTGTCGTCCGCAAGGACTGGGGGTCGTCGGACTGGGAGCTCTTTCTCAGGCTGATGGAGACGTACGACTGGCATCCCCGTCAACTGGCGGACACAGGAGACATCGATAAGGCAGTGCGCTATCTGGTCGAGGCGATTCACGACACGGCGGAACAGGCCACTCCTACCAAGCAGATCACCCCTTACTCTCGCGCTGGATACACACCGGAGATGGCAGAGCTCAAACACCAGGTCTCACGGTGCCGGAGACATGCACGTCAAACCAATACGGACCAGGCGTGGGAGGAGTATAAAGAGGCAAAGAAGGAGCTGAAAAGACGCACCAATGAGCTCGCACGAGAGCTCCACCGTCAACGAATTGAGGAAGCGACCGAGTCATTAGACGGCTTCTGGAAAATCGCACGCTGGGTTCGCAACCGAGGCGCACCACGTGCCTCCTTCACACCAACGTTAACGTACAATGATACCGAGTATGCCGCCCCAAGGGAAAAAGCAGCGCTCTTCCGAAAAGTCCTGTATCCGGAGCCCCCGGAGGCAGACCTCTCGGACATCAGCCACTACCGATATCCGAAACCTCATGAGACGCCTCCCATTACGTTAGACGAAGTGCGAGTGGCGATTCACAATGTGAAGCCCAACAAGGCTCCTGGCCCGGACGAGATCCCAAATCTGGTCCTCCAACGACTGCTCCCACTCATCGAGCACTATCTACTTAACTTATTCAATGCCTGCCTACGGCGCCACTACCACCCGGAGCACTTCCGACAGTCCACCACGGTGGTGATCCGCAAGCCCGGGAAGTCCAACTACACCGACCCGAAATCATATCGACCTATAGCGTTACTGAGCACCATAGGGAAAGCACTTGAATCTGTGATTGCACGACGGCTAAGCTATCTAGTGGAGCGTTATCACCTGTTACCAAAGTATCATATAGGGGGACGACGAGGTCGCTCCTGCGAGCTCGCAATCCATCTCCTACTGGAAGAAACTCACAACGCCTGGAGGGATGGTCTCCGAGTGGCCTCCGGTCTCGCAATGGACGTCACTGGTGCCTTTGACAACGTGAACCACACGAGGCTCATCCACGATTTACGGAAGCGCCAGATCCCTGACGTGCTAGTGGGCTGGATTACAAGCTTTCTCAGCAGCCGCCGTACGTCAATCATACTATTAGAGGGCAATATGGGGGAATACACAGTCAATACGGGTATCCCCCAGGGGTCCCCACTGTCACCAATCCTGTTCCTATTCTTCAACGCGGATCTCATCGAGCAGATACGAGCCGAGTGCCCAGAGGTGCTCGTTATTGGATACGTAGACGACATCTTTCTGATGGCACTCGGGAGTTCCGCGGCAGCCAATTGCCGCACACTCACCCAGGCGCACCAGGTCGCAGAGCGCTGGGAGAGAACACACGCCTCCAAGTTCAACCCGGCCAAATATCAGTTGGCGCACTTCTGGCGGAAGCACCAATCGGTGCCAAAGCCGAGGGGTCGACTCGACGTGCCCCTGGTCGTCAAAGGACGGGAAATCAAAGTCAAGGACTCTATCAAGTATCTCGGAGTCCTCCTAGATACCCACCTGACGGGGGAGGCCCACGTACGAGAGATGAGAAAGAAGGCTGCGAAGTTAGTGGCGGGATTGGCTTCGATAGCAGGCTCAACCTGGGGAACACCAACGACATATCTCCGGAAGATGTACACCGCCGTGCTCCAACCGCAGATCATGTACGCGTGTTCTACGTGGTATATCCGTGGTGGGAGAGGCTTTATGAAGTCACAGCGAGAGGCAGAGAAAGCAATACAGTCCATCCACGCCCAAGCGCTGCACTGGATATCTGGCGCGTTTAAGCGTACGTCACGACAGGCCCTGGAGGTCTGCCTCCATATCCCGCCGTCTGAGTTGACGCTCGCGAGACTGTCGGAGGAGGCATGCCTCCGGTTGATGACCTCACCACTACGACCGACACTGCAGACTACACGGAATCAGGCTCCCTGCAACAACCCCTTTACGTCCCCACTACACCGACTGGAGACGTTCGTAGAACGGAAACTCGGACGCGGCGTATGCCAGCGTATCGAGACGATCCATCCGTTCGTGGTGCCTCCGTGGTGGGAGCCGCCAGAGATGAGGATTGATAAGACAAGGGAGGAAGCCATCCGTACACAGACTACTACGACAACAGATATTCAACTCTTTACAGATGGGAGCGGGTACGACCACGGGATTGGAGCAGCAGCGTATTCACCAACATTAGGCGCGGCCGCGCGAGCAGTCGGCTCATCAGAAACACACACCGTCTACGCAGGCGAGCTGGAGGGGATTGATGCAGCGCTGAGCCTCCTGATCCGCAACCAAGACCACAGTGAGATCCGTGAAGCTACAATCTACACCGATAACCAAGCAGCGATCCGCGCTACATGCCATCCCCAACGGTCCTCCGGGCAGTACATCCTTCGTCGAATCGTACGTCAGTTGGACCTACTACGGGACCCTCGATCTCGCTGGCGGGTACGATTACAGTGGGTGCCCGGACACGAAGGTGTTCCTGGCAACGAAGAAGCAGACCGGTTGGCGAAGCTCGCCGCAGTGGACGCGACACAGCGCACACGAGAAAATAGGCGTAGATCTCGGATCAATGCACCCAACCAGACTACGCCCCATGCCGCACGTATCTCCTTCAACCCATATCACTCCGTGATTCTCGTGGCGGTGTGTCGGCAACGACTGCAGGCGGAGTTCACAAAACGGTGGAAAGAGCAGTGGGATGGTGCCGAGCATGGACGGCACCTCTATCGTATCATATCGACGCCAGCGAAGAAAGTGGTCTCGTTGCACGAGGGACTAAAACGAGCATGGAGTTCGGCGCTTATACAGATGCAGACCGGTAAATCCGCGCTCCGCAGTTTTCTCGCGAGTGTGGGGATCGAAGACTCACCAACGTGTCCATGTGGACTGGGGGTTCAAGACACGGCACACGTCCTGATCCGCTGTCCCCTTCACGCATACCTCCGTACGGAGATACTCTACAAAGAAAGACGCGAGACGGATGACCGCAAGCTCCTCAGTGAGCCTCTTTGGGTGAAAAGGTGTGTCGAATTCGTGCTACGGACTGGGTTGTTGACTCAGTTCCGTAACGCAATTCCCCTTGTATAGCGCTCTCAGCGAGTGCAACCTCTACTCCAGGAAGACGTCCACGTCGATTCGTCTCGTCGCGAATCGACCACTCGACTCAATGAAACGACGATAACGGGCTCCTCCTTTGCCTATCCTTTTCTCTCCCCAGCTTGTCCTTCGTTGTACATATTTCCTAGCGTTAGTCCTTCCCAGCGTTCCATTGTCCCCAGAGGTCAGGTACGTATTTGCACGTTTCATTTGTTAAGCGTTTCGGCGTGCTGCTTCTTGCGTTGTTATTAGTGTTGTCGTTGTTTTAAAGCTGGGGCTACGTGTCGAGTTTTCGCGTGGTGCGGGCTGAGTCAGCCAGCGCCAAGCCGGGAGTCTTGGCACTTCTTTTCTTTATGCCCGCTGCCCAATAGGAGGCGCCGCCGGCCACTAGGCTTAGATGCGTGTATGAATCAATCAATCAATCAATCAATCAATCAATCGATATATAAAGAATAGGATATCTCGCCACGGAGATGCCGTAAGTGTAAGATCTGGTAATCCGGGGACACCGTGATATGCGTCCACATGGCGGGATCGATTTTCTTGTTGACGTAGAGCGCCACACGAGCTCGTACGTCGTCCACGGCCTTCGGATGAAGCAGCTGGTGGGTCCGTCTCGCGGGTTGGTGCGTGGTGTCGTCGTACTCGTTCTTCCACGGCTCTTGAATCGCGATAACGGATGCTTTAAGGACCTCGGGGTCACGGAGAAACGTTGCCATGACCTCATCTTTTGATTTATGCGTGTTATACTGCAGGATTTCGAACGGTGTACTCATAGGAGCTCGTCCGGGGATGATCGCGTGGTTATGCTGTATCCATCGAAGCTATCCTCATCGTCATCCTCCTCGATGGGTGGATTCCGGGGATAGTAGCTCCGGTGGTTGGTGAATTTCGACAGTAGATCCTGGCGGACATCTGAATTGAGCTCTCCGCTGTCAATCTCTTGATAGCTTGGTGCGCTGTTCAAGACGACGTTCTGGTTGTCGATGTTCATGTCCATTGGCGGCAATGGGGGCAACGGCGTGTTATCGTACGATTGAGAGCGGGAACGCTCTCGTCGACGCTGCTCCCGGAGAGGCCGGTCCGGGKCGTTACGCATATCGACCGGTTGATCCAGGCCTCGTGAACGGAGTGCCTTCTTTGGTGCTGGTGGTGGCGCCGTTGACGCGACTGGACCGAAGTCGTTGAGTTGACTCGGGTTGATGGTCGTTGGCTGGCTTGCTGATAGGGCGGTGTCAATATGCTCATGGGGTCTCATGGATTCCTCGTCGTTGGACGATTTGGACTTAGGAGGTCGTCCCCGGGACCGTTTCTCCGTCGGTTTGAATCCTACGGATTTGGCAGGTCCCCGTACAGGTTGCTCCGTTGTTGGGATCACCGTAACGGGCTCCGGTGCTGGTTCGCGAGTTGGCGCGTGAGTCGACTCTGGCGCTGATTCGGGGACTGGCTCCTGAGGTGGTTCCTGAGGTGGTTCCGGGGCGGATTCGGGAACTGGCTCTTGTGCGGTCGTTGATGCGGTTGCTGATACGGTTGCTGGTGTAGTTGCTGGTGTGGTTGCTGTTTTCTTACCCTTTGTGGTCGTCTTTCTTGGGGCCCGTCTCTGGGCCTGCGTGGTCTTTTTCGTGGTTACGATTCTCGCCGCTTCGGCGGGAGTTGGCTCCAAGGCCATCTGCTCAATCATTCTGGTTTGTAGATACTGCGGAACCCGATGTCCCATGGGTCCCATGGCGACCACTTGACGTGCACGTGCGGTCTCCAGCTTCCGGACCTCACATTCACCACTGGACGTCTTGTGGGACTCCTTGCAATTGGCGCATTTTGGTGTATCCTGGTCCTGGTTGGACGGGCACTCCCAGGTCGGGTGCTCTTCCGCGCAGAACCCGCAAATATATCGTCGACTGGGGCACTGGACTTGTATATGCCCGTACTTTTGGCACTTTCTGCACATCTTCACCCGTCCTTCTCGATGATAAGGCCGATTGGTGAGGGAATGGGCACGCCACACCGTCCCGTTGGCAATCGCGTTGTTAGCCACCACGGGGCTGGTGAACTCGACCACGAGTGAGCCGGAATAGCTTTTGGGCTTCGGCCTGGAGAGCCAGCCCACGTGCACGATCTCCACCTCGAATCCCGGTTGGCCCCAGTTGGTGTTCTCCGCGGCGAGCTCACGCTTGAATGCCTCACTCATCTCCACGTGTCGGACGGGGATGCCGTCGATGACGATTCCCCACGTCGGCACACGCACGTACGCCGAGTTGCCAAAGGTCTTGACCCAACTGGCGTAGTGCTTCCGGAGGACCTCGGCTCCGGCGGCATGGCTCGCGCGAAGACTGATATCACCCGAAGGCAATTGACGTGCGGCGATGAAGGCGTGGCCGGCAAGTGCCAGGTTGATTGATTGATTGATTGATTGATTGATTCAGCCTAGTGGCCGGCGGCGCCTCCTATTGGGCAGCGGGCATACTACCATACAAAGAAAAGAAGTGCCAAGACTCCCGGCTTGGCGCGGACTGACTCAGCCCGCACCACGCGAAAACCTCGACACGTAGCCCCAGCTTTAAAACAACGACAACAATAACAATAACGCGAGAAGCAGAACGCCGAAACGCTAACAAATGAAACGTGTAAATACGTACCTGGTCACGGGGGACGATGGAACGCTCAGAAAGGACTAACGCTAGGAAATACGTACAACGAAGGACAAGCTGGGGTTGGAGAAATGGAATACGGAGAAAGGGGTGCCCGGTGTCGTCAGTTGGATGGGTCGAGTGGCCGATTCGTACGAGACGGATCGACAGAGCTATCTTCCTCGAGAAGGGGTTGCACTCACTGAGAGCGCGATACTGGGTTATATTGTGATATCGCGGAACTGCGTCAACAGACGCGTTCGCAATACAAATTCGATGCATCTTCGCACCCAACGGGGTTCGGAAAGGAGCTTCCGGTCGTCGATTTCACGCGCTTCTGCATATAGGGTCTCCGTACGGAGCTGTGTGTGGAGAGGACATAGGACGAGCACATGCGCCGTCGTCTGGTTGCCGCGTCCACATTGACACATGGGTGAGTCCTCGATATTGACACTCGCGAGATATCCGCGGAGCGCCGATTTGCCGGTCTGCAGCTGGATGAGCACGGAGCTCCACGCTCTCCGCAGTCCTTCATGCAGTAGTAAGACCTTCTTTGCCGGCGTCCGTATGATCCGATAGAGGTGCCGTCCATGCTCGGCACCATCCCACTGCTCTTTCCACCGGTTCGTGAAACCCGCTCGCAGACGCTGCCGACACACCGCCACGAGGATCACAGAGTGATACGGGTTGTAGGAGACACGTGCGGCATGAGGCGTAGTCTGGTTGGGTGCATTAATCCGAGCTCTACGCTCATTCTCCCGTGTCCGTTGTGTGGCTTCCACCGCGGCGAGCTTCGCCAACCGGTCTGCTTCTTCGTTGCCAGGGACACCCTCGTGCCCTGGCACCCACTGTAGACGTACTTTCCACCCGGATCTCGGGTCCCGTAGCAGATCCAGTTGACGGACGATTCGACGCAGAATGTACTGCCCGGAGGACCGTTGAGGGTGGCACGTGGCGCGGATTGCTGCTTGGTTGTCGGTGTAGATGATGGCTTCTCGTACTGTAGTATCAATGTGTTGGTTCCGGATCAGGAGGCTCAATGCGGCGTCAATTCCCTCCAGCTCACTGGCGTAGACGGTGTGTGTCTCGGACGAGCCCACCGGTCTCGCCACGTAGCCGAGTGTTGGTGAGTACGCCGCACCACCAATCCCATTGTCAAATCCGCTCCCATCTGTAAAGAATTGAAGTCCTGTTTTTGTCGTAGTCTGTGCATTGACGGCGTCTTCCCGTGTGTCGTCGATTCTCATGTCTGGTGATTCCCACCACGGTGGCACCACAAAGGGGTGAATGGTCTCGATCCGGTGGCAGACGCCACGTCCGAGTTTCCGGTCAATGACTGCCTCCAATCGGTGTAGTGGCGACGTGAAGGGGTCATTCTGATGTGCGTGAGTCCGCGTGGAGTGAAGGGTCGATCGTAGAGGTGAGGTCATCAGCCGTAGACATGCCTCCTCCGCCAATCTCGCGAGCGTGAGTTCGGGAGGTGGCACGTGGAGGCAGACCTCCAGCGCTTGCCGCGACGTCCGTTTGAACGCGCCAGATATCCAGTGGAGTGCCTGGGAATGGATCGAGAGGATCGCCTTCTCCGCGGCACGTTGCGCGGCCACGAAGCCTCTCCCGCCACGGATGTACCACGTCGAGCACGCGTACATGATCTGTGGCTGGAGGACGGCGGTGTACATCTTCCGGAGGTGGATCAACGGAGTCCCCCAGGTCGATCCCGCGATGGACGCCAGTCCTGCCACCATCTTCGCGGCTTTTTTCTTCATCTGTCGTACGTGCACGTCGCCCGTGAGATGCGTGTCAAGCATGACTCCGAGATACTTGATGGAGTCCGTGGCCTGGATCTGCATTCCCTTGACCATCAACGGCACGTCGAGTCTGCCTCTCGGTCTCGGCACCGATTGGTGCTTCCGCCAGAAGTGGGCGAGTTGGTACTTCTTGGGGTTGAACCGAGAGGCGTGGGTCCTCTCCCAGCGCTCTGCCACCTGGTGCGCGTGGGTGAGGGTGCGGCAATTGGCTGCCGCGGATCTCCCGAATGCCATGATAAAGATGTCATCGATGTATCCGATGACGTACGTATCCGGGCACTCGGCTCGTATCTGCTCGATGAGATCCGCGTTGAAGAAGAGAAACAGGATCGGCGACAGTGGAGACCCCTGAGGGATCCCGGTGTTGATATCGAATTCGCCCATCTTGCCCTCTAGCAGTACGATCGACGTGCGGCGGTGGCTCAAAAAGCTCCCAATCCACCCCGTGATCTCGTCTGGGACCTGGCGCTTCCGTAGGTCGTGTAGCACCCTCGTGTGGTTCACGTTGTCAAACGCCCCGGTCACGTCTAATGCGAGCCCGGAGGCCACGCGTGAGCCGTCTCGCCAGGCGTGGTGAGTGGAGATGGATCGCGAGCTCGCAGGAGCGGCCTCGTCGACCTCCAATATGGTGTTTCGGCAGTAGATTGTGTCTTTCTACTAGATAGCTCAACCGTCTTGCGATCACGGATTCTAGCGCCTTCCCAATCGTGCTGAGTAGCGCGATGGGGCGATAGGCCTTGGGATCTGTGTAGTCCGGTTTCCCCGGTTTGCGGATCACCACCGTGGTGGACTGTCGGAAATGATCCGGGTGATAGTGGCATCGTAGACACGCGTTAAATAGATTCACGAGGTAGTCTTCGATCAGTGGGAGCAGTCGTTGGAGGACGAGATTCGGGATGCCATCCGGTCCGGGAGCCTTGTTCGGCTTCACGGCGAGGATGGCCGTTCGGACCTCGTCCAACGTGATGGGCGGCGTCTCGTACGGAGTAGGATATCGATATCGAGGCCCGATATCTGATAGATCCGCCTCTGGAGGCTCCGGGTGGAGCACTTCCCGAAGGAGCTTTGCCTTCTCCGCTGGAGCGGTGTATTCGGTGTCGTTATATTTCAGCGTCGGCGTGAATGTGGCACGTGGCGAGCCTCGGTTTTGGACCCAGCGTGCCACTTTCCAGAAGCCACTCAGAGACTCGGTTGCTTCCTCGATTCGGCGGCGATGGAGATCCCGCGCAAGCTGGTTCGTACGTCTTTTGAGTTCTGTCTTCGCCTTTTTATACGCCAGCCACGCGTCCTCCGTCTGGATTCGGCGGGCGTGTCGTCGGCACCGTGAGACGTGGTGCTTGAGGTCTGCCATCTCCGGAGTGTATCCGGGTTGGGAGTAGGGGGTGATCCGCTTGATGGGAGTCGCCTGCTCGGCGGTCTCATTGATCGCGTCGATCAGGTGGTGTAACGCCGTGTCGATCCCCTCCTTGTCCACCAATGTGCGTGGATGCCAGTCGTACGTTCCCATGAGCGTGAGAAAGAGGTCCCAATCGGACGACGCCCAATCCCTTCGTTCCACGGGAGGCGTGCTCACCGGGGTGAAGTCGAATTGGGTAAGGATGGGGACGTGGTCCGCACCGTACCACCATTCGCGCTTCTCCGAGCAGCTCACCAGCCGGTTGGACAACGTGGGTGACGCCCAGATCAGGTCGATGGTGGTCTTGGCGTCATTGGTCTCGTACGTCACGGTGCCCGGAGGCAGGAGTTGCTCCAGCTCGTGCTCGTCCATGAGGTCAATGAGATTTGTGGCGTCGTCATCCGTGTGTCGATATTGAGTGCCCTGCCAGAGTGGATGGTGGAGATTGAAGTCTCCAAGCACGATATTTTGCGCGCCGGATTGGATCGCTTCGCGGAGAGAAGGTAGTGACGATGCTTCACCGCTGGCCACTCCAGGATTGTAGATATTGTGCACGTGGATAGTGCCTTGTGTCTCCGTGTGAAAGATCAGCGTGCTCAGGTTTTGGTTGTGGAACCGGATTTCCCACGTGGTTGGGTCGATACGTTTATTCACGTAGAAACACACACGGGGACACTCCATGAAGTCTTTTCGCGGCGTGGGCTGCAGCAAGATGTGGAATCGGTTTTGGAGCGCCAGTGAATATGTGGTTAAGGGGTCTGTTTTGTTATTGATATACGGTTCCTGGATGGATCGAGGAAGACAATGAGGATAGCTTCGACGGATATAGCATAACCACGCTATCATCCCCGGACGAGCTCCTATGAGTACACCGTTCGAGATCCTGCAGTATAACACGCATAAATCAAAAGACGAGGTCATGGCGACGTTTCTCCGTGACCCCGAGGTCCTCAAAGCATCTGTCATCGCGATTCAAGAACCGTGGAAGATCGAGTACGACGACACCACGCACCAACCCGCGAGACTGACCCACCAACTGCTTCATCTGAAGGCCGTGGACGACGTACGAGCCCGTGTGGCGCTCTACGTCAACAAGAAAATCGATCCCGCCATGTGGACGCACAGCACGGTATCCCCAGATTACCAGATCCTGCACCTACGGCATCTTCGTGGCGAGATATCCCATTCTTTATATATCCACAACATCTACAACGACACCAAATTACCGATATCCACGTTCGACCTGCTCCACCAAGAACTCACCAAGTTGGGACGATCCCCAACCACGGAGCACCTCGTTCTCGGAGATATGAACGTCCACCATCCCGCGTGGGGTGGCCCTGGCACCAAAATCGACACCCAAGGCACCGAGTTGCTTGAAATCGCGGACCGTCACGATCTCGAGCTCGCCACGGAAGAAGGTATCGTAACGTGGGAACGTGGCCAATCCAAGTCTACGATTAACCTTACCTTTCTCTCCGCAACCCTCTTCCACCGCCTCGTCCTGATCGAGCGCGCCGACACTGTCCAACATGACTCCGACCACTGGCCAACTCGGACGCGAATTGAAATCCAAACCCCCATTAAAGAACCGCCATCACGCCGCAATTGGAAAGCGATCAACATGGAGAAGCTTACCAAGAGCCTTGAGATCCTCGTGACCCCAGATCTCGCGAATGCTTTCAAATCTCACATTGAACTCACCACCATCGCGTTTACTAGCGCCATTCGACATGCAATTGATTACTCCGTTCCCTGGGCGAAGCCGAGCGAATGGAGCAACCCCGATTTCACACCGGAATGCAAAGAGGCGGTACGAACGTGCCGTCGTTTACGCCGCTTATACTTCAATACTCACAATTCGTGGAACTGGCGCGCATATCTCCGTGCCCGGAACCAGAAGAAACGACTCGTGAGCAAGTCCTTGAGACTCGGCCATCGCCGCCGCGTCCAAGAAGCCACCGAAAAGGGCCCACTAGGTCTCTGGAGGTTGGCGAAATGGGCACGCTCACGTCGAGGCGCGTACGAATCAGGGATCACACCCACATTGAAAGCACCCAACGGTGACACCGCGGAGACGGTGGAGGACAAGACCGCGCTGCTCAGCGAGGCCTTCTTTCCCCAGCTCCCTGAATGCCATATCCCGTTGGATATGTTCGATCAGTTTCCGCAGGTCAGCAATCGCTTCGGTGCTCTCGCCGTGCGAGGATGCGAAGATTTGAATATTGCGTATCGTGTTCACGAACGTTGGATGGTTGACATGCGTATTGGGTGTTTTCTCAATCCATTGAAGGATTGACGCAGTCACATCCTCCATCTTCGCGAACCCTTTTTCTTGGTGGTGTTGGTGCGTAGTGTTTTGTTGTGGTGCCGTCGCGTCGCGACGAACACCTTGCGGGACGAGGTTTTCGCCCGTCAACGGCGTTGTTACCACACCCTCATCCATCGCCAGCGACTAACCTAGTAAAACTAGGATTAGTCGATAGCGCTGGATTCGGTGAATAAACTGCGAGAATTAAAACCGTCCCGGTGCGCACAATTTCAAGAATTCGATTCTAGTGTACATCCTGGTTCGCATAAAATATTTATAATAGAGAAACAAGGAGTAATATTCAGATGAGGCCTTTGCATTCACATAACAGTACAGGTAAACCTAAATCAATAGGGAAAACCTGTACTAAGGCAGAAGAAAGCTTCGCAACTAGCCAGAGGGCTTCAGGAGATATACCCTGATAAGACGAGACAGCTGATGAAAGTATTAGCGAGTTTTTTGAAGTCGCCGTGTCAGCTTACATTTCTCGATTTCCCATATCTCCCTTGTCGGCTGTAAAAGATTGGTTTACTAAGATGATTTGGTAAACCTTTTGCAACATTATCTCGCAATTATACTTGAGCCACTTACACCCTATACACATTCCATCTCAGTCAGCCTCTATATCATCAATCTCCTCTCGCAATAAGAAGTTAACCACTCACTTGCTAGAGATATTCCCAACTGAGTCAGCCTCTATATCATCAACCTCATCTCACAGTAAGAGGTCAACCACTCACAGTCTACACATATTCCATCTCAGTTAGCCTTTATATAATTAAACTCATTATATAACAGATTAACCACTTACCTCCTATATATATTCCATCTCAGTCAGCCTGTGACCCATGAATCTCATCTCGTAATCAGAGATTGACCACTTACTTGCTACATATATTCCATATCAGTCAGCCTCTGCATAATTAATCTCCTCTTATAATCAAAGATTAACCACTCACAGTCTATATATATTCCATCTTAGTCAGCCACTGAATCTTCAATCTCATCTCGCATTAAAAGGTTAATCACTCACTTTCTATCCATATTCTATCTCAGCCACCTATTATAGTATCAATCTCATCTCATAGAAAGAGGTTAACCACTTACTTCCTATATATATTCCAGCTCAATCAGCCTCTATACTATCAATCTCATCTCACATTAAGAGGCAAATCACTCACAATCTAAATATTTCATCTCAGTCAGCCTTTATACTATCAATCTCATCTCACAACCAGAGCTCAACCACTCACAGGCTATATATATTCCATCACAGTCAGCCTCAGCCTCTTCATCATTCAAGTTCATCTCATAATAAGGGATTAATAACTCACAAGCTATATATATTCCATCTCAGTCAGCCTTTGTATTATTAATCCCATCTTATAGTAAGAGGTCAATCACTCACATCCTATATATATTCCATTACAATCAGCCTCAGCCGCTTCATCATCAATCTCATCTTGTAATAATAGGTTAACCACTTACATCCTGTATATTTTCCATCTCAGTCAGTGCCTATATTATCAATCTTATCTCATAATACAAGGTCAATCACTCGCCTTCTAAAGAGATTTTGGTCAGTCTCTGCACAGTCAATTTTGTGTTGCAATAATAGGTTAATAACTTACAGGCTGTACTCATTCCCATATCAGTCAGCCACTGTACTATCAATCTCATCTTATAACAAAAGTTTAACCACTCACTTCCTATACATATTCCATCTTGGTCAGCCTCTGAAGAATCAATGTTATCTTATAAGAGCTTAATCACTCACAGTCTACGACATTCCATCTCAGTCAGCCTCTGTTTTATCAATCTCATCTCGTAGTAAGAGGTTAAACACTCACAACCTATATGTTCCATCTCAGTCAGCCTTTGTACTATCAGTCTCATCTCGCAATAAGAGATTAACCACTCACAGGCTATATATATATGATCTCAGTCAGCCTCTATATATCAATCTCATCTCGCAGTAAGAGGTTAACCACTCACTTCCTATACATATTCCATCTCAGTCAGCACCTGTATCATCAATCTCCTCTCCCAATAGTAGGTCAATCACTCACAGCCTATACACATTCCGTCTCAGTTAGACTCTGTATCATCAATCTCCTCTCCCAAGAAGAGGTTGACCACTCACAGTCTACACACATTTCATCTCAGTCAGCACTGTGTTATCACTAAAAGTCGTGGCAACTTTGTGTTCTCCGAATCGCCATCTTACCTGACGTTTTTGAAGCTGATCATTGCTTTCAATGTCGAACTTCGTTGCAGGTCTCGCTACCGCAGTTGCGAGATGAGATTGATAGAATAGAGGCTGACTAAGATGGAATATGTATAGCAAGTAAGTAGTTAATCTCTGATTACAAGATAAGATGCCGAGCATGTTCTAATTCTTGATATCGCCAGGTATAATTTGTTGACGTGCACCCATCATGACTGCGCGCTTCGCTGCTCGATCTGTAGCCTCGTTCCCAGGGATTCCTTCGTGACCCCGAATCTAATGAAAAACCACGTCGATCCCCATCTCCACGCATTCCCAGTACGACTCGATACAGTCCCGGATCTATACTTGTTCCGAGCCCATCTTCGGATTCAACATGGCTCGGAGCGCGGCTTGACTATACGAGAAGATCGCCACCTTCTGAAGCCGTGTATTGTCCTCCACGAATCGCCGTTGGACGATCTGGACTTGGGAGGTCGTCCCCGGGACCGTTTCTCCGTTGGTTTGAAGGCTACAGATTTGGTAGGTCCACGTACGGGTTGCTCAACTGTCGGAACGACCGTATCCGGCTCCAGTGCTGGTTCGCGAGTTGGCGCGTGAGTGGACTCTGGCGCCGATTCGGGGACTGGCTCCGGAGGTGGTTCTGGAGCTGATTTATGAACTGACTCTGGTACAGTTAATAGTGTGGTTATTGATGTGGTTGCTGTTTCGTACCCTTCGCGGTCATCTTTCTTGAGGCTCTTCTCTGGGCCTGCGTGATCTTCTTCGTAGTCACAATTCTCGCCGCTTTGGCGGGGGTTGGCTCCAAAGCTATATGCTCAATTATTCTTGTTTATAAATACTACATAACATAGTGTTCTATTAACCCTATAATAACCACCTGACATGCTTATGCGGTTTCTAGTTTCTAGACCTCACATTCATCACTAGACGTCTTATAGGACTCTTTATAATTAGTGTATTTTAGTATATCCTAGTCCTGGTTAAACAGGCACTCTCAGGTTAGGTACTCCTCTACGCACAACCTATAAATATATCGTTGATTTAGGCACTGGACTTATATATGTCTGTATTTTTGGCACTTTCTATATATCTTTACCTGTCCTTCTCGATGATAAGGCTAGTTGGTGAGGGAATAGGCACGCTACACTTTCCTGTTAGCAATTGCGTTGTTAGCTACTATAGAGCTAGTAAACTTAATTATAAGTGAGTTGGAGTAGCTTTTAGGCTTTGGCTGGCTGAGCCAGCCCACGTGCGTGATCTTGACCTTGAATTCTAGTTAGCTCTATTTAGTGTTCTCTACAGTAACCTCTTGCTTGAATACCTTACTTATTTCTATGTGTTGAATGGGGATTCTGTTGATAATAATTCCCTATGTCAGTATATATATAGAGAGAGAGAGAGTTGCTAAAGGTTTTAACCCAACTGGTGTAGTGCTTCTAGAGGACCTTACCTCTAGCGGTATAGCTTGTCCAGAGACTAATATTATCTAAAAGTAATTAATATATGATAATAAAGATGTGGCTGGTGAGTACTAGGCTTAGAGTGGTCTTTATTATATGATCCTGGGCTTGCTTAGCTTATTTTATAACGGTCTTTGGTTGGAGCTTCTTTATTATTATGTGATCTGATTTGTCGCGAATCTTCACTATGATCTCACTATCTATGTTTAGCTTTATATAGCTGACACTAGGAGTCGACAAACCGGTGCTTTGGGATTGAGGGGAGCTCGCGCTCTAGATGGCGGCTTGCCAGGCCTGGGCTTGGTGTGTTTTCCATTGAATAGTAGAGTTCGGTGTGGACGTGCCGGATTCTTTGCTCGATTGTGATATTTGTGTGGTGGTCATATGGACTGCTATTATGTTGTTTTGAATATGTTCTAGGAGCCCCTTGAGCTTTATTAATATATCTATTCGCTCGCCTTGCGCAGTTATGAAGTTTTTAATTTCTCAGGCGAATACTTTGATGAAAAGCTTATTAATATATTTGCCCAATTTCTTTGATGATCTGTAGTATAAGGTCTGCTACTTCCGCGAGTTGTTCCATTGTGGTGACATGATTTTTGATGATTGCGAATATGCGTTGTGTATTGTTTTGAGTCTGTTCTTGCTCCAATTTCTGCTGCGCGCTTTCCACACGTCGCGGGAATTGCTGCTCGAGTTGTTCCTGCGTCTTGTTTTAATGTGGTGGTCCCGACGCGTCGTGACGAATACCCTGCGGGATGAGGTTTTCGCCCGTCAACGGCGTCGTCAGCACCCTCCTCCATTGCCAGCGACTTACCTAGTAAAACTAGGCTAGCAAAACTAGGGTCAGTCGATAGCGCTGGATTCGGTGAATAAACTGCGAAAATTACAGCCGTTTCTGGCCGGATCTGGGTGCGCAATTTCAAAAATTCGATTCACGCGGAAGGAGATGTTTTCTTAATGATAAATAAATACCATGAGACAGGCCAAACTAACTACTTGTAATTTCAGCGAGCAATTGCGCAGAGAAGGCCGAAAAATAAGAATAAAGCCATGTCAATCAGATCTCTACCACCCTGTCCGTTTTCTAGCTGATCACCGCTACCAGCGTATAATGAGGTGACTTTGCAGCACACTGTTTACACACTGGTCACCGCATCATGCACTTTTGGGTTGATAGCCGAATTGGAAGCACCAGGGGGGTGGAAACAAATGGGCGGCCGTTATGCATGACTCGTCAGGCCGAACAAGCCCCATGCAGCAATTGCCAGGCCTGAAGCTGTGCGAAAAATAGCTTTGTTGGGCACACCCTCCAGCATGCAAACATAGCCATCGACCAGGCCGACGTACGCACCCAAGATCAGGAGAACGGTATCAAATTCGACCAATTTTCCTTGGAAATAAAAAGAGAAAAGACATAGGCCAATGGCAGTGACGCGTCCTGAACTAAGGATCATCACCGACTGAGCCGACTTGGAGATGGCGATGCGTTGGGGGAGGCCGAACTCAAGGATGGCATATTCGGCGTTGAAGAACGGTATCAAGCCCCCAAAAGTGGTTGCAGCGGCAACAAAGAGGGGAGGAACATGAATCAAGCTAAAATGGTCAAGCATTGTCGTAAGCCTTGATATTTGATCAATGGAATAAACTTGAACGAGCTAGAGTCAAATAAGTGAGTAGTAAATGATTGGGGAGGCTGAAGACGGAGGGAGTCTGGGGAAGGCGAGAGGAAGAAAGAGCAATGCGGCACGTGCCTCTGTCCGACTGGAGACTGTTTTATTGGCTTACCGTCTCATTAACGTAATCGGACACTCACTCGGCCGGGACACGGACCCGGCCACTTTTCCCGGAAAACGCGCTTTATATTATTTACAAGATTTCATCACGTCAAAATGCCACCAATACGCAATAAGAAAGCGCCAAAATCTACGGAAGTTGAGAGCCGTATTCTATTAGCTATTTCTGATTGAAAAATGGCAGGATTTGCAGTATTCGCTAGACTACAGCTCTTTATATAATCCCACGTACAACACTCTAGGGTTGGATAAGAAGTACGGGGGTAGGCTTGATACGGCCAATAAGGTGCGGTTATTTGCTCGAAGCACTAGAATACTGCTCGAATGATTATATAAGGCACCTTTTCAATGGTAGGGGTCCATTTCAACAAGAGAGAATCGTGAGTGGGCTTTGTGAATTGGTGGAAAGAGCAGTGGGATGGTGCCAAGCATGGACGGCACCTCCACTGGATTATATGGACACTAGCAAAGAAGGTCTTACAACTACACGAGGGACTGTAGAGAGTGTGGAGCTCTGTGCTTATCTAGCTGCAAACTGGCAAATCTGCGCTCTGTGGATATCTTGCGAGCATCAATATCGAGGACTCACCTACGTGTCAATGTGGACGCGGCAACCAGACGACGGTGTATGTGCTTGTCCAATGTCCTCTCCACACCGAACTCCAGATAGAGACCCTATATGCAGAAGCGCGTGAAATTGACGACTGGAAGCTCCTCTCTGAACCGCAATGGGTTTGAAGATGTATCGAATTTGTACCGCGGACGCGTCTGTTGACACAGTTCCGTGATATTACGATATAACCAAATATCGCGCTCTCAGTGAGTGCAACCACTTCTCGAGGAAGATATCTCTGTCGATTCGCCTCGCTGCGAATCGGCCACTTGATCCATTCGACTGACGACACCGGGCAACCCTTTCTCCGTATTCCATTTCTCCAACCCCAGCTTGTCCTTCATTGTACGTATTTCCTAGTGTTAGTCCCTTCGTGCGTTCCATCAACCCCGTGCTCAGGTACGTATTTGCATATTTCATTTGTTAGCATTTCGGCGTACTTGTTCATTCGTGTTGTTGTTTTAAAGCTGGGGCTACATGTCGAGGTTTTCGCGTGGTGCGGGCTGAGTCAGCCAGCGCCAAGCCGGGAGCCTTGGCACTTATTTTCTTTGTATGGTAGTACGCCCGCTGCCCAATAGGAGGCGCCGCCGGCCACTAGGCTTAGACGCGTGTGTGAATCAATCAATCAATCATTCATGAAAGTCAGTAAGGCATTCATACTCGTACAGGCACCAGGCTGTACGGGGGATCTCTTCTATCTTAGTTACGTTAAGACTTCAGTGCACCAGATCGACTATTGCTATCCTATTTACTTAGCCTACCCTATCGACGACAACCTCCGAACCTTTGTGTGGTGCAACAAGCCTAGCGTACCCCGACACAACGCTGTTTAACTAAGGTGGATCCAGATCCGTGACAGAAGGAGATTTCTGGTGCGACTGTAAACTGGGGGCAGGTTGAATAGCTGCATTTGCAATGCCCCATACCAGTAGTTAAGTTAGCTCGGACACGTTTTGTCAAGAGCCGCCCCTTCCTTAGGACCGAGTCCCACGAAATTCTCGAAAATACAGTGAGCGGTTGATTTATTTTACTACTTGGCGTGATTGTTGACGATACAGGTAGTCTGCAACTTATCTTCGTCAAACCCGCAACAACAGAAAACTTACCCTCAAGTCACGCCAAAGAGTTACCTAGCGCCGGATTTCAGTACGCCTGATTGGTTGAACCTTAGGTATCGTTTTCCACATCTCAGCTGTGGGGTCCCCAGAATTCCCCTCATCTGAGCACTTTAGTCGGGATGTAAGGTGCTCCGTACTATAACTGCGAGATGAGAAACGAAAACTTGGATCCTAAATTGCGTGTAGTATCCCTGAAGAAATGGATTGGTCATACGGAACCCAAGCCCCACCGGCTCCTGCAAATCTTAAAGTTCTTAGTGAGTGATATACTCCAGTAGGATCATTTACGGTGTGCATACACTACTATTTTCCGGTTGATCACCTGCAGCACACAGGCTTGATGAGATGAAAAGGACGCAAACTCCATTACCTTATGCCTAAGCCGGGAGAATGCAAAGAACCTTCCGGGTAATTACAAGTAGGGAATCTTTGGTCTCGCAGGATTGGATGCGTTACCAACCTTGGTCCCTTCGATATAAATATGCAATTTAGATCGTGAGCTTGTCTACGACTTTCTTGACAGCAGTTAACTGATGAAGTGATAGTATACGAACCTCAGCTACAATTTCTTTTCCTTCAAGTGGTCACAATGCCGTTCTTGAAATCCGTCACGCAGCTTCTCTGTCTGGCGAAGATAGCCAGCGGTGTTGTCGTTAGATCCAGCGGCGATACGGCAACCGACACTCCAATGGTCGATCTCGGGTACGCATCGTATCGTGGCACCCGACTCCCAGCCGGAGTCGATCAGTTCTTGGGCATGCGATATGCCAGGGCTCCATTGGGAGACCTCAGGTTTAGATCCCCCCAGCAGCCCGAACCAGTGACTGGATTGCAAGACGCATCCCAGGTGGGTGGCAAATCAAGACCTACTGGTGAAAACTGAGACTAATATTACGTTCTCTGTCATTAGTTTGGCCCGTTGTGTCTCGGTACAGGCCAGCCAGTAGGTTCGGGCTACGATGAAGACTGTCTATATGTCAACGTTTTCAAGCCTTCCAATGCAACTTCGGATTCCAAACTCCCCGTCTGGGTATACATCCAGGGTGGTGGATACGCAGCCATGGGAAATCCCAACTACAATGGCACAGAAGTCGTTAGTTATTCGGGTGGCAATATCGTCCAGATTAATTTCAACTACCGCGTGGGCGTGCTGGGATTCCTTGCCAGTGATGAGGTCAGGGAGGATGGGAATTTGAATGTTGGGCTCTTGGACCAACAGTTTCTACTTAGCTGGGTGAAAGAACATGTTAGCAAGGTGTGTAATCCAAACGAACTTCCGAGCACGGGGTTTACAAGCAACTAACCAGTCTCCATGTTCTTAGTTTGGTGGCGACCCAAATCACGTTGTTATCAGCGGTTCATCAGCAGGTGGAGGATCTGTATCACATCACCTGACAGCATATGGAGGCAAAGACCATCATCGGCACTTTATTGGAGCGGTCCTTGAAAGCCCATTCTGGCCTACGCTACGAACTGTGGAAGATATGGAATGGCAATACACCAGGCTACTCAATATGACTAACTGCTCGTCCCTAAGTTGTCTTCGAGAGATGAACGCTTCCGCTCTCCAGGCACAAAGTTATGGGACTGTGTTTCCTGGAACACAACCCACAGACCCATTTCCACTTTTCTATTGGCTCCCTGTCATTGACGGCGACTTTATTCCCGACCAGCTCTATAACCTCTTCGAAGAGGGCCGTTTCGCAGATGTACCAATACTCCTCGGCCATACCACAAATGAAGGCTCATGGTTTGCGAATAATGCCTCAAGTGCTGCAGAAGTCTCTGCCTTCTTACGCAGCAATTACCCACATCTTACAAACTTTCAACTAGACACTATCAATCAGTTCTACCCAAAGATGGACCCCTTGCCTGAGCATAACGCATACTTTCCAAGTGCTTCGGCTGCGTATGGTGACGCTACCTTTACCTGCCCATCAAGTATGATGGCACGCTCCGTAGCACAGCTCTGGGATCCGGAGCGCGTATGGGGTTACTGGTTTAATGTAATTGATGCCGGTGATACAGCTGCTGGAGTTGGAGTCTTCCATACCATGGAGGTACAAGCCGTTTTTGGACCAGGACAAACAGGATGGACCGTTTCGTCTTTTTACAATGACAATGCGCCCATTGTCCCCATTACCATGGGCTACTGGGTGAGCTTTGTACGGAACCTCAATCCAAACTCTTATAAAGCAGATGGAGCACCAACATGGGAACCATGGGGCAATGGAGACGGACGTCAGATTCGGTTGCAGACCAATAATACTGCAATGGTAGACATCACGGACAGCCAAGTAGAGAAATGCTGGCTATGGCAGTCTCTTGCCCCGATCATGGAGGTCTAAGGAACTGGTCAGCAATAAAGCATTGGACTGATTGGAAACCGAACCGAATCTCAATAGCATTAGCTTGAGTGAGAGAGGCGGAAAAGAAGTCGAAGCCTTCTTCTACAGTAATTTTGTTTATATACATTCATGATGATTCTGACTGTAAATAATTTGCTGTGTACTTTCCATTCGTACTGGGCCAAGCACGAAACTAGATTATATCTGCAAAGCTCTTGTAACTCACTGAAGATACAATTGACCATGCTGCTTATATTCCGCTTAAGTCTACTAAGAAGCTAATGTCTACTAGCCATTCTCTTTTTTGAAATATAGAATAGGCAAAGAAATTCTCTGTTAGGATAGTATCACGTTTCTCTATGATAATCGACATAGAAATTAAGATGGACTATGCGACAGCTTTGTGATCAGCTTGCGGAGCTTGCTAAAGTGCGCATGTTCTTTTTTAGTGGCCTTCCTCGCTCTTGCATGTCCTCCCGTAGTTGGGGGCTGACTTCCCAAAGTGGGCTCGGTCTGGTTCACGTTCGTCGCCTTAGATATCGCGAGCGAGTGACTAAGTCCAAGAGTTCCGACGCACCTGGCACAGAATTCGATAGCTCTCTAATATCGTGAGAGGTGGATGTGGGGTTGTCTCGATATCCCTTGGCTGGAATATCCCGATTGACAGGGATTATACGATTAGAGTTCTCGTGGAGTTAGCAAGTCCCGACTGGAGGGTAGGGGACGTGTGGAGAGAGCTGGAGATCAATCATGGAGCGAATTTCAGGTCGCATTCAGGCTAATTACCACACCAAAAGAGTTTCAGATAGAACTTTGTACTATTCGCACCCATGAACCTAGGATACGATATCAGGAGAAGAGTAGGGAAGAGAGAAGGATCAAATCACCCTGTCAAGGTGGATCTAGGTCCGTGACATGATGCCTGGTAAGATTATGCTACTGTGATGATGAAATGTATCCTAGGACTAACAATTCATATTAGACACGATATCTTTATCGATCTAGTCTACGCATCTATTGATTCTGATTTTATTAATGAGGTTATGGGTGGCTGGGAATTCGGGAGGGGCAATTATACAGCAGTGTCCTGTGGGGCGGTTGGCTTTTGAGGGAATTCTGAGAGTATCAGCGATGAGCTGCTGCATCGCTCGATTAATGGAGATGGGGGACGTGCAACAAACAACAATAGAAATCAAGAATTTGCAAATTTCATAAAAAAGAAGCATTGTGTCTGTGACTTTCTTGATTTTTCCCGGGACACCGTAATACGTCCGAGTCGAGCACCAGCGTAGTCACTTTCGTATCAATCGAAAAGCACCCTGTATACGGAAGTAGGTTATCATGGTGATCGACATCGTGGACTGGATGGGATCGAGGGCTGGGTGGCCTTTACCACGTGCCATTGGATTAACATATCGAATTCCGCCATAATGCGATCTATCAACTGAACACGATGAATGCCGCCACTCGCGGGGATTTGGCCATACTCTATTGGCTGAGTATATTGAATGCCGACTGTACATAGTAGTGTTCATCTGGAGTATCAAGGGCTTTTTTTGGTTTTCACTGGTTTATATTCCGCCGCTACCGTGCTTCCCACCTAATACATGGTAATCTAAGAAGCTCAACAGAATGTTTGATGGACAGAGTCAGGCTATCCATTTTTCCATGAGAATCAGGAAATCTGCTACGAGTGGGAAGTTTAGGTTCCAAAAATCGTTCAAGTCATTTACTTGGTCCTCTTGAATGACTCCAAGGCCGGAAAGTTGTTGGTACGGATCGTGCAAACTGCCCACTTCAATCGACTGCTTTTCCCCTAATCCCATCAAGCTGCTGGCAGATGACTTGTACTTCGTGGCACCGCTGAGACGTGATCTCCAGGACCAATCGAACGCACAGCTGGGTATACCTATCACCCCTTATAAGGCGCTTGATTTGGAGAACATTAAAGCCCATAAGTAGGATCTTCTGAGTTGGGGTGTGTTTTCTCTCTCTCCCATCTCTCTCTACGTCACGTTCTATTCTCTTCCTATCAAATTTCCTTTTTATAAGCATGCCGAAAAAATGCTTCGAGAAGACGGCGCTTCTACCGACTGCTTGCAAAGCCAGGCAAAGTCAATACTTCCGCAAAAACCTATTGGCCGAACCGGTAAATTAAACAGAAACAGCTACCTATTCATTCCGAGAACTGAGATTGCGCTCCTAAAAATTGCACTTTCACTACAGGCAGCTGTGTTGATGGCAGAACCTTCGCTCTGCATGGAAAAATGTGTCCTATCGATTCTATGTACACAGCAATGGCGATTTCTCGTCCACTCATTCTGGAGGTCGCATTGGTGGTGTGCTCTCCAATGGCCCCATACCAATTGTTACTGGTTGGTCCGGTATGCTAGATCGTACGCGTCGCGAGTTCCCTGACCAAGGTCGAGGGGACTTTCGCAGTCCTGCAATACGAATTTTGGTATGCCAATACCCACTTCATATTAGCCCTGGAATAACAGTCTCATGAAGTGGGCAAAGGAAAGCCGGCATTACCTGCACTTCCAACTAGCTTTGGTTGCGAGAAAGATGTCAGAACCTTAGTGTTTCACATGTATGACGATCACAGTAATGTGGCTGCAGACATGTTATATTCTATTTTCCCGGATTTTGACGCAATTAAGCGGAGTGTTTCCATTACAAACAAGGGCTCCGAAATAATTACGGTTGAAGAGTTAGCAAATTTCAGCGTATATATGCCCCGCGATGATTATGATATGATTAGCCTCAGGTGTAACTGGGCGAGAGAAACGCAATGGCAGAGACGACGAGTTGACTATGGGACACAAGGGTATGCTGATACCTTATAATGCCTGTCGGGAATCATTTTTGAGGCTTTATGTGTACCATCTACTAATCTCTACTTTGCTTAATAGGTTCAAAAGCAGCACAGGGTTTGCGTCTCATTTTTGCAATCCCTTTTTTGCACTTGCATCGACATATACCACTGAATCACAGGGTGAGGCGTGAGGGTTTTCCCTTGTGTATTCTGGCTTATTTGCTGTCATTATTGAGAAGGGTGGCCAGGGCTTTACTTGGGCCCTGATAGGGTTCAACCCCGACCAGCTGTCATGGTTGTTGCGGCCTAACGACACGCTTACTTCTCCCGAGTGTGTCTCAGTTTACTCAAAAGATGGCCTCGGGGCATGTCTCGCTCTTTACACAGTCTCTACCGCAATCATCTTATAAAAAGCCATTTCACAACCAGTATCAAGCCCGTGCTTTTGAACAGCTGGGAAGCTCTATACTACAATCTCGATCAGAGTAAAATATATCAAATAGCTCTCGGATCAGCCGCATTAGGTGTTAAGCTTTTTCTACTCAATGACGGCTGGCTTAGTGACAAACACCCGCGCCTGTCAGATACAGCCGGCCTTGGTGACTGTATTCCAAGTCCAGTGCGGTTTCCGAATGGGCTTGGCCCCATGGTCAAAGACATCACAGCCTTAAAGTCAAAGAGTTCATCCACCGATGTGCGTTTTGGGCTCTGGATTAAACTGGAGATGGCCAGCCCAAAATCAAGTCTTTGTGAGGAACGCCCGGAATAGATCCTACACACTGGTCAATATCCTCAAACAGAGCAGCGGAACCAGCTTATTTGAACCTTGGTCTACTCGAAGTTCAGGACCATATTATCAATTCAATCTCACATTACCTACACCATATGGGACCACAACAGATATATACACGAGGCACCATCTTCCACCAGTCACCATCCATACATGCTAGGCGTATACCGAGTCATTGAGGAGCCTACTTCAAGATTCCCTAACATCTTGTGGGAGGGATTTGCCTCTGATGGTGGAAGATGTGACCCAGGCGTTCTACAAGACTTCCTCCAGGTTTGGACATCCAACAATACTGATGTGTTAGAGTGAACTTTCATCCAGTTTGGCGCCTCAATTGTGTATCCTGCGGGTGAAATGAGTGGCCACATTTCCGCCGTTCCCAACCATCAAACGGGACGTACTATTCCTTCAACTTTCCGCGCCCATGTTGCCATTATGTGTCGCTCATTTGGCTTCGAATTGAATCACGCAGAGCTTTTGCCACACGAAAAGTCTATGTTACCTCAAATCATAGCACTGTCAGAGAAGATTAGTCCAATCGTGGTAACCGGAAAACTATGACCACTAGTCTCCCGGAGGAATCAGATTGGCCAGCTATGATGTTTATGTCCCAGGAAGGCTCGCAGGCGGTGCTATTCTACTTTCAAATAAAATCGCTCGTCAATAATGGCCTTCCGTCGCATGAAACTGCAGGGACTGCATGCTCCTTCATCATTGTTTGTGGATGGAGAGGCCCGTTCTCGGGTCAAGCATTGATGAATTTAGGATTGCAACATTCATTTGAAAGCGGTTATGGCAGTAGGGTTATTTTATTGGAGGAGCAGCATGCGTCTTAAGCGGCGACATGAGAGAGGCCTTCCGTGGATTGACTACCTATCATGAACGCGCCCAATTTTCGGTATATCTATAGGTCGTGGCAGAAACATCTGCTGCGTGATGAACACCATAGTTTTGCGCTTCTTAGGGCCAAAACATCTCTGCATCCCAATTCATTCTACGCCATGGATGTATGCGACTTGCACCTAGCAGGACTGCCAAGCGATATAGGGATTAAGAATTTTTTCGAAACGCCATGGACATGGCGAGCCCATTTATTATGTATAGGTGCTGGGGATGTTACCACGCAAATTTGGCCTGTGACAGAATTCGAATTTTCCGGATGACGCGTTCCTTCGTTCAGAGGTGTTCCCCATACTTGGCGTTATAATCCATCCTTTAATATCGATGTGGCGTACATGTAGCCGGATTAGAATAGAAGATTTAATAAGCTGAAGAGCGGGACTGTGACAGCGGTTTGGATTTCGGGGGTTATCTCCATGCGATTCTTCTGTAATCCGGGGAATTTAGCCTCCTCATCGGCTTGCAAATGCGCGTGCGGGGTTAAGGTGCCATATCCACATAGTTACGAGACGTCGCAATAATCATTTCCTAACACAGTATAGTTATAATGCGTGTATCCCAATCAGGAGCATCACCGACGGGGCTTCGTTTCGTAAAAAGTTTTTTCGCCAATGAATAAAGGCGAAAAGACCATTGAATCCTCTTCAGCCTCCCCAGCCCTTAAGTTTCAATGTCGTCGGCTTGCGTGACTTGATAGTTGTTTCCTTAATATTCTACAAGTCAGCCGTTAACACAATGAGACAAGCAAGTGCATGCGCTGAATGCCGGTAAGCTCTGAACCCATTATTAAGATGCGGAGAAGGGTTAGGATGCATTGCTTGGCTAAGCCCTGAGCAGGAAACGCAAAAGAAAATGCATAACATCCTACCAAAGCCATTTCTGCGACTACTGTGTTCAACATAGCAAGTCGTGTAGTCTGGTGCGTCTCATAGTATCTTCACCCACGGCTTATACCTATACTGCGTCTTGCACAGGCAAAGATGGCCAGCAGGATGTTTCAGATTACTCAAGTATAGTTTCCTCTCTCTCGGTTACTGCGAATGATCTGCCCTCGGATGGTCTCGATCTAATTCAAGGGCAGATACAATCCCCGATATTGAATTACAGGTGGAGCTGGTAGGCCTATATTTCGATTATATTCATGACCAATTCCATTCCATTTTCCATCCTCCAACTATGATCGAGCTTGTCAGACAAGGAAAAGCTCCTACAATATTGGTCCTCGGAATGATCGCACTATCTGCAAGGTGAGTAATTTATTTAGTTTCCGCGGTCCCCTCAGATAGCATTGAACTGACATGATTGACCATAAAACCAAAGATTCTCCAAAAATAAGGTTTTTTACAACATCCCAGCCAAAGAAAGAGGGCTACCCTATATAAGACATGCTGAAAGACTGTTGAATCTCCATGAAATGTCCGTCACTATGATACAGTCAGCTTTGCTTCTGGGAGCATTTTGGACGGGGGAAGGGAACCCTAACTTAGAGTCTGTGTTTGTCAGTATTGCCGTTCAAATGGCATCATTGATTGATCTTGCATCATACCCGGCGGCTTCACCGATCGAGAAGGAAACAAATATACGAAGTACGTATCCTTTATTCTATGTGAAAAAATGGCCTGATCAATTGATTCCTGTCAGTTTGGTGGAGTTTACGGATGGTTGACGTGTGGGCTTCGAACGGCGTTGGTCTTCCACCGAGACTCAGTAAGATGAAACCATCACCGCTGCCTGGTGATGATGTAGCATTCAATAGCGACAACAACTGGGTGATGGATTCGAGCTCCAAAACATCCATTCCCCGTTCCTCGCTCCTTTCCGAAATGGTGAAATTGAATTGTATATTTGCAGAGATATATGAGTTACATGAAGATACAATCAAAGGACAAATGGGTGGTTCATTTATAGAGACGCGTGTCACCAGTCTTGGGCTCAAGTTGGATGAGTGGTATGCAGCGCTCCCGGATCACATGCGAGACACACCAGAAAACCTCGCTCGGTTTGCGTCAGTTGGTTTGGGCCGTCTCTTCGTCGCTGTATATTGCGGCTACTACCACTATGGTCAATTGCTGTATTATCAATTCCTGCATGCCAAAAATCAGGATGAAGTCTTTTCAACTGCTGCCACATATGCTGTTCGATGCAATGCATACTCTGCGGGTCTCTCCGAAATCATTTATGCAGCACACTCTACTCCTAGATGTGATGTCCTGTACAACATGATAGGCCATATTCTTGTGGTTGCATCCACCGTCCAGATCCACACACTTTTGAATTCCAGTTCCGAAGAAGAGATTGCCACTACGAGACGTCGCCTAGAACGAAATTTTGAGATCATGTTGCGTTTAGACAACCTGTGGCCCACTCTCGCAATGTGCCTATTACGACTCCGAATATTTCATACGGCTTGTCGTAGGAGCATGACAGAAACATTTCTCATGGACGGCTGGATGCTTCGCTTCCTACGCGACTTTGGGAGGGCAGTCGATGAAAGAACTGATGTGGCCTCGGAAGAAATCCCATTTACGCTGGCTGGAATTGAAATTACATTTGATCAGAACAATACTTGAGAAGGAATAAATTTATTTACTCCTATTTGATGTAAGGAGGAAAGACTGAGTCGATGTTACATCTACGCACTGTATGGTGCTAAATTATATCAATGTATTGTGTTTGCCTAGTCTGAAAACATATCAAACCGTATTAGCAGATAAGTACAATTCTATCCGAGACTCTAAGGGTTTACTACAGCAAATAATAGCTGTAATATTGGACGGGGATATTCATAGATGAGCCGGCACCACATGCAGGTGCTGAGTGGACCAACAATTCTGGTTTGGGATGAAATCCGCCCTGATTTACGGCCAACGCTCTAGATATTTTCTCTAAAATTTGCTGGTACGGAGTACCGATCTCTTCTTCGTGGAGTTTCTCAGGGGATCATCCAGGTTCTTGTTTGCAAGGCATGTGCGCTCCGGGTCGAACGGGCCAGCCAATAAAATAGGGTATAAACCGAGGCATTCCATACCTTCAGCCAATAACTCAAAGTTCAAGCCGCCTCTTTGTCAATGCGCTCGTATGGAGAAGCCAATGGCCCAAATTGCCTACATAAATTGCGTAGCCACCGTCTCAGCGCAAGTCACGTCGCCCTAGGAAGGAAGTGGTGGCGTAAAGCTCACTCACTGGTAAGACTTCAAGAACCCTGGTAGTAATAGTTAGAACGAAAGTGATACCCTGGTAGGGTGGGGAAAATCGACAATGTCCTATATTATTATCTTAATATAATCTCCGGCCACGCCAACATCACTCATAACAAGACTGCTAATGAGCTTAAGTACACTAGCGGACCTTAAACCCTGGATGTCAACACCACAGCCAACAGACTTGACTTTGATTTCCACTCCTTGAGTGGCAAAAAACTCACTGGTCACTCGTTCCGCTCAGTTGGTTACGTCAAAGATCACGCGCTGAGTCTTACCGCTACGAAGACTGCATGTACGCCGTGAAAGCTGCATGCTCGCGGAGCTAGATCTTGGCGCTGGCGGGAGAGTTTATGGTCTGGGCGAGCGCTTCAGCGCTTTTATCAAACACGGGCAAACAGTCCATAATATATGGAATGACGATAGCTGTACTAGGTACACAGAAAAAGATCTTATTTACATACCATCCAATAGATACGGTCTTTTTGTCAATCATCCTAGTAAGGTTAGTTTAGAGGTTCAGTCTGAACAGACTACGCGAGTTAACATCTGTATGCTGGACCAGAAGATCAAGTATTTCATGATCTATGACAAGACCTCTAAGGGTATTCTATGATGATATACTACTCTCACTGAACGGCCGGGCCTAGTTCTATTATAAAGCTACAGTCTCCGGCTGATAACTAGCTTCACTACTAACAAAGATAAGAGTATAGTAATTGGATTCCTTGATGGGTTCCAGGACCACGATATTCCGCTGGGTGTCTCCTATTTTGACTGCTTCTAGATTAAGCCCTACTAGTGGTGAGATCTCTGGTTTGATGAGAAGATATTTCTGTACATAATGGCCATATTTATCTATTCGGGGCAAAGTGCAAATATTAATTTGCCTTCACTGCAGGTGTCGACAAGCCTATAGCCGCAGGTAGTATTTGGTCTGTCAAGTGACTATCTCCTAGCAGGCAAACTTTATAGTTGCGACAAAGTCGCACAAGATACGTGGACCTTAGTGTTTATTTCGCTCGGCAAAGGAACAGGTTCCTATTCATCGCCTACGGAGGTTATTGATCAGAATTCCACCTGTTACGAAAGAAACCCTTTAACGAAAGCCGTACTAAGAACAGTTCGGCACGATGTTTGTAGGAGGGTGAAAATTAAATATTGGAAATTTGATTGGTACTTGATTTTGTCCGTCTGTAATTAGCATATTCTAACGATTACTGTCGATACCACTGTCATATTACATGAAGCGAGGGACGAGGTGAAGTTGTGAATAGCATAATTTATTTATCAGAGAGTCTGAAAAGGCGAGCGCATACAGGTGAGGAAACACGAATTGACAAAGCACCATTACTTGAATCCCATAGTATGTGCGCTTCAAAATTCTCCGGATACAAAAGCTTGACTTCAATATCGCGTCCTTTGAGTGCAGGAATGGGCAAGGAGAGTGTGTTTGACCCAGATCTGCGCCATACACTAAGATACCGGACTCCGCTCTTTGCGGTAATGCCCAGTGCCACCCAACTGTCGTGCCATGTTGGTAGACCTAACGGCCAGAATGGGACGCCGGTAGCAAGATCAGAACGGAGCTGCTTGTATACCGCCATACCACTCACGACGAGCTCTAATTGCTGAGAGCTTAGCAGGTCGATCCTACCACTCAAATGAACACGGCCCAGTAGACTGTTGACGACTGTCATCGCATTCTTCTCATCATCCCATTCAGGTTGCGGGTATGCCCAGCTAGCGCTCTGCTCCGGTGTGACTGCGGTCGGCGCGGACGCTGCAATGGCAGAATAACGCACTGGATCTTGCTGGTCGCTGGTCGACTGCAGTGAATGGACTGACAGGAGGGCGTAGTCCATACGTTGACCACCACTGGAACAGCTCTCGATGACTAGGTTAGGCATGCGGTCGTACAACTTGCCAACCCACTCGAGATATGCCCGGTTATGCCCCAGTTGCCCATCAGCGGGACTAAAAGAGTTTACATCCGTACCCTGAACGACTTCAATGTTGTAGTCGAACTTGAAATATCCGACACCATACTGGAGGACAAGGTTGTCAATCACCTTGTCCATACGTTTAATGACCTCAGGGTGCCGATAATCCAGCTGGTACCGGCCCTTCTCAACAATTCGTCGGCCGTTCTCCTGGAAGAAAGCATCCGCAGGAAGCATATCTGCAACGACACTTCGAACGCCAACTACCTCTGGCTCAATCCAGAGCCCGGGGGTCAGTCCTTTATCCTTTATCATATCGAGTAGAGACTTCAATCCTTTGGGGAACCGTTTGGTGGATGGTTCCCACAGACCAACGTCGTCCCACCAGCCGTTGTCATCGGCATACCAGCCGCAGTCAATGACGAAGAACTTCGCACCCGTTTTCACCGCAGGGTCAACAAGGGCCATGACCTTCTCCTCAGTAGGATCGCCCATGAGACAGTTCATGTAGTCATTGAAAATCACACCAAGCTCTTCATTGTCCTTATGCGGTCTCCGGATGCGTCGGCGGTACTCAGTTAAGGCGGCGAAGGCGTTGTCCGGATCGGCCAACACGTGGCAGAGCGCTACCGGTACCGTGGTGAACGAATGACCCGGACGCAGGCAGTGCTTCCAGCCGTGATCTTTGTTTGTTGGGCCGCCTAGAGCTAGATAAACATTCTCTTGAAAATCTCCGAGTTCCCAGCGCCATGAGCCGTTGCTCTCAATCTGCCACAGCCAGCATTCACTATCATCGTTCTTCTTCAGCAATCCAACTGGGAGATAGGTTCCTGTTGAAAACGATCCACGATTTGAAATGGAGTGATGCGCTAATGACGCCTCATGTTCAGGCAGCTCGGAAAGGCCGATATCGTCCAATCCGACACTGGGAAGGGACTCATCCCGCCACTGCGCTTCTCTGAACCACGTATTGGTCGGCGTGGACAAGGTGTAGTCTAGCCAACAGCTAATCGGCTTCTCACCTAGAGCACCCACAATGAGCGAGGACAGTTGGGTGACCACGATGTCTTCCTGCGACTCATTGCGAATGGTCACCGTCGAGCGGATTACAGGGATTCCCGAATACACCGACATGTGAGAGGTAACGGAGATTTGCGATATCTCGTCATACGCAGTAACATTGAGGGACTTTAGCAAACCATGACTATGTTCCTGATGGCTTTGATACTTCAGCCTGCTTGATACGTAACTGCCAATGAGCGCCTTGGCCGACTTATGAACCGGGTTTCCCTCAGCCTTCAGTCGTACGCCAAACAGAGGAATCGCACCCTGTTTGGAAGCCGAGGGATCCTGTACCACCACTGATACATCACGAGGGAGAATATTTAGAATACGAACAATTTCGTCGCTTCCAACGGCTAGTTGAACAGTCAGAGTGTCCGTGTGCCAGACAATAATTTTTGGTTGAGACATTGTTTTGGACGCTTATTAAAGTAACCTATGAAGTCATCTTCTTATATATAGTGCGGCCATCTGCCCTGCTATTTAATCCCAAGCCGTTTGATTGTGCTGTAAATGGGAAGCAATTGCTCTTAACGCTGAGCTGACGTTACAGAAGAAGCCGAAGCCCTTGGGCAGCTTCGGTAAATCACCGGGCGGAGTTGACCGCCATTGGATTACCAAGTATCACAGATAGCCCAGAAGAAACGGCGAGCTTTGTAGCTGCTCAGTGTAAGATCGTCCAATTCCATCGACGTATGGGAATCAATTAACCCTTTTAGCCGGTTCATGACACGTAACTGGCACTGCAATACCGCAACCCGACCACCAATAACTACAAAAAAAGTAGTGCGGGGGCGTGAAATATGGAGATTGAGGAGGTCAATCCGGGGATGTATGGACGACTTTAATTCCGCCCTTTCCCCATTATTAGCGTCGGTTTTCGGCAAAACTGGTTGGCTGAACTTTACCGGTATCTTCTCTATATTTGCGACCTTTTCTTTTAGCATGAAAGCATTACTCCGGATGGATGTAAAAATTGGCAAATTGAATCCCGGTGGTTGACAATCCTTGCATTCCCAAGTGGACCTCTATGAGCTGTAGCTCAAGTTGCGGATATTTTGCAGCCGGTTATTTCATTTGCTCGGCTCTGGCCCGCGCTCAGCGGCCTAAATGGAATACGAGATTCCCCTTGTCACGCGTGGTGGGAAGTCAGTTCTCCGCACGATTCTCTAATCCTCCCATATGGAAACTCGCAGATGACACATGGAGCAGCATTTTCGGCCCAGTGGAAGGCTATATCAAACAAAAGGATGGACGTTCCCCGTCAAATGGGACATTCCTATTCAAGAGGAAATAACGATTCGAAATTACACCATCTGCCTCCAAGAAATACTCAACTATACAGAATCGTTTCAAAGCTGAAGACTTTGGAAGTCATCGAATCAGTCAACAGCACTCGATATGGCGACGAGCGCGAACGATATTGACGCTCTTGAAAAGTCAGCCCTCCACCATGTCGAGGATGCGCTGGGTGTCGGCGCAGTCGTCGAGGCGATGAGAGCCACTGATGAAGAACATGAGCAAACTCTCTGGCAAGCCCTTCGAGCCAACCGCAAGGCCGTCGGATGGTCCGTCTTGATTTCCATGTCTGTTATTATGGAGGGATACGATACTATCCTAATGGGCAATTTCTTTGCCCTCCCCACATTTAACCAAAAATATGGCCAGTTCTATGGGGGTTCCCTCGGCTGGCAGGTATCAGCTCCTTGGCAAAGTGGGCTCAACATGGCCAGCACAATCGGTGCTATTTTCGGTGAGTTGCGAAAGCTTTGCCTGGGTTGTGGTTATGATGGTCGACTTGTGCGCTGACAGTCATTTTCCAGGTGGTCTGCTTAACGGCTACATTGCCAGTAAGTACGGGTATCGCAAAGTCATGATCGTCGCTCTCGGATTTTTGACCGCTTTTATTTTCATCGTCTTCTTTGCCAACTCTGCCCCCGTTCTGCTTGTGGGCGAGCTCCTCTGTGGTCTCTCTTGGGGTGTATTCGCCACAGTTGGACCTGCCTACGCTTCAGAAGTTTGCCCGACTAACTTGCGTGGATACCTCACCATCTATGTCAACATGTGCTGGGCCATCGGCCAGATGATTGCCGCTGGCGTGCTTTATGCTATGCTGAAGCGGACCGATGAATGGGGCTATCGCATCCCCTTTGCGCTGCAATGGATCTGGCCTATGCCTTTGATGGTTATCTGCTTCCTGGCTCCGGAGAGTCCCTGGTTCCTGGTACGCAGTGATCGTCTCGAGGAGGCTAAGAATAGTATCCGTCGCCTGGGAGGTGACAAGACTGAAGAACAAATCAATGGCCAACTAGCGATGATGGTTCACACGGCCAAGATCGAGTCCGAAATCGAAGCTGGGACTACGTACTGGGACTGCTTCAAGGGTGTTGATTTACGCCGCACCGAAATCTGCTGCGTAGCATTTGCCGGTCAGATTCTTTCTGGAAGCTCATTTGCCTACTCGCCTACGTATTTCTTTGAGCAGGCCGGTATGGATCCCAACAGGGCGTTCCAGATGGGAGTTGGTTGCACCGCAGTGGCTTTTACTGGAGTTGTGTTGTCTTGGTTCCTCATCACCTACGTCGGCCGGCGAACCTTGTATGTTTGGGGCCAGGGCGGCCTTAGTACTATCCTCTTCATTATTGGTATCATCAGTGCGTCCTCACATACCCCCGGCGCCATGTGGGCACAAGCCGGTTTCTGCTTCCTTTGGCTGTTCGTTTTTGCCCTGACTATTGGTCCTATCACCTATTCTCTTATTTCGGAGACATCGTCGGTGCGGCTGCGACCATTGACCGTTTGCCTGGCGCGTACAGCCTACCAGTTAGTGAATGTTATCTCGCAGGTGCTGGAGCCTTACTTCATGAACCCCACTGCCTGGAACGCATCTGGCAAGACAGGGTTTTTCTGGGGTGCCACAGCACTCTGCGTCTTCATCTGGGCATACTTCCGTCTTCCTGAGCCTAAGGGGCGTACTTACGCCGAGCTTGACATCCTCTTCGCAAGCAAAACTCCAGCCCGCAAATTTGCTACGACTCACGTGGATCCATACGCCGTGGGTGCGTCTGTCTCCCAGGAAGGTCTTGTCCGGAATCAAACAACACAAGGGAAGGAGTGAAACGGATGGTGCAAAAAAAGAAAAATAGAAATCATGTTGATATATGGTTTCTGTTGCCTTGCTGTCCCTTTAGGTAGCTTCTCTTTTGCCTCTTTAGTCAAGGATTATTATTTACATATTTTGTCTGAGTGCAGAATGATTTGTTCTCTATTAAACAAAATATGCCAAATCATAGCAGAATTTTGTCCCACACCGATCAGAATCCCTGGTATCTTAGTTATTACCCTAATTAATAATTGAATAAGAGAGCACTAGGTCCGGCGAACTGTTCAGATTATGTACACCAGATTGAATACCTCTAGAAATCCATCCCTTGTACCCTGATTGTGAAAAGGCGTCGTCCATTCGGCATCATACCGCTTTGGCCAGTCAACTGTGTGGACTTTGGCCGAGCTACTAGCGACATGGCGATTTGCGGCAGATTAATGGCACTCTTATCTCTCGCCACTAGTATGTCCTTGATACTTCTCTCCCATAGTTTTTTTCGTTTCGGTATGGATTGCGGTACTACCAGTTCAAGTTTGGAAAGATTACATTAGACAAAACAACGAAGTCGATAGGCAGATGACAGGTCGTCGGTGACGGTGTCAAATCAAATACTCAAGTGGTCGAGAATGTCGATATTCGTGCTGGCCAGGGTTGAAAATTGTCGAGATTCCAATTGGAAGTTGAAGGTCAGAGGTTTTGAAATAGCAGATGAAAAACGTGGTTGAGCGAGGATACTTGCAGGTGCCTGAGGCGCGTAGCTCCCCTGTCTATATCGAGTTGAAATATTACAGTCTGGGCGGATGTATCCTAAGTGGCTTCATCTTTGAAGAGAGTCAAATATGGCATGGCGGGATAACTGGKAGGTAGTGGTTAGTACAAGTCTTGAAACTCGAACCCCAGATTTCCTCAGGCTCTGGCAAGATTCTAGGACACTTTGTGATCATTATGGGTAGAATGTGGAAATCAATAAGGCTCAACCAACCAGGGGTGTTGAATGCCGGGGCTAACGATGAGGGGTAAATCGATCTCAGATGGGACGAATTTCCAAATTTCAACCTTCCGTAATAGGCAGCCTGCATAGAAGCTACGAAATAACAACCAGCTTGAGTTGCAGGGGTGGGAAATACGAGAATGCCGCCGCTACTTGTATTATTTACTGTATCTATAATAGAATCTCCTTAATAGATATTAGGAAACTTTATTGCGTTATTAAGTAATAAGATAAAGTCTAATCAGTGAACGCTATTAAACATAGGAGTCTATTAGCTATATGCTATATAAAAGTACAGGCAAGATACATATAATCATTGTAGTAAAAGTAGTATTACTAGTAGTAGGTATTGCTATACTTTAGCTTTCCACGGTCAAGAATTACTATCTAGTGTTGAAGCATAAAATAGGTATGAATTTAACTGCTAAGCTAAAGGCAAGGACTCTATTATAAGGGGTTTATTTCTAGGGCGTTATACGCTTGTAATAATCCAATCTCACTAGAATGGTGTTAAGAATAAATTGAATAACAAACACAAATCAGATTTAACCTAGGTTTCTGCATGATCAAGTAATCTAGTATTGGAGAGAACAGTCTCTACCGGAACACAGCATCCACCCCCAATTTCAGAGACTGACCGGATAAATCATAAAGTAATAAGCGCTGACTACGATTTAAATTCTAGAATAGACTACTGATTTAGCCATTCTGGATAAACAGAAGCTTGTAAAATACCAAGATTTGAATTCTGTAGATGAGTGAGACTTCCTACTATGGATTGGTAAACGAGATAATCCCTGATGTATAGCTAAGGAATATTTTTGATCCACCTGCCATCGAATGAATTGAAACTATACTGTGGAGAAAGGGATAGCTCCATATCATTTCGCTTTTTCATATATTGCGTGCTATTCCCCGGCATAGTACGTTGATTGTCTTACCCTTCCTCGTGCAACATCTCTCCCCCTTCTTCCTATCGGATTCTATAGCTCAAACATTGAAATGGTCAAATTCACGTCTCTCGTGGCAATCGGCCTGGCCTTTGCCACGGCAGCGACAGCGGACAATAATTCCAGCAAGCCAAAATACAAGGACCCGCATGTATCTGTGGACGAGAGGGTTAAAGATCTCGTGTCCCGAATGACGATCGAGGAAAAGGCAGCTCAATTATTGCAAGGTGTGCAGACAATGATTCTGTACCATTGTAGTGAAACTGACGTGCATGTAGGTGATATTGGCAATTGGATGGATACTACCACTGGAGCCTTCAACCAGTCGGGCCTTGCCGATAACATGAAGACTAAAGCAGGTAGCTTTTATGGTAAGACTGGTCCTTCATATTTGTTCAGTACTGGGGAAAATGAAATGAAAAGTGAACTAGAATAAGCTGATGGTTTACAAAATTATATTCTCCAGTGGGATATCCTGTTCCGGCATCGTGGCTTGCCGAGAATATTAAAAAGGCTCAAGATTATCTCGTCAATGAAACGAGACTGGGAATCCCCGCTCTCGTTCAATCAGAGGGTACGTTAATTCTTTTTTAGGATCCCGAACAGCCCATCGAACTGTACTTGCTAAAATCGCGCTATAGGAATCCACGGGTTTCTGTTGATAAATGCAACCATCTTTAATTCTCCAATTGCTTTCGCATCTTCCTGGAATCCAACGGTACAATCCACTTGCCACTTGATCTAGCTGTTCCTTTCTAACCTAGCATGCGTAATATATCTAGCTGGTGCAAGATATGGCCAAAGCTATCGCTCGCGAAGCTGCTGCTATCGGTGTGAACCAACTCTTCGCGCCACTCGGTGATCTAGCCAGGGAGCTGCGTTATGGAAGGGTACGTTAGTTCAAGTTACTCATTTTTCTTACATTTACTTATGACATCTACAAGTCTCTTAGGTAGAGGAATGCTTTTCTGAAGACCCTTATCTAGCTGGCGAAACTGCCTACTCGGTTGTCACAGGCTTGCAGAGTGAGAATGTGTCTGCGACTGTGAAGCATTTCCTCGGTTTTTCAGCGCCGGAGCAAGGACTGAACACAGGCCCTGTCCATGGCGGCGAGAGGGAGCTTCGTACTACGTACGCAATGAACTATTCGCTTCGTAAAAGACAGTACTAACGCCGGATACAGTTGGATGCCATCCTACAAAAGGGCAATTATTGATGCAGGTGCATGGGGGATTATGGGAGCATACCATTCGTAATGCTTACTACACTCTTATCAACCAGGACCAACTGACAAGGAGATCTAGATACGACGGTGTCCCGGCTGTCGCAAATAGCCATATGCTTAATGACATCCTCCGAGGAGAATGGGACTATCAGTATTATGTAATCAGCGATGCTGGAGCGACAGACCGATTATGCAATACCTTCAAAATGTGCGAAGCAAGCCCTATTGATTCCGATGCAGTTACTCTGGCTGCTCTTCCTGCCGGTACCGATGTCGAGATGGGCGGTGGTTCCTAGTACGTTCCAAGTTTATATTCGCCTTCACTACCTCCAAAGCAGTGGTTTGTTAGCGGTATGCTTTCTAACGCTCTTTAGCAACTACAAACAAATCCCACAGCTGGTCAAGGAAGGTCGCCTTGATATAGAAACGGTTGATACAGCGGTGTCTCGGTTCCTGAGGGCTAAGTTTGAGATGGGCCTCTTTGAAAATCCCTATCCTGCTTCCGTCGCAGACCAAACGTGGTCAGCTTTAATTCACACCTCTGACGCGGTTCAGCTAGCATACAGTCTTGATCGAGAATCAATCATTCTCTTGGAGAACAATAACAACACCTTGCCTCTAAAGAAAAGTGGAAGTATTGCAGTGATTGGGCCAATGGCTCATGGATTCGTGAATGTAAGTCAACTTGCGTACTTGGGTTTTATCGCTAGTATTCGTACAGCAGACCTCTGTATGTTAACTGTATTGAATATTCTAGTACGGCGACTACGTCGTTAAAGGGAGTATGGCCCGCGGCGTTACCCCTTTGGACGGAATTAAAGCTGCTGTTGGCAATTCAGCGACCATTAATTACGCAATGGGATGCGAGCGCTGGAGCAATGATCAGTCCGGTTTTCCAGAAGCCATCGACGCAGCTAAGAAATCGGACGTTGCAGTCGTCGTTGTTGGTACATGGTCCAGGGATCAAAATGAACTCTGGCAGGGACTCAATGCGACGTACGTCTCTCTTTGTCTTCGCTTTAGGAGTACGTTAGCTGACTATATGCTAGAACAGGTGAACACGTGGACGTTAACAGCTTAAACCTCGTTGGGGCGCAGGCTGACCTCGTACGCGCTATTACTGGAACGGGTGTTCCTACCATCGTGGTTTTCTCCTCGGGCAAGCCGGTCTCCGAGTCTTGGATTGCCGATAGCGCTGCTGCTCTTATTCAACAATTCTACCAATCTGAACAAGGAGGAAATGCACTTGCAGACATCCTTTTCGGTGATTATAATCCGTCTGGACGACTCCCGGTCAGCTTTCCACATGATGTTGGCTCCCTTCCCATATACTATGATTATCTCAATTCTGGTCGAACTTCTTCACCGGATGCGGGATATGTCAATCCCGACGGATCTATACATTTTGGCCACCAGTATGTGATTGGGACACCGTTACCTTGGTATCCTTTCGGCTATGGAAAGTCGTACTCAACATTTTCATACTCGGCCGTGTCCTTGGACAAGGCAAATGCCACTGTATCTGATACCGTGACGGTAGAGGTGCAGGTCACCAATACAAGCCCAGTGGATGGTACAGAAGTGGTCCAGCTCTATGTTATTGATAACATTGCCAGCGTCGATATTCCGAATCGGAAACTGAAAGGGTTCAAGAAGGTGTTTATCAAGTCTGGGGCAACAGTGCGCGTTCAGATTCAGCTGCCAGTCCAAGATTTGGGTTTGTGGAATGAAAAGATGCAATACACTGTTGAGCCAGGTGCATTTACTATTCAAATTGCTAGGAGTGCTACAGATATCGCAGGGAGTGCGACATTGTATGTCTCTTAGTCGCGAGAGAGTCGAAGGTGTTGATGTATTCTGTGGACGCAGCGTGTGTAGAGGAAAAGTGAGGAGGGTTATCGTAAATAGGATCAATTTTGCTCATTCCTCATGAACAATTCTGTCAATCTGTGTCGGAAAAGCTAAAAGCAAGACTAATACTACTGCCTATCTTCTATCGATAGTCACTTTCATCTAGATAAATAGTAGCAGGGACTCCGTAGGAGAGGAATTTACTAGTAAAGATAAAGTACAGGCCGAAGGCTTTACTCTCTATATTTATAATTTAATATCCTGGGATGCCGAAATTCAAGTCTACGTATTTTTTTCCCCCAACCTAATCTCATTTCTATGTTAGAGATGATTAACGCTTAAGATTATCGCGGTCGCAGACCATTTACGTGGGCATCGTCTCTGGCGAAGATTTCACAACTTCAAATCAACGGAACGTTGAGAAAATCCATAATTTACACATACCATCAAGTGGGGTGGGCGCAGAATCTCATTCTTTATTAATACCACGATATCTAGTGAGTATCCGTTTCGTGTTGGTCAAGACGCATGGCTCTCACAATGTCCAAAACTACAACTCGAGACCAAACGCGCTGTCACGATTCACATCGTTCCGACTCGATGGCGAAGATTACCACGACTTGTGTCGGCAGGTCATACTGCAACAGCCACTTCCTAATGAAAAGAGCGAATGCAGGAGGCCCTTTACAACGGTACAGTCCAGGATTCCAGACCTAGGATGCCAAAACCCAACTTGTGCCTTCGCAACCACAACCCACCAGGAATTCAACAATTGGCATAGTGATACGGATCAATGAAAAGAAACGAAACTCTCTACTTGGTTCATACTACAGTTTTGGAATCATCTCACCCCTGCAAAATGCCATATGCCAAACCCAACATGTAATTATCAACCAGTATTTTTAAGATGATGGGCATTCCCGTTTTTACTATTTTGGGTTAGTCTCTTGATGTAAGACTCTGCTTATCAGATCCACTCGATGCCCTGTGTGGAGATTGCAGATTAGCCGCCTAGGGCTAAAACAACGCTACATGATCACCAGTGCAATACTAGTACCAAAACATCAGTGTTAAACATGGGTCATCCAATCTCGAAGCATAGCATATCACGGACGTACTTCTTGATGCGGTCGATCACATGACACAAACACTCACTGACTGACCAATAGGGACGGAGTTGACTGCCGTTGGGTGACCCGATATCCTAGTTAGCACAGTAGAAACGGCGGGCTTTGTGACTGCTCATAGTAAGGTCGTCAAATACTGCCGACGTATGGGATCCCATTAACTTTTTTAGCCGGGTCATGTGCCATAACTAGCCCTGCAATACTGCAACCCGACCACCAATAACTACAAAAAAAAGTAGAGCGGAGATGCGAAATATGGAGATGGGGAAGATCAGTTCGGGGATGTATGGACGACTGCAATTCCGCCGTATCCCCATTCTAATAGACTAGCATCGGTTTTCAGCAAAACTGGTTGGCTGAACTTTACCGGTATCTAGTTCTGACATCTGCTTCTAGCGTGATCTCGCTAAATCTCGGCTTGAATGCAATACCCCGGATGGATGTAAAAATCGGCAAATTGAATCCCGGTTTTTGACAATCCTTGCTCTCCCAAGTGGACCTCTACAGGCCGCAATTCAAACTGCGGATATTTTGCAACTAGTTGTTTCATTTGCTAACCGGCTTGAGTTCCAGGGGTGGGAAATACGAGAACGCCGCCGCTACTTGTATTGTTTACCGTGTCCGTGATGGAACCTACTCAACGGATATTAGGAAATTTTGTTGCGTTATTCAGTAATAAAGATGAAGTCTAGTCAGTGAACGCTATCGAACGTAGGAGTCTATTGGCCGTATGCTATATGAAAGCGTAGGCAAGGTATATGTGGTTGTTATAGTAGTACTAGCAGTAGTCATTGCTATATTGTAGCTTGCCACGGCCAAGAGTCACTATCTAGTGTTGAAGCGTGAAATAATAGACATGAATTTGATCGCTAAGCTAAAACGAGGACTCCGTTAGGAGGGATTTATTTACCAGGCGTTATATGCTTGTAATGTTTCATTTTCGCTAGAACACCTGTTGGATAAATACTACCGATTACAGGCACTGCGAGTAATATTCATTACCAAAAGTGCAAGTATACGGCGAAACACACACCGTAGGTCCCGTCCATCCAAGACCACCACATTGGCCGTAAAGACTCTGGGTAGTCGTTGTCGCCCCCAGGACTGTGTTCACTGCGCCCACCACCGCTGGGTACCACTTGGCGGCCATCTTGGAATCACCAGAGCTATTTGGATGGACGTCGTCTCGCAAGTCGGATGGGGCTATCCCGTCGTACTGGTCCACAACCCAGATAGGGGACTGGGTAGTGTTTTGGGAGGCGGCCCAGGAAGGAATAGCGCTATTCAAGGCCTGTACCTGCGTATTGTCGGAGCCAACAAAAATAGGGAGGATTTGGGCCACCTTTTGAGATTATTATATTAATCAGATGTTCTTTAGTCAAGGTGAGAATAGAGATAGGGGTAGTTAATATATGCGTGCGTGAATAGAGAGCAAAGGGGAGTAGAAGATAATATTAGCGAACATACAATGATCTTCATCCGTGGATTCGAATTTCTCATCTGCTGGACCAGCGTCGTAAACGCGTTGAGGATCTGTTGGGTGGTTTGCCCCCCAAAGATATCGTTTGTCCCCAGGTGCATTGTGATTACGTCGGCCGGGTTATTGTTTAGCCAGCCGACGAGGTCGTTGCCGTTCACAATACCCACCGCTGAATACCCTTGGTGGCCCTCAGAATGATGGTTATAGTTCTCGATGCTACATCCAGCCGGATTTTCGTCCGTCATGGACCCAACGAAGTTGACATTCTGATAGCCCGTTTCCTGTAGCTGCGTCCACAAGAGTGAGCGCCAACAGGTGATCTCAGTGATCGAGTCGCCCAAGGGCATATAGCGAACTGTTGTCTGAGCGGCCGTCGGTAAAATCATGGGCAAGGTCAGCGCGAGGAGAGCGCTAGCAAATGAGTGGATCATCATAATTTTATATTGAATGTTATTATTGTTGCGATTTTGGGATCTTTTTTCGCTCTCTCTTTCTTTCCCTACTTTCGTTCCTGGAGATGGTTAAAACATTAAAATTTCCTTGGGCTGATAAGCACCTTTATAGCTATTTTGGCTTATGGGGACAATTATTGGACTAACTAATATATCCTGGTCTCTCTTTCAAAACTAATTTATCCACATATACGATTCATTTATTCTCCGTTTCTCCATATGAACTCAGTCCGGCAGAATTTATCTGCAGTGGCTCGACGCTGTCTCCAAACCCCCTCATTTCGTATCGTTCAGGTTAAATGTAGACCCTGAAATACGGAATAATATTTGTGATATAGATACTTTAATAAAGCTAGGCCCAATCCCATCGGGTCTACAGTTACTCCAATCGCGGCCATCTGTATATACCATACCTTTTAGAGGCAGATAAGGTTAAGTATAGAAATGCTAGCCCTGCAGAGCTCCGCGGGAGATTTGCTCATTTCATCCTCGTCAACACTGCAAGTACCGTACGGATTCGTACTCGTTTCGTAGCTCCTCTCCTCGAAACTTAACAAGATCTCTGCACCAGAGCAGATTAGAATGAGTGGCAAAAGTGGTACCAATTTTAACTCATTAAATGTACGTGGGGATTTCAATTAACTAATGAAACAGGAAAACCTAACTAATGCTAGTAGTCCATGCATAGCGTATATGTTTCTGTTTCGGTGTTTCACTCACTGTTGCTTTGGCGTAAAGAAAGTTCTGAGTTTATTGATAAAAAGTTAAATATTCAGGAGCGACGGGTCCAAAGCTCTTGACTCTGGTGAGCCTGAGGTCTCCGTATGCCCGATCCATTTCTCCGGGGATATTCCCCGCGGTTGGTCTCCTGATATCCATTGTCCAATTCCTCATCTCGTGATTACAGTACCTATTAGGCAAATCACATCAACCTGGCTAAAATATGGAGGAATACGGGGACCCCGCCGGCACATGTACTCTCTACCATCGTGTTTCGGCATTTGTTGCTGATTTCCCCGCCCAAATTAGAGTTAGATTTCTGACTTGTGGATAGCTTGTCAAGCTCTGATAGGCTGTGATAGCTGCTAAGATGATGGCCATCCATGAATAAGCCTAAGTTTAATCTCCGAGAGTCAAGAAATATCGATCGATACATGATCTAACAGCAGCCTCACAGGCGTGTGATGCTACAGGCTTTGCTCCTTGAATCTTAGTCTTAACATCCTTAACTCATATCTTGCCTGGGTGTCTTCGACATCAAACTTTGCTAGTTGTAACAGATACAGTGTAAAATTTCGCAATGATTAAATGAAATATGGAGATCAGTACTGACCTCATTTGGGCTGGGAAGGGGCTGGGAAGGGGCCGTGATGATGACTGCCTAATAATCTCTTCTCCACGGATATTAGGAAAATTGTCGGCTATTTCAAGTAAAAGAGGCGAAGATGTGCACAGTGAAGTTGTCGAACGTGCATAGTCCATTGGCCACATGCCGTTTGGAGGGGTAGACGCAGGAAACAAATATAGAACTAGTTTATTTTCTATCAACTAAATAATTGGATCTAGAAAACCAAGACGACGCAGAGAAATATTCGTCTATAAATACCGCCGTTCCTACCATCATAGTGAAGGCTACCATCCACCAGAGTCCAGACAGACTGTCACAATGCAGTACAAATCTCTTTTACCCCTGTGCTCCTTCATTTTCTTAGGCCTCAGTGCCTCGGTTTATTCTCAATCAAGTACGTACTACTGGAAGCACTTTTCCACCTCTGGTACCATCGCTCCATGGTATGAGAATGACAATTCTTGGGGAGTGACTGCCCCCGAAGGGACGGGATTTGCTGTCATGGTCACTGGAGAAGACTGGGGCACATGGTCCCCAGTTCACATTTTGCCGAAACAACTGAAGGATGTCAGTCAGACTCATAACACCTGGATCTCCCAGAACGCCTATCCAGAACCAGGCTACGGATATGACGCTTGGTAAGATGATACCCGGTGGCAATCGATTGAATCCTGTTACTAATAATCTGTATTAGCTACGATATCTTTATTGATCCCGTTTATGCACCTACCGATCGTAATTCTATCAACGAGATCATGATTTGGTTCGGTTATCAGGCTCCAAACAAGCCTCTATCTGACCATTATGATGCAAATGGTAATCCCGTTCCGTGGCAGACCAATGTGAGTCTAGGAGGCAAAGCATGGGATGTATATTTATACACGTAAGTCTCAACGAGGAACCCTTCCTTTCCTTAACTTCCCTCAAGATGAGCCTAAGCTAATACAAGACTCTGCACGTAGGTGGCCCAGCGGTGGCCATACCATGAGCTACCTCGACCGCGAGAACCCGGGCTGGTTTTCCGGGAGTCTCTGGCCTTTCTTTAACCACGGAATTAGCAACGGCTGGTACACCAGTGACCAGTATTTAAATAGTGTTATGGGTGGCTGGGAGTTCGGAAGAGGCAATTATACGGCAGAATCCTGGGGCGCAGTAGGCTTTTGAATCTTTGCCGTTGTGAGAAGATTCGGAGAGTCTCGGCGAAAAAGTGTCTCATCACTCGATGAACGGAGACGAACGAGCAACACCCAAAGGGGAAGTCCGCATTTAGCAATTCGTAGCAATGCGAATCGTGTCTCAGCAAACTTTGTGCCCCCCTAGCTAAACTATATGATCTATTCCCACAATACCGTATCACGTATGACGGCAAAAGTTATACGTAGTAACTCAACTCGTAGCGAGTACAAAATATTACGGAGTGGCACTGAAGTAAACTATCCATGATGTGGGGCACATTAATAGAGCCTAATTAGATGATAGGCGGCGTACCTGGTCTACGTACTAGTAGACGGGATCGAAGCGGCGCCACAGACAGAGGGAGGCATGGATCGACGCGGCGGCTTTTACCGTATTCTATTGGCTGAATATATTGCATGCCGACGCGAGGCTGCACATAGGGAAACCTGGGGTTCCTACGAATCTCTTGACTTGTGGAGTACCCCCATACATGACGGGTAACCCATGCTCCACGCGGAGGAAGTCCCGGGTGGGCGCTGGCTGGGTTCTTTCCAACGCAAGAGCGATCTGTCTCCGTGCATTGGCCCGGGATTCCGGAGGCTGTACAAGTTATTGCCCTGTGCGTTAAGGTGGGTGCAGTGTGGTTTAACTATGAAGTTGTTCGCGGGGTTAATGTGATCGGTACGTGCGTTGGCCACCTATTTCCGGACACGCGCTCAATGTTAATTTTATAATATTAATTTTAAACCTGTATATAAATTGAATATATATTATATATAAAAAAACTAAGTGCTAGTCAACCTGTGTCTGAGAATATTACAGTTCCTACACTGATATTGGTGATGCACAACTGATTGAGAAGCTGGAAGCTTAGGCTTAGCCGGAGTTATAACCTAACAGCTCAAGACTTGAACTGGGATTGTTGATAAGTGCTAGAGCTTCTTCCCTTAAGTAATTCCTTCGGTTTACTTCGTCTTGGGTGGTCATAAATTAACCTAGAGCAGGATGGAGCTGGCTAAATGAGCTCCAAGCGAATCCACCAACTTACGGTAATCGGTTGGTGACTGAACCTGCGTAGTAGTGTACGAAACCGTTTTACCACGCTCTTTTATAGGGACCAACTTTGGCCTCTCTACAGCAATATCATATGTTAGATGAGATATTTATATCTAGGCAGATATATTAGCTATTCTCGGCTCATCTTGTTCACCAACTCGAAGGTGAAAGACACCGAACAAGAAGGACGTTGAAAGGCGTTCCCGCTAAGTTATTACAACTAATATTCGAGAATGTACGAAACTCCTATTCTCACAGCCCACACCATACTAAAACTTCAGATTTAATTCCGCGAAGACTTATGGGCTCTCTATAACACATACAAAGTTATAAGAGGAGATTTCGGCACTGCACTCTCAAATTGAGATCCAGATAAACAAAAATCTATCTCAAATCCCGCGAATGAGTTGAAATGAACGGGTTTAGTACGCGCCCGCTCGAGCGTAGTACCTAGGCTGTTCGACTGAACGGATTCCGGCGAGAGCAGACAAGACTGGCGTCTCTTTGACGAGTTGAAAGCCGTCTAATTTAGCTCCATTCGGCTGCTGAGCCCACAGAGTCACACCAACCCAGTTTGTTCCCTGATAGTTTAAAATTCCCTGCGGAACATGGAACTGAGTCTGCGGACCAATGTTGTTGATGTACTTACCAAATTGGTATCCGTTAACGAAGAGGATTGCGCGGTATTTAGGAGGAGGACTGGTGTTGTTTCCAAACTGGAAGGATAATGGAACATCCCATCCGTCCGGAACGTCAAGCTCAAAACTTGTCGAATAAAACGCAATACCTGGTTTGGAAATCCCTTCGAATGGGCTAGAAGTCTCCCAGGAATCGCTTGGTGGTTGAGGTTGATGGAAACCCTGGCGCTCGCAATACAAACCGCCTTCGTTGAGAGGACCGCGAACCTTATCCATGTAATCCTCGCCGCCAAAGTTCCCAGTTACCTTCCAGGTGACTGCAGTATCGTTAGAGCCAAACAGCTGATAACTTATTATTCCGCGGGGATCCTTCATATCATCTAACCCAATGACCCAGTTCTCCATCATGCCAGTCTGGTCAATCACAACTGTTATCGTATAATGCTCTCTAGGTGTTAAGGGAGGAAGTGAATAGGTTTGATTAGAGTCCTCATCGATGCTATTTCCTGCAAACGAGCCCAAATGTGTATTATTTAGCCACACTGAGCTGCCGAACGCAGTGCCACCTTGTGTTTCGATGAAAAAGTCGGTTTCGGTACCTCGAGCAACGAAGTGTCCGCGGAACACGAGATAGCCGGTGTTAAAGCCGTAGTCCGATCCAAACAACGAGGTTGAGGTGTTCAGTGGTTGAAATGTATTAGTAGTATGGGGAATATCAGCGTCTCGCCAAGTAGAGTCATCATAAGTAGGCGAAAGTTCGGGTAGCGTATCTAGATACTTCCAGTCAAGCGCTTTGAAATCGACAAGCTCAATTTTGGGGGGAACATAAGGCATTTTAGCGGTCCAGAACCCGTGCTTGTCAACTTCGAAAGGCACTTTTTGACTGTTAACAAATAGAGCATGAGCACCCTTTGGAGGAGCAATAACCTCAATTGCACTTGTTGTGTTGAAATCCGCCGTAAGATGGAGGTCGGCGCCTTGCAAATGTGCGGATCTGACAAGATAATCTGCCTTTACAATGATCGAAGAGGCCGTTTTCTCCGGAGTACTGAGGCCAGGTGAAATGCCTTCGGTGGGACATTCGGGAACCCAGTAGTTATAGGCGGAATTTCGGTCTAAGCTTCGGTCAATAATTCATTCGTGGAGATGACAAACACTTAGTAAAGCATGGTGCCTAAGAACTCTTACCCAGCAGCAAGATTTTCATATCCCCGATCACGACAATTTGCCGAGTAGAAGCGACGTCCCAGCTTACGACAGTATGCTGACCAATGTTTTCGGTTCTTGCCAGCCCCTCAAGTATGGACGCCTGTGAGGTGCTTGAGATGGCTAGTTCATGGTGTTCACCGGGTCCGCCGTAAAGGACCAGGATCTTACCATTAGCATACTTCTTCCACGTAAAAATCTCAGCGGTAGAGTACAACAGATCAGTCCCCCCTAAATCATAATTGACAACATGAATCTTGGAGTCTCGTCCATTAAGCGATAAAACACCTCCTAACTGTGGAACGGTCAAATTTCCAGCACTAGTGGGAAGTTTAAGCTTATATCTGATCGATGACTGATTGGTGTAGTTGTTGTGTCTGACAACAAAATACGCCGTAGTATTGCCAACAACCGGGGTTATAGTCAAATCTGTGGTGTCTGTGTAAATTCCGGACGAGGCACTCTGAGGGGAGGCTGTTAGATACGACGGAGAAGCCTTCAAGAAGTTGCCAAGAAGCTTGAGTTCACTGTACTTCTCACGAGTCACATTACGGGATTCACTTATGGCAGCACCGTAGTCGTAGGAGGAATAGCCTCCAGGATAGCCAAGATTTCCCCAGTTCATGCCACCGTAAATCTGGTAAATGTTAGTCAAGTGCATGCAAGGACAGAGGCGAGGTATTGAATTATTCGCACCATGTATAAGTTGACGATCTTGGCTCCTGACGCGACGTTATTCTTATATACCACACGTTCGAATTCAGGACCCAGAAGCGCAGCACATCCTGCATATCCCGTTCCGCCCCAAGGATCGAATGACCCTCCTTGGAACTTCTCGAAGATTAGCAGATATTCCCGAAAGATCAAAATGGATTCAATCTATATTACATACTTCATCCAGAGATAGTGGAGTATTAGGACTAATACGCAGATGAGTTGAATAGAAGTCTGTAGCCATGCCGGAAAGACCAGGCCATGTTTTTGGGTCACTCTGAGCAATGAGTTAAAATCTCTGAATTTGCCGTCCAGAAAGATGTACACTTACACAATCAAAGCCAAGCCTGCAATTCGGTTAGTCAATGAGAGAGAAACATTGAAAGAAATGAGAAAGGGGAGTGAAATTCCACTCACGGATAATTATCAAAGCCGTAGATGTCAATCTGGCCAAGTCCAGTTCCCGGAGCATTATGCCCTCCTTCCCACGCATCGTTGTTGATAAAGGGTACAGTAACCCCAGCTTTGCGAGCCTGGTCCTCCACATACTGCATGTAATTAGGGTCTGGGAACAACACACCGCAACAGCCACCACTATACTCATTCTCCGGTTGATACAGAATCACCGGACCCCCATTGGTGATTTGCGCCTTAGCAATCGAACCCGCCACGTGGGATATATAGCTATTTCCCAAAACACCGTCAGTCTGACAATCCTTTAAGTATTAATACGGCTCAAATATGTTCGTACTTATCAGTAGCCTCTAGATATGACATATTGTAGGAACGGAGCGTTACATTCAACCGCTGCAACCATCCAGGAAAGCCGCCGCCAGATACCTCGGCATTGATATAGGGACCCGGACGCGCAATGAGATAAATGCCTGCCTGCGTGGCTGCGTCAAAGAAAGGATCCAGAGCAAAGACACCATTGGCTCTGAAATCACCGGGCTTTCCTTCCAATAAAGCCCAATCAACGTAAAAGCTGACGGTATTGAATCCTAAAGCTTTAACTTTTTGGAACACGTCAAGCCATAATGAAGGACTTGGAAGCCTATAAAGCACAGCAGTCAGTTTTTCTCCCCATCTCAAAGTCAAAATGTTCTATTTACCTGAAAGGGTGAAATTCACCGCTAAGTATCATGATTCTCTCCCCATTAATCAAGAGAGACTGTGAATCCCAAGTCACCTAAAAAGTTATTTAGTACCTAATTCAATCTGAGATGGCGCATTTTACTTGGTATCTCGTAATCCGTACATTTGTCTGTAAAGGCGTGTGACCTTCTGGCGCCTGGCGTTTCACGACATCGAACGACATCGGAGGTGAACTCGCGACAGTTGCAGCAACAAGGGTTGCCAGGCAGGCCGTAATGCGATACGGGAAAAGCATGACTTTCTTCAAACTCTGCTCGCGATATGAGATGAGCTAGTGTTAAAGTTGCTGAAAGACGATATAGCAATGGCTAATTACTTGGTTATGTGCTTCTTCCGCTGCACAAACAACGGGTTAAAAAGGTCAACAGCCTGTTTCTGGGAATAGAAAGCAACTTCATAAAAAACGATCATGATACTCGAGGAGTATAAACATTGTCATTTAGCCTAATAGGAAGTAACACGGTATTGACGCGCCGATCAGAAATGTGACCGTGTTACCTGTAACAAAATAAAAATGTCAACTTATCTTTGTAATCCCAAGTCGGCCGTAGTTATTTGGCTGTAATGCTGTAATATCACGCATCTTGGCAAAACGGGCTGAAAATCAGATGATCTAACCAGATCCGGGGCTCGATCCTTTTGTATTTCTCGTTTTGGGAAACGAAAGTAACCTAAGGGTGATCCGGGGTTGTTAGTGCCTGGATACTTCCAGACTGTAGAGTTAGACCAGTAAATTTGATATTGCGGTGCATTTTCTAGCGGCGGAGAATGTGTCGGTTTTGACTAAGGATAATTGGCACAAGTGACTCCTCACTGCTTGTAATAGTTTGAAATAGTTTGATGTTTTTGAAGAGGTTGGAGGTCTAGTTGACTTGTACATAGTATAACTTCCAAAGGACACGGCACAAGCCCACTGGAATAATAATTGTAGGGACGTGAGTTGATGGTAATTGGAGGCCATACGAGGTGGGGGCAAGAGCATAGCACTAAACAAGCCATCCTCCCTCGAAGTCTTTGCTCCACAGTTGCTACATGGACGACCCTAGACATCTTTCAGATTCAGAGTAACTGGAGCTGGAGTTCAATTCGCATCCTCAAGTAAGCTCCACGGAATCTACGCAACTACCAACTGGATAGAAAACATGCTCTCGGCATTTATGGTAGATCGAATTGGGAGACATCCGCTCCTATTCCCGTCTAATATTTCAATGACTATCGCCTTTAGGCCCAGATAGCATTTACAGCACTTAACATTATAAGGAACAGCAGAGCGTTGTTGGCACCGTTGTAATGGTATTTGTACATACTGTAGCTGTAGTATATAATTTAGTCTAGTAAGCAAACCTACGTGCCTATCTTCGTTATGCCGCCTTCATTGTATCTAATAATGTTTATCTTTTTCCGCTTCCCCGCCGGATATTATCTCTGGACTAGAAATTTGAATAGATATGTACTATGTACGCTCCATGCCCCGCTGATCGATACCTGTCCACCCTGCATATGTCTTCGGGATACGAAGATTGGGTCCACAATTCTTTCCAATGGACTTTGGGAATCTCTCATCTGCCAGCGAAATATTCTCTCTTTATCCGGAAAATCAAATGAACGCATTAAAATATTTAAATGACCGCGCAACATATCCTACGTTGTTATCTTCAAAAGTGCGTAGACTGCATCCACAGGCGTTTCTGATATCTGAATACAGCTCAAAGCTGGTTGCTGCTTACAGCCATCTCGAAACATGAAACTTCCTCCTGCAGTCTTGGCCCTAGCTTGTCTATCGGTGCAAGTCATAGGAAACACTTTGTCCAATCGAAATGGTTCTTACGATGTTGCAGAACACCTGAATGGCGAAAAGCACGCTTTGTTGCAAGATATCGTAAGAAAAATGGCACTTCGCGCCATCTACGAAATTTCTGTTGACACTGCCAGGTGACTTGGGATAATCAATCGCTTTATATCCATGGAGAGAGAATCATGATCTTTTCTGGTGAAATACATCCATTCCGGTACATTTCAAATGAATCAATATCCTACAATAAATCATCTAATTGAGTTCTAGCCTCCCTGTCCAATCGCTTCATCTCGACGTGTTCCAGAAAGTTAAAGCCCTCGGCTTCAATACGGTTTCGTTTTACGTCGACTGGGCTCTTTTGGAAGGCAACCGAGGCACCTATCGCGCAGATGGTGTTTTTAATCTGCAGCCGTTTTTTGACGCAGCATCTCAAGCGGGAATCTATCTTCTTGCCCGCCCCGGTCCTTATATCAACGCTGAAGTCTCCGGTGGTGGCTTCCCAGGCTGGCTTTCAAGAGTTCCTGGGACTTTGCGAAGTGCAGACCCTGAATATATGAAAAATTACAAATTGTATGGACTCTTGATTTGAGACATTTCGGTATCTTGCTGCATGACTAAAATCCTTTCGTTATAGATATTTGACAAGCGTTGCCCGTACAATTGCCAAAAATCAAATCACTAACGGTTGGCCCAATCATTCTCTATCAGCCCGAGAATGAGTATACTCCGTGGGAAAACGCCTCAACCGTTGACCCTCAATATATGCAAAACATTATGGACACTGCCAGAGAAGCGGGAGTCGTAATTCCGTTCATTAATAATGACCAGTGGCCCGCTGCAGACGCCGTACCAGGGTCCGGAGTAGGGGCAGTGGATATTTATGGTTTTGACGCCTACCCGTAAGTTTTTGTGAAAGCCGATTAGGTCTTCGATATGTTAACAGTCTTGATTAGTATTGGGTCTTGTGTAGAGTCCATATCATATTTAGTCGATGTAGCTCATTATCCTAACGGAAAACTAGGATGATGCGTCGTTATGGCCTTCAGGAGCTCTGCCTACCTATTTCCTGGAGCGTCACATGCAGCAAAGCCCGTCGACTCCTTTGTCACTTGTTGAGGTACGTCTTAAGGAATTTTCTCTCTCTCCGCACACTCATTTGTATAATTTTGCTAGTTCCAAGGCGGTTTCTTCGGTGCTTGGGGAGGGCCCGGTTACGACAAATGTAGTGCTCTATTCAATGCTCAATTTGAAAATGTCTTCTACAAAAACAACCTGGCCGCTGGAGTTGCTATTATGAATTTGTACATGGTGAGATTTCTATTTCTTCGAACGGGATCAACAACCATTGATTTCCTTGCAGATATACGGCGGCACAAACTGGGGCAACCTCGGCTATCCAGGAGGGTACACGAGCTATGACTACGCTGCAGCGATATCTGAAACGCGGGAAATAAACCGTGAGAAGTATAGCGCACTTAAACTCATTGGTAACTTCCTCAAAGTCTCGCCTTCGTATCTCGATGCTGTACCTGGCAACGCATCAACGACACAGTATACACAAACAGCGGACCTTACAGTGACTCCATTGATTGGGCAAAATACTCACTCCGCATTTTTCGTCGTCAGACATACTGATTACGCTAGTACCAGTTCCACAAACTATACCCTTAAACTTCCAACGAGCGCTGGTACTCTGACCGTGCCTCAATTAGGAGGTTCACTGACCTTGAATGGCCGCGACACTAAGCTCCATGTCACTGACTATGAAGTTGGGACTATAAATGTTCTTTACTCAACAGCAGAGGTACTTACTTGGAAAAAGTTCCACGACTATCGTGTGCTTATAGTCTACGGCGGGCCAGGCGAGCATCATGAGATTGCAATTTCCTCGAAGTCGGCGGCTATTGTATTGAGTGGTGAACAGTCTTCTATTCTAACAAAGTCTGTGAACGGCCAGTCTGTTATATCGTGGGATGTATCATCTTCGCGAATTATCGTTAAAGTTGAAAATCTACTAATTTTACTCATTGGTGAGATCTAAAGTAGCTGCTCTTCGGTATGTCACGGCTAACAACGTGCAGATCGTAACACCGCATACAATTATTGGGTCCCTCAACTTGATAATTCACCCTCCAAGACTGATTTTACGACGATGAGTACCGTTGAAAACTCAATTATTGTTAAAGCCGGTTACCTTGTCCGCACAGCCTACATACAAGGTGACCAACTGCATGTCACAGCCGACTTCAACAGCACCACAGAAGTCGAAATTATTGGAGCTCCAAAGTCAGTCAAGTGCCTTTTCATCAATGGTGAGGAATTCAGCTACAATAGGGATGCGAACGACTTCTGGATAGCACAGTTCAACTACACGAGTCCAGACCTCATTCTTCCGGACTTTTCAAAATTAGAATGGAAATTTATCAATAGCTTGCCAGAAGTCCAACCAATCTATGACGACAGCGCTTGGATTAGTGCTAATCACAATACGACCAATAACACTGTCGCCCCTTTGAAAACCCCTGTTTCTCTTTATTCATCTGATTATGGATTTCATACTGGCTCCCTGCTTTACCGCGGCCACTTCACCGCCAATGGCTTAGAAAAGACTTTCACTATGCAGACTCAAGGTGGTACAGCGTATGGAAGTTCCGTCTGGCTTAACCAGACGTTTATAGGTTCTTGGGAAGGGAGCCCTTCAAGTGACTCCCAGTCGTCTACCTTCAACTTGCCGTCTCTCGAATCAGGAGCCAGCTACGTATTGACGATTATTGTCGAGATCATGGGTCTCGACGAAGAATGGAGAGGGCCCCCACGTCAATTGAAGAACCCACGGGGTATACTCGACTACAACCTTTCGGGCCATAACAAAGATGACATTTCCTGGAAACTGACGGGAAATCTCGGCGGCGAGGACTATATCGATCTTGCGCGTGGTCCACTGAATGAAGGAGGTCTCTACGCAGAACGACAAGGCTGGCATCAACCCGATCCACCGAGTGACCACTGGCAGACATCCAGTCCTCTGACCGGGCTGGACAAAGCTGGCGTCGGCTTTTACTCCACTTCGTTTCATCTCGATCTCCCTAGATATTATGATGTCCCGCTGTCCTTCGTATTTAGCGACGATTCCGCCACCACGAAGCCGTACAGGGTGCAATTATATGTTAACGGATATCAATTCGGCAAGTTCATGCCACATATCGGACCCCAAACGGAGTTTGCCGTGCCACAGGGAATATTGAATTATCAAGGCAAAAACTGGGTCGCACTAACGATTTGGGCTCAGGAGAACGGTGGTGCGAAACTGGGCGGTTTCCGTTTGACCAATTCCACGCCAGTGCGTTCTGCGCTGTGTGACATTGTGGCATCGGAGCAGCCTGTATATGAAAAGCGAGCCGGGGCATACTAGAGAACGAGTCTTAGTGGCTATATTTGTAAATACCTCATCATTATGGTTTGATGAGGAAAATATTTATTTCGCAACATAAGTGTAAGGATAGGTATTGATCTCCTTGCGAACTAATTTCCTATCGCGCCCATTGCACGAACGCCATGGCAGAAAAGCAGTGGCATTTTTTTAAAAAAAAATCCGAAGCAGCCCGTATTCGGAGAAGCTTCCGTAGTCGTCACAATAATGATGATTGATGACAGGCATTCAGCACCAATCTCTCCTTGATAGCTCGGTTTGCGTAATTTCTATCTAATATAAATATGACATCGCTGCAACTTGCTAAGAACTACCAGGAGACTTACCAGTAAGTACACGTGACATGCGGGCGGAGCGCGACGCACGTATTTTCTCCCACGTCATGCAAGCTGACAAAAGCTTTTGTAAGGCAGGCCGGATGCGCGACTGTTTCTAGGGCACGTGATCCCGTCTTGTTAGCGGGTATTAGTCAGCAAGCTGGCTCGCAGCCTTCAATTAAGGCTTCTAAGGAGCAACGAAAAGCTGCTAATATATGGACCTTCACGTTCTAGCTAAGAATCGTACATTTACTCCTTAATCGTACATCTACTCCTGAGCACCTCTCTATGTCAGCTGGAGAGAACTCACTCAACACGGTTCGCCTCGCGTTCGAGGAATAGCAAAATCAAAAGACCAAGAACAAAAAAAGGTAACTAGCAATTTATCTAGCCTTTGGTCCCAACGCCTTGCAAAAAGCTCAGACTCGTATTGACCGAGAATGAACCTAACACAGTATTGTTTCGTACCGAATCAGGTGGGTTAAGTGCTAGTCACAGAATTATATTGCAGAACAACAACTCGTTGAGACATCCCTCGTCAACTTAGTTGACCGAGATCATGTACTCAGTAGTTGTCAACTGCGCATTGATTCCATCAAAAGGCTCGGTCCCAGATGCAATATGTTGCACGTACTGGCTAGCAGGGAAGCCTTCATTCTGAATCAGATAGTGGAAAAAGTCCATAAGATCCGCATTGAAAGTTGTCTGTTCGTTTTCAGCAACGAAGCTAAAGACCGTCCAAGAGGTATTGGGGCCTTTGTAAAGCTTCCATGTAGCGCCAGCAATATCGACAGTCGCAAGCGGGCTTCCAGTGCTAGAGATAGGCCCAGCACCACCAAGTGCACCGACCCAGATCATGATCTCATAGGAAGCTGGTCCATCGGGATAGGGAGAGGTAAAAATATCATACGAGACATCCGCAACGACATTTGAGCCTGTGTATCTACACATTTCGAAGATGCACACGTCAGCTGGGTAAATGGCAACGAATGTATGAACATGTTTATACAATGCAATATACAATCCACAAACAAGAAACGGGTCAGGATGATGAACGCGACACTTACTTCCAATTCCAGGTTGTTGGGATGTTCGAGATGGAAGAAAACTGCTTCCAACCAAATGCATACTCAATGTTTGAGTAGCTCTTGACAGAAGATGGGCCTCCCGCCCAGTCCCAAACAGTGTGCCATGAAACTTCATTTCCGCTATGGTAGTCAATGCCAGAGCACTGCCATCCAGATGTAGCACTGCTCTCGCCCCAGAGGTTCGTGTAAAAAGTGTATGGTCCGACAGATTGGGTTTCATACTGACCACACAAGTCTCGCCTGGCAATCACGGATCCAGTCACAGTATTGCCCAACGCAAGGATTGGTAGTAAAAGAGAATAAGAACGCTTCATGTTGAAGGAGTATGTTGTTTAGCGAGCGTAAAAGTGGGAGTAACGAAAGAAGAGTGCAGTTGCTTGGCTTTTTAGAGATGAAGGAAATTAAGATTGTGACTGCTGTTGTATCTGTAGTACAGACATGTTTGGTTTATATCTAGAGTTGCTGGTCGATTCTTGGCGGTAGATCCATCTGAGGCTTCAAGGTTCGGAGATGGATGAAACCTGGCTGAGCGGATAACTGCTTCCACCATCCTCTGTTTCTTCGGTAAATTTGGATAAAAACCAACTAGCGGACATATCTTATAGAGCGCACGGAAAATTCTTAACGATGCTGATTTCAAAATGGCTTAGTAGTCGGCACTTAGCCCTAGACCGGCAAAGATACTATTCTGTATTATGGAATTTATCCGCTGTAAAGGTAATTAAGGAGGCGATCTCGTACCCATGGTAGTTACTGGCCTCCAGCAATCCAAAAATTTGCAATCTAAGTTAAATTTATTAGCCGGCATATTCTCCCAAATGAGTAACGCGGACCCATAAATTAATATCGTGGAAACGGAGCCTCAAATGCGATTGTTTCATCTAGACTATTCTGAGTGGATATTATACGAGATATTTTTTTACAGTAAAATCTGCAATCTTTGCGCTGCGATGATTTGCATGGATGATATTTTAGACGATATATCTCTCATTCATGTCTTTAATATAGCCACCTCTTTCTTGTTTTCAAAGTAGTAAGTTCCTCGAAGGGGTTTCTGATCGGTTTCGCGTTGGGTAGTGGCTACATAGTGGCTACATCATGGCAGTGAATATAAACAATTTAGTTGAGTCTGCTTCAGATCAGCTAGCAAGACCTGCTCTAATCGTCCTTTTATATTTGTAGGATATGAAAAATCGGAATAGAGATTGGATGCTTGCTTATTAAAAATAGTTATAAATCCAGGAGCAAGAGTAATTTGCTGTCTTTAAAGTATTGATGAAACAGTAGAATAGACAACAAAACGGAATTAGCTGACGGTTGAAAAGGGACACAGTCTTGTCCAAACAGATGTTTTGAATATAATGCTCAATTAACCCAAACTCTATGATGGCTCTAGAATCCTGTTTTAAGCAGAATTGCGAGCAGATCTATCCAGAGCAAAAAGCAATATCTTCAAACAAGCAACGCACTCTTGTGATCCCCTATTAGATTAATTTAAAAAGAGATAGAAGCCTGGAAACAGTTAACGGGCCTTCATTTCACCTGCATCGAGACTCGACACAAGTCAGAAATTACCCGGAACAGAAGCAAGCCATCGAGTATACAGGCTTAGATGGCGCACATGAGCAGATTGAGCACCAGTTCATGTGGATTTAGATTCAACAGATTGGTGAGCTAACCCACGAGGATCTTATTCTCGAGATATTAGCTTCATTCATTTTACCACCGCATTATCAATGTTCTTAAGTGAAACATGGCCCGCCAATACAATTTCCACAGTGGAGCACCGTGAAACTTTGTTCAGCCTCAATATCTGCGGAGCAAAATTCAAGTATCCTGGCAGGATACATGCCAGCTTGCTGAGGATAGATATAATCTACCCTCATTCCAGGCGCGGCCGACGAAAAGCTGTTACAGATATTTTGACTTGTTTTTCATTGCCACAGGATTACTCTCTTTAAACATTACCCGTCTCGCGTTGATCGCAATCAGTCTTTGATTCTATTTCCTTCTGCTTTTGGAATTAACTTTCCTCCCTACCCTTTTGTGTGAATTTCGCTACTTTCTATCATTCGTTTTCCGCTTCAAGTTACTTATTATTCAGGATGTATTGGAAGGCCATTCTTGTCGGCTTGGTTGGTTTAAGCACCAGTGTCAGGGCTGATATCGCGTTCGGAAGCTGCCCCAGTGGATATACCATGGCGATGTACGTCCAAACCATAGTCACACCAATAAGCCATATCGCTAGCTCAGCAAAAGCTGCTGTTCCCGCCACGTCAACTTCCGTACTTCCAATTCCCTACCCTGCCTCAACCGGGATCGTTACGCCATCCGCAACGGCATTGGGTAGTGGTGGAACATCATCTTCAGCTACTTCGGCTCAAAGTGTCACCTACGCCAGTGGCTCACCCGTCTCGCCAACGCTACAGGATGTTCAGGTTCCATCCATCGCACCCAACGCCAGTGTCGTCTCTTCTTCTACCTTGGTTTCTCCAGTCTCCAATTCACCAGCTCCTCCGGTTTCTTCAACTTCGAGCACCTCACAAGGGTCGTCTTCTCCTTCCCCTTCACCGAGCGCGGCATCACCATTGGGCGGCATTATGCACGGCCAGGCTACATCTTATGATGGTGGCGATGTAGATGGAACTTGTATGTTTTCAACTGCGGGTTACAACCTTCCCGCGGGAATTTATGGCGCAGCTCTCTCAGTAGACAACTGGGATACTTCTGCCTACTGTGGTGCTTGCGTATCTGTAACTGGTCAAGATGGAAAGTCAGTTAAGCTCATGGTCAGTTCAGCGCAAGAAGCAGACGCTCTGGGTTTTGTGTGATACTAATTTTAGCAGATTGTCAATCAGTGTCCTGGCGACTGCGGTTTGAACCACCTTGACCTACTGCCCAATGGTTTCACCCAATTGGCTGATCTCAAAGTGGGACGTATCGACGTGGACTGGGAGTTCGTCAAGTGCGATATCCCCAGTCCCCTCTACTTGAGCACCCAATCCGGATCATCCAAGTACTGGTTTAGTATGCAGGTCGTTAATTCCAATGTGCCAGTCAAATCTCTTGAGGTTAGCACCGATGGTGGCAATACGTGGCAACCTACTACGCGGAGCGAGTACAACTTCTTCCAAAATGCCAGTGGTTTTGGCGTTGATTATGTTGACGTGCGAATTACCAGCGCCACAGGCGAGACGATTATCGTTAAGAATGCCAATTCTGCAGGAGAGACCCGAACTGACAGTACCTCAAATTTTTCTTGACGAGGAAAGCACTTAAATACTTAGAATTCATTCGATTGCAGTGCCACACGTGCAAAATATGATGAGAACTGCAGAGATGAAGCATATGATGTATCAGATGTCGTCACTCAAAATTGTCTGGATAATTTTTACATTCTCTTCCACATGTACCCTGGGTACTTTATCTTCAATATAGGCCAATTTTCTTCCAATTGTCTTCCAATTATCACTATATTCTTGATATAGGGATTCTGCGGCTCGTGCTTGCTCATGGCTTTGATTTTCCAGCAAGACCATCATACCGTATTACTCTTGCAAAAAACACATCTGGGCAGTCACCGGGAAGGTTCCGACGTATTCTCAATTCAAGTTATTAACAGAAGATAAAGTTGATGGTGGAGTTAGGGGCAAGAGCCATCGACTTCACAGAAGCGCATTTTCTTATTGGTCGGTCGGGGTTTGCGTTCGTATAATCGACCGCATCGAGAAGTACGTCCGTAATATGACATGAGCGCGTCGAGATCGCATGGCCCGTGTTTATCACTACTTTTTTTTGGGTATGCACTAGTGTTTCACTAGTAATGGTGTACTACTTAATGGGTGCAGCCCACTTAAAGGTGAAACGTTTGACCAACGGTAAGGATAAACCCTTACAATCCCCGCGCTCCGTTCTCTAAATCTCTGTTTCCGATCATCCCATGATTTATATGTGCGAGGGCAACGTCTAGACTCTGGCTAGACGTCTTGGTCTTTTTGGCTCAGCGGTTGTGAGCCTTGCGGTGCGCACCCGCAATACGCCCCCAGGATCAATCCGTGACGAATGTTAGGAGTAATAGTATTGATACCTGCTGAAGCTAGCCACTGAATAAGGGCCGCTGTCTAGGGTGACGAATGTTAGTAATTTATATTAATCGTTCGTATATTTGAAAATTCCATATATATGTTATTCTGCTCATCATTGTCCTTGAAAAAGAAATACACAATGCAAATATTTTGGTCGGAAATCCAAAACACCCCCATCGATTAGGGATTTGGCTAGTACGGATTTACCGCATCCTGGGTCAGCCGAGATCCACAGGAGATCATTGCGTGTGGCATTCCATCAACGCAGATACTCAGGGCTCTTCAGTACCCACTCGCACGTTCCTTCCACTCGATCCGGATTGATATTCTTGAATTTCAATAAGTGGATGTCTTGAGTGCTTGATGACAACGACGTTGATCTCTCTCTAGATTTTCGCGGTGATGGCTTTCTCGTTGATCAAAAGCCTTCCTTTGATCCTGCTTAATATTTTCAAGCAGGGCTAGTGATTATAATTGAAACTTGGTATCAGAAAATCTAAAAAATGACTATAGAATGCTGATATTACTGACGACAGATCTCTGCAACTAAACTTTCTTGAGATACACCTTTTAGAACATAGCCTAGCAGCTCTTTCGTGGGAGCCGCCGCCGCTAGTGCACATAGCCTTGCCATTATAAATTCTTATGCGAGTTGGCATAGTCACATATACCACGAATTATAAGGCAAGGGAAGTCCGCCATCAAGCCCGCTGCCTCCATCTCAAAACACAATGCACGGATCTCCTTGCGGATGGCCTCACTCGTCTTTCCGTCTTTAATGGTAGGCATTGGCGAAGGAGCTACTTCAGCGGAGCACGATATTCGTCAGGGCAATATTGTAGTCAGTCGCCCTGAAGGCTCTCATGGCAGCGTTATTCAACACGACTTGGGTAAAATCGGCAAAGACGAAGAAATACTAATCAGCACTCCGATCGGCACTTCTTGCCTTCTAGAGAACTTAAGGCAAGCAAGAAACAAAGCGAACAAAAGCCGAGCTCATTGGCTAGAAGAAAGTCTCCCGGAAGTTTTTCCTGTCTATCTGGCCTTACAATGATTGACCGCGAATGAACCAAAACCCACTGATACCCACAGAGAGTAGCTTCGCTAGCATATACCGAACAGAGCCGATGAGCGGGTCATTAAAAAGCCAACTATCGAAGACATGGAGCGGGAAGGGATTGTTGGGATGTATTCAAACAAGGCTAGTCGGGCAGGAGATGGAGCTCTTGTCAGATTCTATCGCGAGATCGAAATGATTTCAATCGTCAGGTTCCCGCTCGCACGTTGAAGGATGCGGTTATCCATGTGGAAAATGACGAGTAGAAGCAGTTTCGTGTTGTAGCTGAAACGTTTACGTAGACATCATTTGCTAGCCTCTAATATTAGCTTCGTCAGACATACCTTCCTCTGGTGGAATCTTCATTCTCAATAGAAAAACATGTCTAAGGTGCGTACTTTTATGTATTGTGGCCTACCTGGGCCTCAGTTTGCGCTTCGAAGGTTGTCGCATAATTGTTGCCAAGAGAATAATAATTATTGGATAGTGGATTTCAGCCGGCCGGGTTGCCATCATTATTCTCGGAAAGCCAAAAAGGCTCCTGTGAGTGTTCCGCAGAATGAACTCCCCGGAACGTGCGCCTTAACAATTTGTAGATGATTGGGAGGTTTGCGCACATAATGCCACCCAGCATTTCATAGGTTGAAAGAAGTGTAAATGGGACTCCGTCATCTGGAAAGTCACATGAGCATGATTTCCCCATAGAGAAATTATGGTTGAAGGTACAGAGGAATAGTAGTACACTCACAAGTGATATCAGGTGATTTCTGGATATAGGCATATGTCAGTCGAGCGGCACTGATGCCGCATGTCCTACATAATTTCCATTTAGCTGAGATTGGCTTGTCCAGGGAAAGTAGTTAGACGAACAAAATTCCAATCGAGAATAGAATACATAGGGCGACCTTGCTCCTCGTAGTTGTGTGGAGTCGAATAATTATCGGAACCGGGAGTACAAATACCACAAGATCGGTGACTAGGTTTGACGTTGTTACATAGTATATCATGGCGGTTACATCGAGGCAGTTTTTGGAAAGGCGGGGATTCCAAAAAGTCTGTAACGGCCGGCAGATCAAGAAGACAGAAATCTCGATTGTGATGAGCCACAAAACGACAAAGGTGGCAACTGCCACAACAATTTTCCGGAACGTTTCAGTTATGAAGATTCGATAGTACAACGCCAGGATGCTTAGTTTGATGCCGGCGAGTGCAAAATTGTACAAGTGACTGGTAATAAATTCGCCCTGTTTCCTCACCCCACCAACGTATCAGCGTCTATTGAAGGCGCAAATTAGACTCTCCTCACCAGTAACACGCTTTGTAAATCAGCATATTTCACTGTTGAAATATGCCTCCCCAATCCATGAGGGATCTCTGCGTAGAGCAACACTCAGTCAGCAAGAGTGAAATACTAGTCGAGGGATAGACCGCACCGAGACCTAGTAACACTACACAGTCAGCAACCGCAACGGCCTACCACTCAGATAGTCAGCCCTAATATAGAGAATCATTTTGAAGGGGACGGAGACGAAACAAACCGTGGCAAAGACAATGATATAGTCATCCAGGAAGAGCTTGTCATCTGCAGGCCAGACAAGCCTCACAAATATCCGTGTGACCGTCGAGAGCAGTATAAACGACATGGCCACAGCAAGACCCGTAATAGCTCCACCTACTCGAGACTGGTTCATCTCGTTGAAGTCACCTCACCGTATGTCTTCCACAAGAGGTGAAGTATCGCAGCAGTAATAAGGTTCCAGGTTTTGGATGCCAAACAAAATGGCTGGATGGCAACGAATTTATGAAATTTTTCTAACTTTCGCGATGATGGCATTCTCGACGAAGTACCAAAAGTTAGTAATGATCATATCCGTAGGTCTCACAGCTGGCTATGAGTGCTACGGGTGCACGTGACAAACGGGTGGATAAGGATCGAGTCCTTGACGCCACGACTACGGATAGGGTTTGAAAACAGATGAGCCAAAGCACACGCTTTTGTGGAGTTAAACAATTACAGCATGGTCTTGTACGTATTGAGGGGTTATAGAAGATCCAAGGGGAATCAATCTGGATTAATATAATAGAGCATGATTGATTGATTTATTGATTGATTGATTGAAGAGAGATCAAGACATGGGCAAGACCTGGTTGTGACTCTTGCTTACGTAAGTGTAATAAGAGGGGTTGAGCCCTTGGATCTTTCCGTGTGTCGCAGTTCCTTTTTAAGACAAAGAAATCACGATAAAACACTAAGTCAAACTTGCTCTACTGGCTTTCCTCTAGCACTCTGAAGCTTTCTGTAGTCTTGATGGATGTGTCAAGGGGCTCTGTTAGAGCGACTACTATTGCGGTGTGACCGCTGAGCCTGCAGCTAGTGAGAATAGGGTACAGCTAACTGAGAGAGACCCACTCTGTCAACTCGGATCTGACACCATCTTAAATTGACACCAGCTTTGAACACCAACTCATCCCGATACAACTCGTGCTAGTAGAGATTCAAACCAAAGTCCCATTTTACTCACAGTCTGCGATCTCATCGTGTAGTAGTTGGTAAACATCTGTCCAGACAGCGAACAGAGTTTCCATTCATGCCTGAACAGGATCTCACCGAGTGTGTGTCCTTTCTGGGTACGGTCTATCAGATGGTTGACATCGTCCACTTACTCAATAGGCACCAGACGGACCTGCCACACACTGTCCATCGACGGATCCTGCAAAGTCTCCACACCACACAGGAACTGACTGTGGACCCCAAAGTCAACTTTGCGAGAGAAAAATGTCATCTCGGAGGACGAATTGCAAGAAATAAAAGCAAAACATCAATCAGAATCTGTGAGACTTCCCAATCTAGCAATCTGGCTTTATCAGGATTATGGTCAGGCTCATTATCTGCAGGACTCTACTTCAGCAGTCACATTAGATAAGGCAATAGACCGATTAGCCAGCCAAATCAGTAATCAAGTGTTCAAGAAGCGAAAACTGGACGTGAATGACACATTCTCCATCAATGGAAGTGTGGAGCTTTCAGTCGATGTGTTCGCGCGACTTTGGGCAGGAGAACGGCTTGATCCTTGGGCCCTCATGGCAGCCATGCATATCTCAGACCGGCCAGATTTCGTCAGATTTGGCGAGAGCGGTCCGTTAGACAGCATGGAAAGACATGGCCAGATGCGATCCATCAAGCGGCCGTTTCAGGCATGGGTGAAAAAGATTACATCATTCCGAAGAGAAGCAGAGGGAGGTACGACTCTTACGTTCTGCTGTCCTGTCATTCACAAAAATTCACATTTTACGCTGCTCGAAATCAACGAAAGTGAGAAGGTCATCTGACATGAATGAGCATTTTGTATAATATCAAGAACGCTCGTGTCACGTCCCGTCTGTAGAGACGCTCTAGTCTGTAACAAAAATCGATCATTTTTCAAAAAGAAGCACCTTTCATTTCTCTCTTTCGACTCCTTTTGTATTTGAATAAGCTGAATCCGAGAATGGGGCTTTCAGCAAGGGTAGACTGAAAGCACGATACTCTCCACCCATATTTGACAGCTTGTATCTGCATGAAACTTGCTGCAGTTGAGCCTATACTCATCCTAATAAGTTGCCGCTATCTAAAGCTCCAAGGACGGCAACATTTACAGTCTCGTAGCGGACTACGGTTGTTTCTGCCTTAGTTCTCAATCATAATTCACAGATGCACCTCCCACTCAATCCGGGTCCCAGAGGAATTACTTAAGCTATGCAAGTATGGGGCACCCTTATTTGAACAAAAATACCAATGATCTGATATAGAAGTTATATGACGTCTTTTAAAGTTAGCTGAAATCCGTGCTGATGCCAGGTCAAAAAATGCGTGATAACACTAACTGTAATTGAAGCAGGAGAAAGAAAAAGACGGGAACCTTCCAAGTTAAGACGAGGCATTCATTAGCTCGTATTGAATTGCTCCTGGTTACCTGACAATCAGATCGATTGCAGAATTTATTCTGACCAGGTTACATTCACCACGTGATCGTCAACCCACATAGGCACATAATCGGACACAGCATACCAAGGCGCCTTTTGCATGCCTGACCAGATAAGCTGGCCATTAATCCTCAATCCTTCAAAGTTGACAAACTCAATTTGTGAATTCTTGTCATAACCAGACATGATGGAAATATTGCTGTCCGAGCCATTGTATTCGACATCCCGCACCGTAATGTTAGATAAAGTTCCACCGGCGAAGGAATCATACTTGGGGTTGTATGCCACTTTAAAACTAAACAGCATGCCCAGACGGAAATTCTCGACACGAATGTTGCTGAAGAGCACGTTTTTCACAATATTGCCATTGCTAGTACTCATTGCCATGCAACCCTGATAGTAGATCTGCGGCTCGTGTTGATCTAGAATATCGATGTTGTCGAATGTCAGGTCAGACATGGTTTCGTTTCCTCCAAAGCCGCCAACATTGAGGGGATGTGCCACATCTGCCCAAACGGACGAGTCCCGGATGGTGATATTCTGACTGTCGCCACTGTAGGGCGATGACGAAAGATAGAAAGCCAAGGAATCATCCCCCGTTCGCATGAACAGCTTTTCGTAAGTGATATTTTGGCTGCACCACGTGTCGATGCCATCGCCCCACTGGCCGGAGCTGATGACCCGAAAGTTGCGGATGAGGATATCGTGGCTAGAGCCGACCCCGACGGATGCGTGCAAGGGGCTGAGAACGGTAGGGCCGTCGACGAGGATGTTGTTGGAAAAACTCACGTTGACTGCATTAAGGCTGCTGCCGTAGATAACACCATGTCCGATAAGGCGAGCGTTCTCTACGTTGAGGAATAAGAACGATCCCTTGACCACGGCTCCTGGAGCCAGATACACAGTCTCTTCTGACGATATTTTGTATGTCTGGTTGAGCTGATGATAACCAGGACTAAAGGAGGTTACGGTTCCATTCTTCACCTGCTGAGGGACAACCGTGTCTATTTTGTTGAGAAAGAGGTGGAGAACCTGGAAGACATCACCATTGACTTCCACAACCAGGTTCGTAGGCTCCGAGAGTGTAAGCAGGATAGTGCGCCCATTGAGCGTCCAGGGAATGTCATAAGACAAGGGTCGGATCCTAACAGAGTCAATCGAGGGGAAAAGATCCCGGCTGGGTTCAATGCTGATATCGACAACACCGTCAAAGTCGAATATTCCCACAGATGAGTTATGATATATTCCAGCACCAGTCGTCACATTAGCAACCATGACCCTGGTCCAGTACAGATCGACTGACCGCCATTGCTTGTCGCCCCCTGAGCGGACCTTGACGGTGTAGTTATTAGATTGAGCGATGGGACTGGGAATCGAAGGTACCAATACGCTCCCAGGACCAGCTGCCGTGGCATCGGCGGTGACTATCGTACTAGAAAAACCAATAATAAAACCAAGCGCAGCAAAGGCGGCTCGACCCAGGGATGATAGAGACTTAGCCATCTTTTTCGCTAGGAACTAAAAGATCAGGCGTTTCCCTTGCCTGTTATGATTAAGATGCGAGAAGGCGGACAATCTGACGATAAATAGAAAATAGACTACCACTACCGGGGACGATTGCAGCACTGGAAGCCGACCATGTCGAGCAATCTTGCAGACCGAATGTAAAACGCGGGAAAAGCCCCGGGAGGAACTGGTTGGCTTCTTCATGAGGCACGAAGAATTCGGTCAGACCTCGCCACGGATGGACTTGGGTTGATTTTCATGGTTTATTCCCGCCACAAGTAATCTCCCGCGGATTAGAGAACCTGGATTTCGTGGAGCCCCGCGGAGGATGCATTTGCTTGGAAACACCCGGAGAAAGTCCCGGATGGGCACCGGTCCCCGTCTCCGTGCATTTGCCCGAGATTCCTGTATGAGATGGTGTGGACGTTAAGTAAGTGAGGTTGGTCCTTGCTGTTTGCGGGGTTTACCGGACATCCTTTCCCGAGGACGTGTCATTCATAGGTACGTGATGTTTCTCGCATCCGCCTAGATGCAACTTTTCGATGGTGGCTAGCTCCGGTATGGAATATCCATGCTGCTGCTGCGCATAACTATTACATCTGCCTATCGTTGGGGAGATATGACGAACTAGCTATAGCTCGCTCCCTTTGATGTTTTTGGCTCGATCGCAGAGGCTATACTTACGTTGCATAGAGTAATGATTCTTTCGTTGACTGTGTGACACTTTCACCACTACTGTGCTAAAATAGACATGAAAATTGCAAATTTTAGAGTAATGGTGAGCGATGCTTTGCCTTTCGATTCAGTAATCTAAAGTGTATAAATAATCTACTTATTCACTCAACTGAGACTCAGTTTCATGGCAGTTCAAGTGGAGCTTTCTAATGAAACTGGCCAACTACATTCTCACTACCCGGTGATATGCCCAGAAAGCTGACAAATTTAAGAATAAATATGCTCACTCCTCCAAACCATGTAGGAGCCGAGATATTACTTCAAGCAGCGTAACACGCGTCCTGAGGCGGAACGGTTGTCGAAGTGGAAGCAGATGAACTGTAATGAGAGTGATGATGGTGTCGGCGACCGCTTGGGGTGTGAGTAGGTGTAATTGTAGGTAGAACCAATGACGAGCCGACGGCCGAATATACACTACGTAGTATGCTAGAGGGTATCAAACTTGAAGTGCTGATCGCAATATTCGCTGCCTGTGCGACATCAGACTCCTCCAGCCGGTACAGCAAAGAACCCCAGCCCAGTGAGTCGTAATGCCCGCTTCCTTCCCCCCAAGCGCCCGCTCCTGGTTCATGTCCTCCAAATTGCTCCAAGGATTTGTTCCAAAATTTCGTGGTCCACGGCGCCTTCTGGTTCTTAATCACGACATAATGGTTGTATAGCAGTTCCCATGCCGGACGACAAGCTCCACGTGATGCATTGCTGATCTGGTGGAAGGAGACAATCCCATTGGTGTAGGGTTCAAACGGGACATCATTGCCCAAATTATATCGAGCAAAGTACTCCGCCCTAGTATTTCACGATAAGCTCTACAGCTTTGACAATTAGTGCCGCAAGATAAATGAGACGTACCCAAGAAGAATGCGACTGTTGTTGTAAGCAAAGAGGTCCTCTCCTTGGTTCCATGCCTGCTGTCCAATAACACCCAGCAGCTGGAAATCCAGGGCCGAATGACCTTGATCACGACCTTCCTCTTGCCCCTGGCCCAATGGGTTGCCGGTCTCAGGTTCCAGCACGATATTAGTCACAGCATTGTTGATTGCTCCATTGCCAGCCCCATTTTTGAAATAGTCAATGGAATACTCCCATGCGGTTTGATTATCTGTCAACACGGAAATAGCCATGGCTGAGGCTAGGTTGGCAAGCTCCCAATTTGCGAAAAAATGCTTGACGATATGCTCCGACCCATCGCGGTGGTTGAGGAAGAACAAGTTTTTCTCCAGGAAGAGACTGGTCATCATATTGAGAAACTTGGCTTGGCCTCCCCCAGATACAAAGGGCGGATAGTCCCTGAGCAGCTCTCCGACATTAGCGAGTTCGTGGCCTTGCAGGCCCGCCACCAGATACTGATCGTCATTCGCTCCGATGGAGTAGAGTTTGTCACTCCATGCTGTCAGGATATTTACGGCGGTGTCGGCATACGAGGTGTCGCCGGAAATCTTCCATCGAAGCGCAAGAGCAAATGCTGCCCCTGCGTCATGCCAGAGCCGGTCTGCGTTTGGCGGGGTTGAGCCTTGAGTGTCTCGGTCAACGCTGCTGACGGCATTGTTGGTATAAGAGGCACTCGCAGATTTCATTGAAATCAACTGTCTCCATGATGCCAACCACGGATCTTTGTGGGCATCAAGCTTTTGTTTTATGCGATTGATATCGTTGCTTGTTACGAGGAGTCCAGGATGCGTAAACCCGGACACGAGGGGGACGAGCAAAACAAAAAGTTTAAAGAAATGATTGAAGCAAAACATGTTTTGATGAACAAATGTAATGAGCGTGTGAATGATCAGAAAAAGGAGCGTCTGGGGTGAAAATTCAAGAATATACAGAGATCAACTCTTGGATAACTCAGAAAAGTCCAAGTCAAGTAGAAAGGCATGGTATCAATCACAAAAGTGTTACATAGATACATAGTACCAACTCGACCCCCTATCGTAGACATCCTCATATCCACGTAAATTCGTGCAGTACCACCAAGGCAGCCTCGACCGCAGATCCTAACTTTCAACTTGTGCTATATACGTTGGATGTTTCATCCAAATTACATGGCCAATGGAAGTACTGGTGAAACTGAGCTTGGCTCTTACTCAAATGCTCAAGAGCGATTGTTTCCATGGCCTGAAACGCTGTCGTGGTGGGCCTGTGTTCCTTAGCATGCCCTTAGCTTGGAAGTATCTGTCGAGTTACTAAGTATGGTTAATTTTCAATTGGAATAAATTTCCCGACGGATAATAAACTCTAGTACTCGAGCCCTCTGATTGGCTGCTTCTCAAATTAATGTCAATCCATGTCCTGCATACGAGGTACATGAACGAGCATTAACTATGCCCATATGATCAGCGCCTAGTTGCCGTGACCAACATACTGCGTACGTGCTTGTAAGCCATCCAGGGCTATGTAAAATAGCGAGGGTGAGACGGCCGTAAGAATCGCCTTTGGGGCGTACTATTTAACACACAAGGGCTGGATTAAAGTAAGTACCGCAGTACATCGTATACCGGTATCCACCTTGGCGCCAAAATTGAAAGTTTACCGGTAATGTTTGCATTGCCGCACGTGTGCTTGATCATTCTGTGGAGTAGTTTTCCATTGAAAAGATAAGAGCTAGATCCACCATTGTCAACTGGTCCCCAACATTGTGGCGGTAAGAGGTTTGGTATAATTAAATGTTATATGCGCGCATAACTCCGTTCTGTAGTTCATCAATTTGCTTGAGACGCATGGCACGATATCACTCTTTCGTTTTCCATATTCTTAGTGAAAGATTTCCAAGCGGTTGAGGGCCAGGCGAGCGCCTTCTTCCTTGCAATCGCAATTGGCAAGTTGAAATGAGCAGGAGGAATCAAGATGACTAGCTGCATGAAATTAATCCTCACCATCGTCCGAAATAGCCAAATTCTGACCAGTTAAAGTCCTTGAAATGGATTCTAGAGTATCCTTTTCGACTTTACGATTGTACATTTACACATTGGGGTAATTCGCCTAGCGAGAAGTTTGATCACGAATTCCATGTATGCTCTGTATATCTGCCATTAATCACAGTCGACAGTTCTTTAGATAATCAGACAATCAGACAATCAATTCTTTGAAGTGCTACCTGTATATGAGTTGTGTGAAGAATGTAGCTAAGATGGACGAGATCCTTCCGTATAGCCTTGGGGCCCTGCGACTGAGAATATCTCAGCCGGAAAAATGCCTACATATGGCCCTACAGATAGCCTGCTCCTGATGGGGTTCCACTTTAGATTTTACGGCAAATATATTAGGTTTACACTATGCCTATTTATCTCTCGAGCGTTGTCCCCTCACCATGATAAGAGCGTAACGTCCCCTATTCCATACATGTGCTATCCCATAAGAATTATAATCAGTTCCAGAATATAGCTATAATCTTTAGAGCTCTTTAATATAGGTAATTTAAACATATCAGTGAAAGTTTCACACGTTAGGGCCCCACGAATGGTTTGTTATGTCGCTATTCACTCAATCTTATATTTCCAAGAGACCACGGCGTCATTTACTTGAAAATAATTCTATACTGGTGTGATTCTTATTCTAGAGCTTTCTATAGCTTTAATTCTAGTTTAAGCTAACCGCTGTATAAATTGCCCGCAACTTCATACTGGAGTTGTAAGCCTACGCGCGCGCACTCACGGACAGCGAAGCCTACGAACTACGAATTGGCACGACTAGGATTCAACGGAACACATACCAATATCGACGTTCCTTGCAATGGAGATTCGTTGATATCGTTGACGAGAGAATGTGGCATGATTTGGGACTTAGGCTTCTGGGCAATAAGAGGATGAGCTTTACTAGCCGGAAACCATCACCAAGCTCTCATACCTTGACTTTAGGAAAAGATGCGATTGTGCACGTAGTTTATGAAGCCCAAAATCAGATGAACAACAGTAAGGACCAGCTAAGGGCCTCGTAGACCTCACCTTGCGAGGCCTTATCTTTCATATGAGTCTTCACAATGTAGTTAGCGTGTGAGCCTCATACCAGCTCAGAAAAAGGCACAGCACATAAAGGATCAGCGGCTTGGGACATCACTTTCGGGCTGCGTCGATCGGGAGTCGGATTTGCATTCTCATTAGTATGGAGAAATTTTCTTTTTTGATTTTGATATGTGTTTTATTTCCATCCTTGGCTTAGTGCAAGGGCTTTACCATGTCGCCCCTGGCATAGCAACTAATATAGACACCAGGCTATACAAAGAGTCTCTTCTATCTTATGTATATTTTTTAGGTACCCCAGTTACATTTTATTGTTCAGCTTGTATCGTTGACTAGACTAGAGCCCGAGTGAGGTTCAACATTTCTAAGATATTCCCACGGCACTACTGCATCAATTGAGGTAGACGGTCCGTTACAAATGTCATAGCTCAATATAACCTAACTTACTTTGTTGATAGTATTTATACTTGACCCGGCTTCGTAAACGTCGCTTACTTGGGCTCCGCATACATATCTCGGGATCATGAGCGACGCCGCTCATACCAAGCACGCACCGTAAACGATGGCACTAACTACGAGAGGTTCTTTCTAGCTACTCCTGGTCATGCAACAGGATCTATTGACCTCTTTACCTGAGTCAATACACATCTTGATATTGGTTCCTCATACTCTAGGTAGTGACGAATATTGGGAAACAAGAATATTAACAAGTAATCCTTGGTCTTTTAAGTTTTGCAACAGTCAAACTTGTGCTAGCCAAGACCTAGGATGGAAATCACATAGATACCTTTGTCGATGACCTCGAGGAACTTTTTGCGCATCTGAAGGTCAAAGACGCAGTGATGGTTGGCCACTCTTATGGAGGAGGAGAGGTCACCCATTACCTTGGAAAGCATGGCACTGTCTGTTTTAAGAAAGCCGTCCTTGTCAGTGCCGTGCCTCCTCTGATGGTGAAGACCGATATCAACCCCGAGGGGACCGACAAGTCTGTCTTCGATTTGTTCCGGCAGGCCATGCATAAAGATCGAGCCCAGTTCTTTCTAGATGTACCCAGCGGACCGTTCTTTAGATTTAACTGACCTGATGCACAGAAAAGTAAGGGATAAATCCGGAGCTGGTGACAATAAGGAATGAACACCAGTTTCAAGTCCGCGTATGACTCCATCAAGGATTTCTCGGAAACTGATTTCACACAAGATCTAAAGAATATTAATATCCCTGTGCTAGTCCTGCATGGGGATGATGATCAAGTTGTTCCAATTAAGGCCTCTGGGCTGAAGTCAGCAAAGCTCCTGCCTTAAGGCAGGCTGAAGATCTACAAGGGAGGATCACACGCTATTCATAATATCAATGTTGACGAAGTGAACAAAGACCTTATTGAATTTATCAAGTCATGAATCGCGTGTCTTTTATAGTTTTGACACATAGGCTTCAAATGGCTACCTTGAACGTCGCAGGGATACGCGCAGGCTGACAAGTCATCATCTCGCGCACCCTCCGTACTCAAAGAATGGAAATATAACAAATGCTATTTTAGTATTTGCTACTCTATATGTAAAATCACTATTTAATCTAATAATCTAATAGTTGAGCAGTAAGCGTTCTTTGCCATAGAAATTGGGAAATACGTAGTCCATATAACGCCTTACTAGGCCTGCTTGTTTATTACTTAGGCATCCGGCAGGCCCTTTCGATATCAGAATATCATTTAAACGCCGTTAAGTGAAGAGTTCTCTCTTCTAGTGGATTACGAATCATCCGGTTTACGACACGCTGTTAGAAATAGGGTGGATCCAGGTCCATGACACATGAAGGTTCCGAATCTCTCTGTATCAGTCATTTATTTTAACAAAAATAAAACCCCCTTCCACTAATGATAAAGATCTTTATGATCACTCTTGATAGCATCCGCTCCCTTCTCAGCAACCATGTAGACCGAGTTCTGAATACGGCAGTCCGGAATTTCAGGGATAACAGAGGCATCGATGACACGGAGGTTTTTGACGCCGTGGACCTTAAGGCCGGCATCTACCACACCCTGCTGGATATTTTTAGATAAGCGTGCAGTACCACAAGGGTGGAACGAGGTTTGAGAACGATCTAACACCGTTCTTTTCATCGCCTCATCGTCATCTAGCGGCATCTCCCAAGGGTATTCATCCACAACAATATCTTTGAACCCAGGGCCATTCTTGAGGACGTCATACGTGAATCGAATACCCTCACGCATGGCAATGATATCAAGGTCGTTGGCGAAATAGTTCAGATTGATATTCGCCTGCTCCAATGGATCGGCACTGTTAAGTGTAACCTCACCGCCCGGAGAGACAGGGCGAACGAGGTCAACCATGACCGTCATATAACTACCTTTCTTGGGGTGCGGGAAATGCCATTGGAAAGCACTGCCGAAAAGAGGAATGAAGTCAAGCTCGAAATGAGGCTGGCCGTACGGACAAAAGGGGTCGAGTCCGTCGTTGGCAGCCTTGGCAGCACGGTATTCGGGAGACTTCTCCAAGTACTTGTCAATACGAGGGAAACCGATCAACTCCAGGAACGGAGATCCCATGGCACCAGTGTGGCCATTGGCATATGCTGAGAGAGTTTTATCCTGTAGAGGGCCCTTGCGCAATACATGGTTGTCCATTGAATATTCATCCTTGAGACGGAGAACAAATGGAACCCCAGGGTGATCCAAGAGATGCTGACCGACATGGCGTGAGTCCACAATAAGAGGGATGTTGTGCTTGGCTAGCTCAGGTGCTGGTCCAATACCGCTAAGCATCAGAAGCTTCGGGGTCTCAAAGACACCCTCGGAGACGATGACTTCACGGGTGGCATAGAAACTTAGCTCTTGCCCAGATGCGTTAATCACAACCACACCCTTGGCAATTCGATCGGCATTGTTAATAATAAGCTTCTTCGAATGAACTTCGGGAAGAATTGTGACATTAGGCTTGTCAGCAACTGCGAGGAAACTCCCGGAACGCCGGCCGTTGTAGATCGTGTTTACACTGTGAACCAGACCACGCATCGTTCCATCGAAGATGTTCTCGGTGACAGGCTCCCCAGTGGACTTCCAAGCCTTGGTGACAAGGTCACGGAAACCTTTCATTTCAGGCATAAGGCGGGCATGGGAAATTGGGATCGGTCCACCGCCGCCAATTTTCTTCAGGTCTGGCGAGTAGAGTCCTTCGTCATCATGGTACGTAACACTCTTGCGAAGGTAGTAAATCAGAGGATCCCAAGTCCATTCCTTTCCGCCGTATTCTTCCCACAAGTCAAAGGTACCCTTAGAGCCGGGCACCCAAGAGAAGTAGTTCAGCGACGAACTGCCACCAAGGGCCTTTCCACGGGTGTTGGGCTTTTCGATACGCTCATAGTCATCACGCTTGACCATGGTTGTCTTGTACGCCCAGTCGTATTGACTACCGCGAATTTCCATTGCAAGACCGGGAGTCCGGATCTCTTCGTTATTCTTAGATGTGCCAATGCCGGCTTCGACAACAAGGATCCTGACATTCGGGTTTTCTGCAAGGCGGCAAGCAACGATGTTGCCTGCTGTGCCACCGCCGACGACAATAAAGTCAAAGCGAGCTCCGTCCTTGACAGCCATGGTGAGTGCAAAAGTTATTTAAGGGTAGAAGATGTTTCAATTCGATAGAACTTGTAAATTGACCTGTGGCTGTCATGAGGAGACTATAGAGCTTTTATGTCTTTGAGGAGTGATGTCTTCTTCTTCTTTTTGGTGAAGAGCTGCTCATACCCACAATTGCAGCGCCCTCTCAAACACCGTGGTTTAAGCGTGAAGTCGAGACGTGCAGGATTGTAGATAGGATAACCATAGGTCTCGTACTCATGCCAGAATGAGTTTGTGGGGCCACTCACGAGGTGATATGAGTATCCCTGGGCGGTTATTGGCCATTACTATCTCCAGATTCGGTATGAGCATATTTGGTCAATGTTGGACGTAAATCACCTATAATTTACGAGGATCAGCATGGGTGGATTGTCTGGTTGTTATAAATGGTCGTGATTTATCCAAAGAAAGAGATCTCGATTTTATCACTAGTGATAAATGGCCCACATACTGTATCAGGAGTGAAAGGCTGGAGACTTTATCAGGCAGTAATCGTGGTGGTTAAGGTAATTACGCTACGCATCTAGCAAAGAACTAAAACAACCTCTCATCTTTCTTAGGTCCTTATGCTTCGCTCTTTTTGATCTCGAAATATATTATTGTATATTTCGGGGTAATGCGCCGGATCCGGATACTGGTCGATACGCGCATGGATGCTTTCATGTGTAATTATCCGAAGCTGACTACCTGTTCCTTGAGAGGGAAAGGGACGCGATCGCCCTTTTCTTCATTGAACGAATCAATGTGAATCCAACGTCTTAGGTACTATCGCGTGGGGCATGGTGAGAGACTACGTACTAGGTATGGTATGCGTTTCCGTGTTAAGCAATACCTTTGGGCCAACGAGAAGCCTCTCATATGAGCTGATTCAGAAACACTTAAAGCGGGGAGATTCTAAGATTTTCTCTAGACTCTATGAGTTTACTTATCTTGTTTCCGTGCTAGTCCTGCATGGTATTGGGGGCCTAGACCAGGCAGTTTCGCGGTCCTAGCATTGCGCACGCCGCACGCAGCAGCTTGATGTGTGCTATGTCCAATAGGATACCGAATCAACCGAGGATACTATGGCCTGCTGAAAGACAGGCAATAAGGTATTTGAGAGTAATTAAATTGGTAATGAGTCATGACATGTGATATTCCATGATAATGGAATGTGCCACCAAATTCCTTTTTTTATACCATATTATTTCACGCTCCCGTAATCGTCTTCGAATCACAGCTGACGGAAATATGAAGGTATGTTGGTTTGGTTCAGCGTAAGTGCTACGAATTCAAAATGATGGACAGCCTATCGACCATGAGCGAATGAAGGATCTACGCCTCCTAGATGATTTAGCAGACAAGGATCCAGGAACGCCGCAACTCGTGACCTCCTTGAATTAATCGGCTTGGCTGTGAAGAGGAAGAAAGCAAAGTACGCTAGAATGACGGAACTAGCGAGTATGAATAACAGGCCAATGTTGTTTATAGGTGGATAGATACTTCTACTTAAGTATCAAAGTACCAGTGATAAGAAACAGGAAATGGCCCCTTGATCGGTTGGGCTTGCACATCAAGTAAAATACTCTAATATCTGTCAAGTACTACACAATAATCAGCTAGTATAACAAGTATCTCATGACCTTGTGACATGGTCAACATCTTTCTATCCAACCATAAGAGCGTTGAGCATAAAGTACTTTAGAAATGACTACGATTACTTGAATGGCTATCAATACAATAGAGTAGCGATCTTGTAAGGGAATATTGATGAGTGATAGATGAACAATCTGAGTGTCTCCTGAATGATACGATATGATAGAAAAATATTGCCAGAAAACGAGAAATTACTTATGACCCATAATGGAGACCTTTGCTTCGGTTGCTTCCTTGATACGCTGGCCCAGCTGCGCATCAACACAACTATAAAGGTCTGGAAATAGTCAGTTTTTATTTAACCAGAATATCAAAGCTGCAAAGAGTTATTCAACACATTTAGTAAACCTTCTCTTAAAGCTCCTTGCTAGTTACATCTTTGATATATGTGAATATATTGTCTATATATTAGTCCTGATAACATGGTTCATGTCCTAAGATCTTCCATAACCTTATGGCTTGCTAAAAGTCCTAATACTCAATAATACTACTGAAAGTGTAAACTTCCTTAACCCACTTTTTATGTTATATGATGGTGTTTAATTTAGGTTGACTAGAGGAATTTATACTAAATACTGTTGGTTTGAGGAAGGAGCCGACATAATTAGGATCATCGCCATAATTTTCAGAGAAATTCATGAATCCATTTTCAACATCTTAATATCCCCAAAAATTTGCACGTAAAAGATATCCCAAAACTAGTGGTTGCGGGCTAATCCCGCCTAATGATCACTATAAGGGTATCCTCGAATAGATATCACAACATGAGGAAAATAAAGGGGAAGGGAAGCTTCAAGTTCTGGGGGCGTGTGCAGGTTTATATGGATAAGGGAAAATAGGGGCTTCGGCAGATGTTGCCTGGAACGGGGGGGAAGCACAACAAGTGCAACAAGCATGAATCATTGCTCACTACGTCCTTCTCTCAGCAGAAGTTCCTCTACTTTCCACCAGTAGCACTCTCAGCACCAGCGTCAGCTAAAGCAACCAAAGACTTCTTCTTAACAAGTCTCAATCCACCCAGCAACATAGCAATAACCTCCAGACCAAGGATAACGCCAAGCGTAACCATAGCACCAATCACACCCGCAACAGCATTCGAAATGCCCGATCCACTGCTCACCGACGACGACGAAGCCGAAGAAGATGAACTGGAAGCAGTTGTGCTGGCACAAACACCGGTGGTATTACCGCAAACCTGACACCACTGATCCTGACTCGTGACCGCAAACTTTTGTGTCTGAGTCACAAAGTCTGTCCAGGGGAGTTCAGTCTCTGTGCCACCGAATAGCGGGTACGCGGTTAGGTTGGTGGTGGTTGCTGAAGTGCCGTTGTTAAAGAGGAAGCGCACGCTGACGTCGGATGCAGATGGGAATGCGCCGTTAGTCACTGTGGCGTTGGTGACCAGTTCCCAGACCATGCTAGACGCATAATCGGGGATGCCGTAGAAGATGCGGTCGGCAGCGGTGAGGTTGGCGAGACCAAAATAGGATTGGAAAGTACCGTAAGACCCAAACTGGACGTTGAGTCTGGCGTCATTTGCGCTGGTAATGGTATTATTGAGAGCGAGCAGGACCTGGCTGGCGAGCTGGGAGCCGGCAATGGCACGCGCGGTGTTGGAAGCGTTGTAGGCGAGGTTGTATTCGTGAATATTAGCGAGAACGAGAAGCTCATGCATAGTCTCGTTACTCACGCCGCTGAGCGCAGGGTAATCCGTAGTCGAATTGTGAATTAATGCAACATTGAGCAAATCCCAGATAACGTAGGCATTCTTAAAGCTCAGCTGGGACTCGGTGAAGGTGGCATTCACTGCAGGAGCCACATTTTGGTACAAGTCCGTGGTGGAGTTGAGATATTCAAGGTAGATATCTGAGCTGAAGAATTCATTACTGCTGATTAGGGCATTGTTGCAGGATGAAGAGCTTTGAAGCCATGCGTTATCTTCACTTCCGCTGCCGGGGCTTATGATACTAATCGGAATAAGCTGATATCCATTCAAGGGAGCTTCAACGACAGTGCCATTGCGAAGAGTCTGGTTCGATGCGCTACCGACAGGCGGATAAAGACCCTGAAGCCAGCCCGCGGCCGAGTTCTGGAGGACATTGTCCAGAGGCGCGCTGACGGCCAACTGCGATAATTTGACGGTCTCGCTCTGGATGCCTAGGATCTGGGTCGCTGAGCCATCGGCAATGTAACGGTCATGGAAATTTGTGCCTGCACCGAGAACTTCGTGGTATCCCAGGTCAGTGAGGGAGGCAGGCGGGGTGCTTTTGGATGTGCGGTCGCCGTGACGGTGGAAGATGTAAGCACCGAGAATAGTCTCGGCGGCAGAGAGCTGGATGGCTGGGATGATAGCCGCAGCGGCGAGAAGATTGTTTTTGTAATGCATTTTATCCGATGAATTGCACTCAGACTGTGAAAAGACAAGAAGGAAAACTTGATAGGAAAGAGGGGTAGATGCAGCTTAAGAGGAAATCAATGACCTCCATATCTATCTATCCCTCGATAAGAACCTATCAGGTCCACTTTACCCTCTTCACAAAGTTGACAACAGCACCAAATACCTTTTTAGCGGGATCCGCGGAAACGTTTTCCTCGTTTCATCTCAGGTATGGATCTGACCACCGGATCATTGACCAACTGCGTATATATTAACTACTACATTGCTGCTTGCTGGGTAGGACGATGCGGAGTGTCAACGACGCTCAGATTCTCTACGAGGAAAACATATACTACACAAAATGGATGCTCATCTGTCAATCCGTCAGTCAGTCATGGTTGGCGGGTTGCGATGTATCCGAATATCTTCCGGTCGGTCGTCTTGGCCGTGCATGGCGTGCGTGGCATTTATTATTTAATTCATTAGCTACGCGCATGGCTGATCGACTCACAAAACCGGGGTCACGAGAAGAGAGGGAAGTGGGGAACTTGGACATGTCACCCCGAAGCCGAGTATCAATTGATGTGATAAACAGGGTTTACTATACTAATAAGATACGATGTACTATGTCGAAGCACATGGTCCTCAAGAGTGGGTAACAAGATAGCGACGCAGTATGGGTAGTTTCCGCGTTGAGTAATACTATCAAACCAACCAGAAGCCTTTCATGTGTGCTGATTCAGAAACACTTGAAGCGGAGAGATTCTTAGATTCTGGCTAAACTCTATGTCGTCCGTGGTAACCGACCCTTGCATTATTGGGTAGTACCCAAACCTGCTAACCACGCAGCTTCGCGGTCCCTGCATTGCGCACGATGTAGCTTGATATGATATACTTCGACAAGATATAACCAATAAGATACCCAATCAACCGAGGATAGCCTGCTGAAAAGTAGAGCTAACTAGGCCATCATTGCAGAAGGCCCAAACTGGTAATGACATGTGACCTTCCGTGATAATGGAACTTGCTACAAACCTCTTTTTTTCCATACCATATTCTTCTACGATCCTGATCAACTCACTTAGAAAAATATGAGAAAAATGTCACCGCAAAGGCTAGGCAGAATAGAGCCCCGATCGTGGGTCTCAGCGTTCTCCTCAATTTAGGGATGTGGTGTTACTTCGACTGGCCCTCGAAGAGCGAGAAGAATGGCTGGAGCATGGCGTCTCCATAGCACGAATACAACCTCCCAAGATAAAGATAGAACACTGTGTTCCACCTTTTTGAAGTACCGTCAATTTTCAGAAAGTCCCGGCTCTACGGCCGCTGAAGAAACCCATTTCAGAGAATCTAGTAGACGGGTTTCATCGACAACATAACTATCTGCGTGTCAGTGTGACCGAACGCTGCAACCTGCGTTGTATGTATTGCATGCCAGAAGAAGGCATTGACCTTTCTCCGCCGTCTCATTTGTTGACAACTGCGGAAATTGTATACCTGTCATCCCTTTTTGTTTCAGAAGGAGTCACAAAGATTAGATTAACTAGAGGGGAGCCAATGGTACAAAAAGATATTATCTCCTTGATGTAAGCTATTAGCAAACTACGCTAAAATGGTTTATAGGAACTATGCTTGATAATAAATAGTATATTCTTACTATAAAAGCTAGATATAATGATGGAGGCTGGTTTAATAGGAGTAATCTAAGTTTAGACATCTTAGATCTATTTTAATTTTAGATTATAATAAGAAGATGTAGCTAAGGGTTAGAAGTATAGAGAAAAAGCATCGGCTAGATTCTGGAGATGAATCGAATGGGCGCTGGTGTAAAATTAAAAATCAATTATACAGTGATACGTGGCCTGAATGAATGTGAGATTCTCTCTTTCGTGGAAATGGCCGGAGAAAGCCCAATTGAAGTACGCTTTATTGAGTACATGCTGTTCGATGGGAATAAATGGGAGCAGAATTGGATGGTATCTTATCAAGGGATGCTCACGATGATCTGAACCAAATACCCGGAAATCTTGAAGACGACCGGCCTTGAAAACGACACTAGTAGAAATTATCAAATACCGGGTTTTGCCGGCCAAGTGGGATTTATAACTAGCATGACACACAACTTTTGCGGGTCCTGTAATCGTCTTCGAATTACAGCTGATGGAAATCTGAAGGTGTTTTGTTTGGCTCAGCGGAGGTGTCTCTTCGAGATTTGCTACGGATGCAAAATGATGGACAGCCTATCGATGATGAGCGAATGAAGAATCTATACCTCTCAGATGATTTTGCAGACAATGCATCCAGGAGTGCTACAAATTGTGACCTGCTTGAGTTGATCGGCTTGGCTGTGAAGAGGAAGAAAGCAGCGCACGCTGGGATGACGAACTTAGCAAATATGAAGAACAGGCCGATGATTCTTATAGGCGAATAGCCACTTCTAAATAGTGATATCGAAATATCAGTGTTAGTGACAATGATTATGGTTCCTAGCTTGGTTGAACTCGAAAATGACCCTTGTGAGACAGTCTTCATCTAATTTCTGACCATGACAGCGTTGAACAGAATAAAAGACCACTATTACTTTAGATCGCTATGATTCTAACAAATGGCAATTCTTAGTATAGAAGCATAATTAGTAACAAATTAAGAATCTGAGTATCTCCTCTCAAAGACAGGTACGATGTGATTGACAAGTACTGTCGCAAACCAGGAATTACTTGCGACCTTCCTTGGAGAGCTTTGCCTCAGTTACTTCCTTAACACGCCGGCCTAGAGCTGCATCAACAGAACTGTAAAGATCTGAAAGTAGTTAGTTTTTAATTAAACTAAATATTAGAATGCAAGGAGAGAGTAAATAAAAACATACTGTAAACCTTCTCTCGAAGCTGCTTGCTAGTAACACCCTTGATATGCCCGGACACATTATCAATGTATCGGTCCTGATGACCTGGTTCACGTCCTAGGACCTTCCACAGCCCTGTGGCCTGCTCAAAGTCCTGAGGCTGGAAAGTGCTGGTGAACGTAGAGACCTCTCCAACCCACTTTTCATGTTCGGTAATGGTGCTTGTTTTGGGTTTACCGGAGGAGTTCATGGCAAACACAGTTGGCTTGAGGGAGGAGCCCACATAATTGGGATCATCACCATAATTTTCAGAAAAATTCATGAATCCATCTCGCTGAAATGGACAGTATACTGGGGCTTTGGCTGCGTTTGTGGGAAGCATCTGATAATTTGTCCCTAGACGGTAGCGCGCGGCATCGGGATAGGCGAACATTCGAGCTTGAAGCACTAGTAATAAGGGGACAAAAAGTCAGAATCATGTTTCTCAAGAGCAGAATGGGTGCTGCACGAACTAGGATCAGCAGATGGAGCAATTCCAGGGACCATGTTGGACGGAGAGAAAGCTGCCTGTTCAATATCGGTAAAAAAGTTTCGTGGCTGGGACTCATGGTCAGCTGGAGTGGAGAAAGTAATGTCAACACAAGCTTAGTATACGCACATTACGATTTAAAGTCAACTTCCCAATTTCCCGTAGTGGAAAGTCCTTGTGCGGCCACACTTTTGTCATGTCGAAGATATTCCACTTGTAGGTCTCGGCTTCTTTTGGGTCCATGACCTGCACGTAGACATTCCACACGGGATAATCACCTCTTTCAATTGCTTCATACATGTCCTGCATGTAGAAATCTGGATTCTCCCCTGCAGTTCGCACAGCATCATCATTAGTCATGTTCTTGACGCCGAGTTGACTTTTGATATGGATCTTGATGTATTTGAAGGAGCCATCCTGTAGTGATAAAGGTGAGCAGTCGCTCAATGGAGCCTTTTAAAGTTCACTTACCTCTTTAGTGAACTTATAAGTATGTCCACTGTATGCATTTATATGGCGAAGTGAAGCTGGTGTTCCACGGTCGCTGAACAAGTGCATGAGTTCATGAATGCCTTCGGGGTTACCGACATGGAAACTATCCGAGAAGAGAATATAAGTATGAACGTCCAAATTGACAAGATACTAGCTTGATATCTTACTCCCAGAACTATTTGCTCGTTAGTATCAGTTTTCATTGCTTTCAAAATTGCAACATCTGTATTTACCATATTTGGGTCTGGCCTATGAGTTCGTGGGTTTCTTTTGTGCGATCGGTTCAAGGACGGAAATTTAATCGGATCCCGAACGAAAAATACGGGCTACCCAGACCCAAGATCTTATGTCAGGAACGAAGTCCGAGCGAGCCACATGTCAAAGGTTGTACTGACTGTATTGTTAAACACCCAGTCCAAGTTCCCTTCATCCGTCTTTATCTTCATGCCCCATCCATGAACATCTCGAGTCGTGTCTGCTGAGCCAGCCTCTGGACCAACAGTGGAAATGCGCAGAAGCACTTCGCTTTTCTTTCCAACCGTACTGAGGAAACTGGCCGAAGTGATATCAGTGCAATCATGAGTGCATTCGAATTCCCCGTATGCTCTATAATATGCGTTAGGCAAGGATGGTGGTTTTTAGATATGATTCAATAAGATGTATACCCAACAGCTTTTGCATGGACCACTCTATAAGTTTTTCCAGTCAGAAATAATAGGCTACACGCGGTTATAAAAAAGGCCATTCACCTCTCGGGGATTCTCTCACGAGAGAAATGTGCCAGTGTTTCAATCAGCTGAGTGTCTTGGAGTAATACAAGGCCACCTCCCGACCCATTGCGGACTTGAACACTGGTATCATTTCTCGGAAAGGGGCAACCTGTCATTAAAACGATTAACAATGCAACAATAGGTGAAGGATGAGCTCCAATTACCTTCAGCAAGTGTATAGTAAGACATAGTGATGGTATACGGTCAATTGAAGACTAACTATACCTAAACAAGATCTTGAGTACCTTAGTAATTGATGCTTTCAAGAGGAAAATACGACCTCTTTATATCCGTCGAACTCTTCAACAATTCACCTAGATAGACATAGCGTCAATCTGCGCATCGAGATATCCAGTTCAAGACGTGGATTATCTGACCTATCATTGATATGATTTCTTCTTGACCAATTGAATGACTTGTGATCCTGCGTGTCAGCTATCCATAGCTGTGGATCTGGACTATTTTCAATGGCCAAACATGGCAAGTCAGAAGCGGCGCTTGTGTCATTCACGGATAAGCGGGAAGTAGATCATGCTCGTATGCCATCATGACTTTTGAACAACTGACGAATCGGGAAAGACTATCTTTGATCCGTGGTTGGCGGGCTACTATTTCCCGAAACGAAGGCAGTACTGCTAGTCTAAGTATAGTGGATATGGATCCAGCTGAGCACAATGCTATAGTTAACCGGATAGCCCTCTGATATTGATTCTCTAAAACCTTGTTATCGTCTAAATTTCATGTCCAACGACTAGCCTCGGCCCATTTAGGATGTGTAATTATGAATAATTCGAAAATTATCAATACGAAACAGTTATAGCGTGACAAAAACTCTGCTAGAGCTTGTGAGCTCTTTACATCAAGCCTCCATAGGTCTTGCCCTCCTCCTCGAGTTCTTCGTCCTTGTCGAGATAGTTTTTGAGCTTGTTCTCCTCTTTTTTGAGATCGTTCTCAAAACGTTTGATCTCACTTTCATGCTGTGGGCGAGTCTCGCCTGAGGGTTGAGCCTGATATCCTGAGTGTACACCGTGCTCATCACGATTTTTATGGTGGAAGAGTTTGTCAAATGAACCGGAATTTTCTATAGCAGACTCGTTAAAATTGAACTTGATTTCGGGGCCGTAACCACATCACAAGTCCTACCTTTCGACATGATTGTAGATTTCTCCTTTTGATCGTATTTGAAGATAATAATTGCTTGTCTTTGTGTTGAAAATGAATACAGAATTGAATGTGTGACACAACTACTGGTAGCTACATCCTAGTTATAATCTCGATAATTATCATGCTTAATGAGAATCTACAACACCATTTTACAGTAATGTCGATCATGACGCTGAGACTTAGTATCAAATGTGAAATGATATGACGAGCTCCTTCTCTCCAAAGTCTGTATGGTGTTAATTAGGTAGTGGAGGTAAGCTAGCTATAACAAGATGGTTGATCCGGATCCGGAAATACAACGTGACGAATCAAGTCTTCCGGTTGTCTCGTAGAAGCTTTGACAGTTAGTGCAGGTGGAGATGCGCCACTTGTTGCCTTCTCTACCTGCGTGCGTACGGAGCGGTGAAAATGAGATGCAATACGATGTAAGGACTCTCTTATTTCATTCTGTTGCATCATGGACTGACTGACTGATCTATCGACTAAATGTCTGGGTTTAGTGGGTTTAGAAAGGCAGTGGGTCAATGACTTCGCAAGCAGCGTCTTGTCAACTCCACAGAGCTAAACAAAAACCACTTTTTATGTTCGCAAATGCCACGCGGTAGCAATGCTGCTGACCGAGATCTGATATCCTGGTCTAATGGTACGGAATACCTGGATTAACCTCCGTACCACTGGCGCATTTGTATCCTGATTTTTAATCCGTGCATTTATTATTAGAATGGAAACGTTTCTAGAACGTGATGTATCAGCCGTTGCATTTTTCATAATCAAAAAGAAGTTTAACCAGCTGCACATGTGGCGGTTTTCTAATATCCACGCACTTTATTTACCTACGATGTGAGAATGTCAACCAAGGAATTTCTTCAAAGGTTTATCTATCCGCTGTATTTATGGTATTTTGTGGTAACTATTAAAAATACTGTACTAGTGTGGGGTCGGGTCTTGGACGCGATCGATCGGTCTAATCTCATTGATTCGAATTCCGTTTAGAGTGGACCAAGGTAAGAGATGAGTTTTCAGTTGTTTTGTCAGTCAAATCGATTGATCATGACTGTAAAAATTCTCCTTTTTCGATGCGGTTGATGACGGAAAACATGCAATCAAACAGTCACAAGCTGACAAAACCCCAAAAGGGCAGCAGTAGCATCCCCTCGGACTCCTCGTCTCATTCCGGAGAGCATGGCCAATCACGCTTCGCCTTTGTTCTTGATAATAATCCACACGGACTCCGTACTCATGCTATGCGAGCGCATTGGCAGGAGAGACGAAAGCGATTGGAAAAGGCTAAATCTCATCACAGCACAAGACGACCATTACGAGCCAAATCCGACTCCGCTGCAGAGGAACTAGCTTTGGCTTTCAGGAGCCCAAGTACCCAGGCAGTTCCTTCAATAATACACTCTACTAATGCTCCAACGATTACTTCTGCCGATACATTCCCCGTCGATGAGCTCCAGTATGAGCATGGCCAGACAAAGAACAACCCAAACTTGAGTACCGAGCTGGTGATTCCGCAGGGAATTCGAGCGCAGGTCCTCACAGGATTGAACTACGCGTTAAGCTCATCCAGATTGGACCCCTTCGAAGTATTCCCTGTGATGCTAACCGCTACGCATCATAAGCTAATTCATCATTGTACCGTTCTCCCGGTGCCCGAAGACACATGTCCTTGGCCTTTTCGTACATACAGCTAACTTTACTGAAAACAGGGCTGACTGCGCATGCAACTATGATGTTCGACGAAATCCCGGCCTTTGATTTCAATCCCATGCGAGATGTTTGGTTTCCGCTGGATCTTTCTAATGCTGCTTCCTTTAATTCCATCATGGCTCATTCTGCGGCGCATCTTGCCTATCTGTATGGGGGCACGTTGCCCACCCGCGGTACTACAGAATTTGAAGTCTTGAAATACAAGGCACAAGCAGTGGACATACTGGGTCAATGGGTGAATGACCCTGTGCAATCTTTGAGTAACGATGCTTTTGCAGCCGTGGTTCGACTGCTCACATTCGAGGTATGACGTTATATCCTAACGGCGAAGGGTATTTCCTCGCAACATATTGACATTGGATGAACTAGAGGTATTGGGGTACTGAAGAGGAATGGCAAGTCCATAGAGATGGGCTGCAAGGGATGATAGAAGCCAGAGGAGGTCTACACGAATTACATGATGACTGGAGGTTACAATTAGTGGTCACCCTGTAAGTTACTGCACAGAGCTATCCTCTCCCTTTGAAGTACTTTCTTGAGTCTGGAGAAACTGAAGGCTCATAAGAGTCTCATTGATGTCGCAACCATCCTGGTTTTCGCCAACGAACAATCTCTCCGTTATCGCCAATCCGAATATCCTACACAGGTCGGTTCTGGGTATGGAAATCGATATCAGACGCCTGCGATCGTTATGGCTCATATCTTTCATCCAAGACATGCGTAATCTGAATAGCATGTCTTCAAAATTACGCCAAGAGGGTCTATCAATGTTTCCATCCATCTATCATTCAGTCTTGGCTATAAAATCAAATTACGACGCAGACACTGCCTTCTCTATATCCCCGACTTTCCTGCTACCGAACGGGCCCTCTGACGCCGATAACCACAGACTATCATCTCTATTGTCTATAAGTGTCATTGTACAAGAATATCTATCTCAGACCCGTGGTCAGCAAGTCTCTTCGTTTTCCTCAACCGACATGAATGCTCTCGCAGTTCTGGACATGTCCTTGTCAGCAGCTCCGACCACCTGGAAATCATCTGTCCACGCCATACGGTCCTTTCTTGACCAGCACTTCTTACGATTTTATGCCTCTGGGTCTCAGAAAGTGGACTATGTGATGCAAATGACAAACATCATAAGTAGCCTGAGTTTGGAAGCCCATCGAGGGATTGAGCAATGTCTACTGAACATGTTCTGCCGGTCAAAGGAAGGGGGATTGAGGTTTCATTCTGATCGAAACGAAACGCCAGATTCGCTGCTGTCTTCTGTACATGGTCTATAATCTTCAGATAGATAAATAATTTTTCTGACTGCTACGATAATCCACAGTGGCGCTTACATATTGAAAAAGGTGATTTGATCGAGATATTAGAAAGAGACGTTGCGAGTTTGAGCAGTTATGACGAGATTCCTCTAAGTGTTTTAGGGGATACAGAGAAATATCATTCAAGTGAGACAACAGAAAGAGATATGCCGGATTACTCCTGCGTGCATGACTACGAATCATACATGGAGTGAGCTTCCAGCAGTGTCTCCCCAAGGAACTCGACCTCCGACTCTTCCTCTCATCCGATGAAACTCCATATACACGGTATGTGAGGAATTGGCTCTACCGCCTGGGGTGATGGTTGATCGGCTATCCTTCATTCACTGTGAGTATTTTCCGCTTCAGGATTGCTAGCGCCGACTGTGCAACGACGAGAGTCACGCTACGCTGTGATTCAGCATGGTTGGTGTTCGTCTTTTACACCTTATTGGACTTACGAGGCTAAGTTTTTTATAATGGGCTCACTCGTCTCTGCTCTACTCCTCTTTCATGTACTAGATTGCTATGAAATCACGAGAGTTGGATCGCTCAGCCCCCCTAAAAATAGGTCAGATAGGTATAAATAGTGCTGACTTCCTACCACTATTCTGTCCTTTTGAAATTCTTTCTCTAATATCTAGTATGTCTATCGAAATGGAGACACAGCAACCACCTATACCAGCCTAGATTGGTAACTGGTATATCCTTGGTTTTGTATATGCAGTAGAAGAAGAGATCATGATAGAGACTCCTGCAGATATATTACTTGAATTTTTTATTATTCCTTTTAATGTGGACTTATCTCTGGATCAACCATCTAGTGAACAGATTGAGGATTAACATAAGTTAAGTATGACTTTAAGAAGTAGGCGTGGTTTATATATGTAGAATTAGATCTAGAGGTAGTCCGCTTTTAGGCCAAAGAGTCTCATCTGATGCCTTCGTGCCTTCGAGCCTGGCTTCTCTAGAGGTTCAGATATTCAGATGTATCGTCCAGCATTATCTTGCATAAACTAGAGACGTGTGATACCGTCTATCTTTCTTGGCGCTTGAGATGTGAGTCTGGGAATTTCCTTTAGCCAACCGAAGATTAAACCTCAACGAGGCCGATACACACCAAAGGTACAGGGGCCAATGTCAGAGCCAATGAAAACTTGGTCTTTGATATAGATAGTGTCACGGGCCCACCGCGGAGGATATATATCTCGGAACATATCTGGGCGGAGATCCGCCCCGTTGGGCCTTTGGCAACGGGCCCCGGAGGATATGCAAGTCAATTATCGACCCCGGAATATATATCTGGCAATATATTGCCTGCATATCCCCCGGATATCCCTATTCGAGCCCTAACGGTTGGCCCGAGCGTAGGGACCTTCGTCTATAAGTATGGGCTTCTCGCCCCCGTAGTAAGTGTTAGAAATCAGCTGTCGTCTTCGTTAGTTTCCAATCAAGTGTTTTCACAGAGTCTTTTCTTGCCCCGTAACAGATAGGTAGCACCACCCGCCCCTGAAAATGGTATCGTACATGCTGGGAATAATCTTGACGCTGATTGAAGGAACATAAGCACGCGATAGCACAAGAATTCATGTCAACAATGCAGATACTGTATCGTATTGCATCGGCAACATCCAACTAGGCATCATGTAGTATAACGATACTTTTCAATTCATGGCTGAAAGTGCAAGCGTTAGCGTCGATTGCAATTGAGCCAATCACGTGAAAGGCAATTTTCAGTCCAAGCAGCAGCGCACGAGCCTTATGTGCCCTGATCACAACTATACTGTCCTCAATTTCTGATACGTTATCACACAGTCACTCCGATATCTGCCACTCCATCTCTTCAGCGGAATAAACCAGAAAGATAGTAACAGTAACATAGTTGAAAATAAACACTATACAGAAGTATAATTTACAACTTAGTATCAAGAATATTAATTGTATTATATAATAGTGTTGATGCTAGATTTTACAGCTAGTCAGTATTTTAGTTAAAGTTTATCTAAGCTGTAACCGTGTCTCTTATCTAAAAAGAGCCTGTAGAAGCCAATTGCAAGAAGGTAAGGGCTTATATCAAAGTCCTACACATCTTGTCATTGTTATGGTCACTAAATATGATATCCAGAGGCAAAGAACAAAGCGCTTTCTTTATGTCGGAACGTCAATTCGTATATCAGCAACTAGGCAAACCTTGCTTCAACGTATACACGCCGGAATGTTGTTATACGCATTCTGGAATACGTATCAAGAGGTAAGAGGCCTCATATAGCAACCCCCCTCCTGTACCCCATTTCTTAGTTAGCAAGAGCAGAATATTAGGAATACAAAGTATTTTCCCTTTGCTTCGAATCATAGGCTTGTCGGGGTAGCCTTTTCCCAATCCAGTTCTTGTAGCCTCTTTTCAATCGTATTGCCTGTTTCCCTTGTAGAGTTACGTAAGGTAATTCGAGAATACTCATCACGAATCGCAAGGCCATTTACCCCGGACTTCGAGACCTGCCCCTCAGTAATTCCCAACCAAGAAACAACCAGGGGGAAACCTTCACACGGCTAAAAGTCTTACGGACGAAGGGAGACACTGGAATATTAACCACCCTATCGTGTATCTGTAATATCGTCCTTTAGTGATGAGAAGGCGACTGTGGAATGAAAGATGTAACGTAAACATGAACTCTAAGCAAGTCACCCCGGGGCAATACTTGACTGACCGGACAGAGAGGACGAATCATATGGGTACAGGTTGAATGTCGCACTTACAGTAGCTACCTCGGACATGTTCTAACCGTCTGCGACGAGCCGCCTATTTCCTGAGATGTGTTCTAGTAGGAACGAGATCCCCGGAAAAGCGAGCACAAAATGAGCGAGTTAAGTTGAAGATCCACCCTGGGACTCTGGACGCTACCGTTTTAATCCCCAGAGTATATTAAATAACTGCATAGTAGTAGCTATTTCACGCTAATTGGCCTTAGTGTTAACGCTACAAGTAGTCTCCCACTTACCTTTCTTCAAACCCGCAACACGAGCGCCACAATCATAATTCATAAACTTTATAGATTTAGTAATTTAATATCAGAATAGAACTTATTAATATAAATATAATACAAATATTAATATTAAACTAGCTTTTAATTTTGATACTCAGTCATACTCTAGTGTTTTTCTTGAAGAGACTCTACATGCGGGACAAAGAAATTCTCTATAACTCATTCAGTAAGGAAAATAAATTATCCTACGGAAATATGAAAGCCCCGGAAAATATCACAGCCTCACGGATTTGCCCGCATGTGGGTCTTCATAGTATGTTTAGCATGACTTAATCCTATCGAACAAAGATTTCTTACTGAGTGCTTCACGTCAACAGGGGCTACAAAAAGATTTAAGTTTAATGGACTGGTCGGCACTGAAAATATCTACGGATGCATTTCTCTATGATTTTGCATTTTCGCTATGCAAACATGGCTTCAATTAACAAGTATTGGGCACTGTATGGGGCCCTGTGCTCCTCCGCGTTGAGCCAAGTACTATTCAAACCCGTCAACGACTTTCAACCACTTGCTGGTCAAACTCCTTCAATTACTCTCGACATAGATACCCTTTTTAACAATCGTGGTTTTGGAACTGTATCTGGTGATGGTAATTTTGACGGCAGTGGTGGTAAGATTGGCTATCTCATAACGTTGAGTGAAAGTGGTCCTGATTGGTATACCTTCATGATAGGTGCATATCCCGCTGTGGACATTCCACCGTCGAGTTTTGTGTACAATGGTATCAACTTCTCGTTTCCCAATTACAATGCAACAGGGAACGACAATATTGTGGTTCTTGGACAAACTGTCAACGTTCCCAAGGGGAGATATCTGAGCTTGGAGATGCTAGCGGCATCCGAGTCTGGTATGCAGTCCGGTCCAGTCACTGCAACTTACTCCGACGGCACAACGAGTACAGGATATGTGCTCGTTCCGCCATGGTGGAGCTGGCCATACCCGGAGGGCGGAGATTTGGTGTTCCCATATCGCATTACTGATGTTGGTGTGGACTACAACCGGACTAATATATTCCAGACAACAAATTGGCTAGATTCATCAAAGGATTTGATATCATTGACGCTTCCTGATCTCGGAACTGGAGTCGGGTCCAGAATGCATGTTTTCTCCATGTCCCTGACACCGATATCTTCGTCCCCTGTACCAGGTCCGAATCTTGAAATTCACTTTGCCCGATCAACCAAGAAATGGGTTGATAAATCCGATAAAACTCAAATCATCGAAGTGGTTGTGAATAATGTTGGCTCTGATTTTGTCTTGTCGAACAACTCAGTCAGTTTAACAGTTGAATCTCCTGGATTGCATACTGTACAGGAAGGGCTCATAAAGAGACTGCGCCCAGGTGATCAAGTTACTGTCGATATTGGCGTCGTGAATAAGCCTGGTATAAAACCTGGTAGTACTGGTAACGCGACGATTGTCTTATCAGGACATGATGTCAAGAGTCATAGATACACATTTAATGCCACGTACGGCATCGGTACCTATGAACCAACCTACGAATCGGTGTACTCGCATGAGTCCCCCAATTGGTTCAACAATGCCAAGTACGGAATTTTTATTCACTGGGGTGTTTACTCTGTCCCAGGGTGGGGAAATACTGGCAATAAGGAGTCTTATGCCGAATGGTAAAATTATATCTTTAATGTAAGAAAGAGCGCCGCTTATACTCTTATAGGTATTGGTGGGCTCTCAATCAAGGACCGGACTCATGGTCACAGACATACCAATATCACCAGCAGACATATGGTCAAAACGTGGTTTACGACAACTTCATACAGAACTTCACAGCAGACGCATGGGATCCTAAAGAATGGGTGGATCTTTTCGCAGATGCAGGCGCTAACTATTTTGTACAAGTCAGCAAGCATCATGACGGATATGCTCTTTTTGACCTTCCAGCCAACGTCAGCACAAGAACATCTGTAGCTCAATATCCATATAGGAACTTATTGAAGGTAACTCACTCTCCTATAACCTTCTAAATAGTTTATTCTAACATGTATTAGGAACTCTTTGATGCTGCCCAGAAATACCAACCACATCTCCATAGGGCAGCGTACTATTCTCTACCAGAGTGGTTCAGTCCAGCTTACGCCAAATATGGCTTTGGGTCCTGGCCAGGAGGTGAGATTCCTGCCGCTGAAACGATTTTGATCGTACGAAAATTCTGAATCACTGCGTAGGAAATGCAACAAATCCGTTTACCAACGAAACGCTTCCTTATACTGGCTTTGTTGATGTGTCTGACTACATCGAAGATATTATAATCCCGCAAATGAATGCTCTCGCGGAACTCGGTTCTGAAATCATGTGGTGTGATATCGGTGGACCGAATAAGACCGCTGAATTTGCGTCTTCGTGGTTCAATCGTGCCGCTCAACAAAATCGCCAAGTATTGATGAACTCACGGTGTGGATTACCTGGTGACTTTGACACCCCCGAGTACGCACGATACTCTGGGGTTCAAGTCCGCAAGTGGGAATCTAATCTGGGCATGGATCCTTTCAGCTTTGGCTACAATAGAGCCACCCCGTTGTCAGGTTATATGAATGCCTCTGCGATCGTGACAAGTTTGGTCGATATTATAAGCAAGAATGGGAACTTCCTCTTAGATATAGGCCCTCAGGCAAACGGCACAATTCTTGAAGTCGAACAGACCAATCTTCGTGATGCTGGTGTTTGGATCAAGTCCCACGCAGAAGCTATTTTCAACACTTCTTACTGGTTTGTGACTCCCGAGGAGGGACAAAACATCCGCTTCACTACAACTCCAGAAGCCTTTTACATCATGAGTCTAAGTCAGCCAAATTCTACCATTGTACTGAACAGTCCCATCCCATGGGTCCCAGGCGACAAAGTCACGGTTGTTGGTGGTGATCAGCACGGCAAAATAGTAGCTAGTCAACAACTGTCCAACGGGTCTGTGCAGTTCAATGTTTCTCAGTCTGTTGCTGATGCAGATCGGTATGCGTGGGTATTCAAGATTACGTACTAAGATTCTGTTCTCTATACATTTTTATGGACATGTACAAATTCAAGCACTGGACCAAGGTGACAATCAATAGTGCGGTGTAGATGGTTCCAGGAGTGTTGCTAAGTCAAAATATTGAACCACATATTAGAGAAAGTTTGTAAAGCTCAATTGCTAACGTTGATAGAATCTTCTTAAAAAATAAAACTCATTATGGACATGATAGCGGAGACATCAATAAAGTTCACTGGAGCTTAAGGGAATTCAGTAGTTGAATCTTCCGTCAATCTATCCAAGTAACGTCCTAAGGCGTGAGAACGATTGGAACCTGCGTTTTATGATTGATAGCATCGGTAGTACTGGCCCCAAACTCCTCAACTACGCAATTCATTTCCACTGTACTCACAGTTAGGGAAGATATTGATGACTTCTAGAGGTATCTGTGAGTGAGGTCTGTAGCCACAGTCTCTCAGAGGCATGTTCGTATTGGAGGACCTCAGGGTTTTGTCTATATGCTACATCTCGATCGAACTATGTAGAAATTTCGTCGGGTGATCGCCAGCCAGGTAAAATAGTCTCGGAATCGTGATGATTTGCGCATGGCCTTACAACATATGTTGTATAACTGAACGTAGGGTCTAAATAATCTTTGAATATCTACCATATAGCCAAATCGGATAATTTTCCGATTAGTACTACTAGCTACATATTAGATTTTACCAACAATCCGTGGGCGTGTTAGCTGCTTTGACACTCTATTTAGAGCTGCGTGCGTATCTACCCACGATATTCGACTGTTTGATATTTTCAACTATTTTATCATCCTGCACTCTATGGTTGAGCTTCCAATGTAAAAAAATGATAGCCATGAGATGAGACAACCACACTTCCCCGCACTTCTAGCTTTCATCGTCCATGGCGTCTATACTCTAGATGTTTTAGTAGGCCGTGGAAAAGAGCGAATCTAGGACAGAAGTCACTACGAAACGTTGTAAATAATTTCTCGTCAATGCTAAAACTGCGTCTACTCATTTCTGATTTTACTCAGGTGACTTGGGATGATATATTAATGGCGAAATAACCATGGTCTTCATGGCTAATTCCATCCCTTTCGGTAGGTGCTTATTTTTTACACGGCTAATGAAGAGTGCTAAAAAGGGGTCAGGCACGTAATAGAAGAATAGGACTGATTTTTTCTATAGACCCCCAGTGCATTTCATTCTATTTGGATGGGCGTCAAAAGATCAAAGTCATCAAGTTGGATTTTGCATCATTTTATGTCGATTGTGCGATAGTAGAGGAAACATGAAGTGAAATAGCAGATGCAAAACGTGCTTAACCAGGATACTTGCAGGTGCTGACGGCGCGTAGCTTTTTTAAAGAGAGTTATATACGACATAGCGGGATAACTGGTCGGTAGTAGTGAAGACAAGTCTTATAACTTTAACTCCAGATTTCCTAAGGCTCTGGCGAGATTCTAGAACTTCATTGATAATCCTACAGAATAGAATATGGAAATCAATAAGATTCAATCAACTAGAAATATCAAATGCTAGGGTTGACAATAAGAGGAAAAATCAATCTTACACGGAACAAATTTTCAGAATTTCAGCCTTTTGTGACACAACTTAATAGGCAGCCTGCGTACGATCTATAAAATAATAATAGCTTGGTGAGCCACCCTACGTACGCGATCTCTACCTCGAATCCTAGTTGGCCCCAGTTGGTGTTCTCCGCGGCGAGCTCTCGCATGAATTCCTCACTCATCTCCACGTGTCGTACCGGGATGCCGTCAATGACGATTCCCCACGTAGGAACACGCACGTACGCGGACCTGCTAAAGGTCTTCACCCAACTAGTGTAGTGATTGTGTAGGACCTTGGCTCCGGCGGCATGGTTCGCGAAAAGATTAATATCACCCAAAGGCAATTGACATGCGGTAATAAAGATGTGGCTGGTGAGAGCCAGGCTTAGATTGCTCTTCACTGCGCGAGCTCTAGCTCACTCAGCTCAGTCTACAAGATCCATTGGTTAGAGCTTCTTCATACAAGCGCACTCCAAATTGTCACAAATTTTCCCTATGATTTCAATATCTATACCTAGCTCCGCACAGCTGACTCCAGTAGTCGACAAACCGACGCTTTGGGACTAAGATGAGCTCACACTCTATATAGCAGCTTGCCAGGTCTGGGCTTGGTACCTTTTCCATTAAATAGCAGAATCAGAGTTGGACGTGCACGTGCCCAATGCTTTGCTTGATTGTGATATTTGCGCGGTGATTGTACAAATTGCAGTGACATCCTCTTGAATCCATTTAAGCAGCCCCTTGAATTCACGTAACGCCTCTGTGCGCTCGCCTTATGTGATTGTGAAGTCTTTGATCTATTGAGCAATGAAATGCTTTGATGAAGAGCGCATCAATGTATTTGCATGATTTGCTCTTTATTATATGTAGTATGAGATCTGTCACTTCTATGAGTTGCTCTATTGTTATGAATTGATTTTTGACGATATTAAATATATAGTATTTAGTTTTTGGATCTGTTCTTGTTTAAATTTCTATCACATGCTTTTCACATGCTGTGAAAATTACTGCTTGATTTGTTCTTGTGTGTTGTTTTGTTATAGTAGTTCTGTTGTGTTGCGCTGAACTCTGCAGAATGAGGTTTTCGTCTATTAATGGTATTGTTATAGCATCTTCCTCTATTGCTAGCGACTTACCTAGTAGAACTAGAATTAATTGATAGCGCTGGATTTGGTGAATAACCTGCGAAAATTACAGCCATTTCCGGCTGGCTCTGGGCGCGCAATTTCAAAAATTCGATTCACGCGTAATATCACATGATTCTGGGATCCAATTTCGGCGAGGGGTCAGGGTATGAAAACAAACAACCAACCAACCAACCAACTAACCCCACCGTAGCCCTCTTGTTTCAGAATCTAACTTTTATGAGAAATGAAACAGTTGATTTATTTCTTGAATCGATCGAACCGACAATATACTCTTTTCTGGCTAGGATCCATCTGACTTTACAGAAGCACGATACAAAGCAGCAATGACAGCGTTCAACGACCTCCCTTCTGAGATCCGCCGCCTCATCTGGGACATAATTCTTTCCCAGCCTCGCGTCGTATGCATAAATATGCGCCCGTTTCCTGAAGAGCATCTCGATACTCTCGCCTTCAACGACGACAATTATGAACCTGAATATGAAGTTCTTTGCCCTACACCTATTCCTGTGCCTTTACACATCTGTTCTGAATCACGTATGCTTGCTCTGGCGCACTATAAACTCACTTTCGGTAATGTCAGGTGTCCCCCCTTGAGGCGAGCAGGAGTATATTATCATGGGTTCAGCGTCAAAGGCGTTCCATACTCGACGCTAACCAAAAGCAATGAAGCTGAGGTGGCGAAACTTTCGCCAAAGGTTTATCTCAACTTCAAGCATGATATTGTAGTGTTTGGCCATCTTTTACCGCACGTAATTTCTAATGAAATCTGTGCATATTTTCCATTCCGGGAACAATTTGACCCGGGAGCACTGCAGAGACTTGAAAGTTTATCACTATGCATTGATGTGGCGAAATCATCACTCTTCTATTTGAATCAACAAGTGGGTTTAGAGCGCTTTCAGAGATTGAGAAATCTTTATCTGCATCTAGATCCTGCCACGTATGATCATAATATGCATCCGAACCGCAAACTGGAGCTTGTGGACTTGAGTCAAAATTCAATGGTAGATGAGGAACGTCAAAGAATTGCGCAGAAATTTGTCGACAGATACAGAGATTTGGCCCAAAATCGGGATATTGTGATCAATGCTGAAGGTACAGAAGGTGTGAAGATAATCTGCCAGGAGGGCCTAAGTAGCTGGAGGTATAAGGATTTGCGAGATTTGTTACTGAGGAATGGGACTAGTCCAGAGGCCATGCTAAAGTGTGTTTTATTAACGGAGTTGACTACTTCCTAGTACGGCTGTAAACGTGCTGTACGTTCAGCACCTTTTTTCTCTTTAGAGGTGTTTGATACTTACCGGTAGACTCACGATTTGAAATTGAAGCTGTATCTTGTGTTCTGTAGATGTATAGTATATACTCACCATCAATTCAAGCTATATTCCAAGTATACAATGCCAGAGGTGCAGAGAGCCACTAATGGATCAGCGACTGTTATAAAAGCTGCTTAAGTATCATACTTCACCTGCTGAATGACCACTGCTGGCAGCTAAAATAAAAAACCATTGTTTTTTCATTTTTGGTTGGTGACGGATCTTCTAGAAGTCTGGCAGAACATATGCACTGTCCCTTGACTTTATAATGGATTCAACGTAACGGGGTCGCCGTACCAGGCATGAAGTAAAACGCAGACTGAAATTTGTCTGAAGCTTCTGCCACTACAAAAAATTGCCGGACCCTAGAAGAAAAACTGGAACGCTGCGGTAGGTGCTTTGCATATTTCTGCAGTTGATTTAGGAGTCGGCAGGTGGGACGGAAATGGTGGCTGTTTCCGTTTCGAGCATTAGGCGACAAGATGAGTCTGGAATGTACTTCTGTAACAATAGCTTGTGCAATGACTGGGCTTCTCGGCAGAAAGCAGTTTATGCTATTACTAAATCGAGCTGATGGTATGATTGATTGGAGCCAAGCAGATAGCCTAGCTGTTGTGCAGCAACCAGATATCAGGCTATTAATCCAGCCCTCTCCGGTTTTAAGTCATGGCCCTAATCCAACCCTAATCCCGATGTAGAATTCTCAACGCAGCATCTACGACTGGATGTGATAAGGCTATTGAACAAGGCAAGTCACAAATTTGAACGTAGTGCCTAAAATTACTGGCATCAAACGGGACCAACTATTGTCTACTTTATTCTATTTCCATTTTCAATTGTTTTCTGCTCTAATAGTACATAACATTCAGCAGAGCCGAAGCGCAGACCACACTGCCGGTTTGAGACATGTTCAGGCACGGGTTCAGAGGTGAATTCGTACAGTATGGAATGAATTTTTATCACCATACATGTATT